TTAAGCATAGGATAATTATATTCAAAGCATATGGTTTATAGATAATTTTTTACAATAGCTGTATCCGGGCGTTGGTTCATCCTCAAGCATTCGTACAGTAGACTCTACTCATTCGTATAACCATCTACATACTAGTAGCAGGGTCTCTTTTCGAAATAAGTTGATTCCTTGGCCATATTAACAAAATATCTACACTTGATATTATCCCAGCTTGGACCGAAGATCTCTGACTCTAGTGTCAAGAAATCTAACTATTTCAATTTGTATAACATTTGGAGTCGGCGTTAAGCTATACAGAATAGAGTTTTAGGTTTGGGTTTGAATACGAGCTTCGAGCTTTACGTCTAAGACAGTGTTCGACGACCACCACGGAGTCAGTTCTAAGGAGTTATAGGAACTTCGAAGGTATAGAAGCACTCCGTCAAGCAAAAACCAAAACCAAGTAGTTATGCAATTTCTACTGAGACAAAGTTTTTTTTTTTCTTTCTAGAATTATGTCAAAACATTTCATTCACCGTTACGCAACATATTTTGTTACCAACTATCCGTCAGGGGCTTCAGTTCATTTCGTTACTGAACGCGTTAGCGTCAACCCTTTGCTTTTTTTCTGATTCTTTCTCTTGGTCCGAGCTACGACTTTGTCACCACGCGTTTCAGTCATATCACATGTTGGCGTACATTTTTCCTTTGCAATCGCGCTAAAGCAGAGAGCTCAGCTCGCGTTACCTTGTGTGAATTGTCCGTCTTCCGGTTGGACAGCAGCTGATAAAAATCAGAACGGGTACCGTTGCTACCGTCATTACCGCTGCCTCCCTATCTGTTTTGCCCCGTCCCCGAAGGAAAGAACAAGGGGCGTCAAGTCCCGAACGGTCCAATTTCGGATGTCCCAAAGGTCTGTGTAGCAGCCCACTAGATCCTCATTCTCTCACACATGCACACCAATAACGCATCATATCTAAACAGTGGACACTATTATCACAGCAATCACGTGACACATTTTTTTTTGCAGTTTTTCATTTTGTGCACCGTATATATCATAACACCCTGTATCATTTTAGCCGTCAAACAATAACTATAAATATAACGTCTCTCAGACTCTAGGCAGTCGCAGGAAGGCCGATATCCTTCTATACACGAAAACAGCTTTCCTATGCCGAACAAAACATATTGTTTTTTCTTTCGGTGTTTCAAATTACGCTATTGGTTAAGCTTTTGATTTAAGGATGCTATGCCATATTGGCGTGAGAGTTCGAATAGGAATTTCGTTAGAAGTTGAAACGTATGTTAAGGCATTGATTAAATCCAATTGTTCGTCTGTGACTACGTGAAGGGTTTAGAAGTTGAAATAAGTATGACTTTGGCGGGTGGTATGTTTTTATACGACAAGTACTGTCATATTATTGTCGAAAGTCGCGTCTAGTCTACTTACGCCAGATATAATCTAGATGCTATACGAAATGTTACTCTATCCTTTTAATATACGTAACTTGACGCACTACGTAGAAAAATTAATTGCATCAGTAGAGGCCAAGCGTTATCGTATCCAGAACAATGATACGCGTTGCTATTAGAAGTGCAGAGATAATACTTGTAAAATAATACTCGAGCGTCTAAAGTGGCTCTATTATCAACGTACCGATCGGTACGCTGACGGTCAATCAAATACAAATATGAACTGATCCTTTAACGGACGCTGAATGCTATTTCCTATTCTTGATAGCAACGACGTCATTGGCAGACACAGTTAAGCTGTGCTTTAATTTGGGCTCCGCTGTCCTAACCTGCATCGATAACCATCTATTCCACCAAATGTCACTCACCACCAGGCAACATTGACGATAATTTTAGTCCATATTTCAGTGGCCAATGATGTGCTATTTATTTCATGCTACTTCTGCAATTGGATCGCTCTGCTTCGTAAGCTAGAGTGCTAGACGCGTGTGTCAACTGAGATGAAGTTTTTATAAATCTTACCAGCCTTACTGTCTTTCGCAACAGGCCTGCCAAATTCAGGCCGGCATCTTTTAACCTGCTAACCGCACACATCTATAGTATCACTTGATTTACGATGACAAGTAACGAACCCTAAGATTGACTCGAAGTTAAGTCCTAAGATGAGACGCGAGACAGCCCAGCTACGACCACTCATCTGTGGATGGACGAATGCATAACTATTATATAGCATTATATTAGGCACTTTCATTAAAACTTGCCAGTGTAACAATGACTGAACGGCTGGCCTGTACTGCTCTGCCGTACAGACGGTTGGTGCCTCCTAATACGAAGACAAACTACGGGTTGAGTTGTTGCGGACATGGCCTACAAGCACAAAGGCGTACGATTGTTGCCATCAGTATTATCATTATAATCGTTGTCTGCGTTTTTATCATCAGATATATCTGCATCCGACGTTATCCCTTTCCCCAACCTTTGCGCGTCAATCGCATGTCTTTAAAATGATACAGTCGAGTATTCATTGTCATCTGGCGGGATCCGGCCAGCAAACCGTTGCCGACCAATGCTGACCGGCGACTGACGCCACTTCAATAGCTGCTCGTTCGTTGACGGCGCGGTGGCAGTGGTTGATCGAGCTTAAGTTCGGACGCGTGGTACGCCAGCCACGGGACGGCGCCACAATGAAGGGTTCAATTCGATTCCATTTAGTTATGGTCCAATACAGTCGAATGGCGGCTCCTTCCTGGCCACCTGGCGGCCACGCTGACTTGTTGGCTGAATACCTCCTGACCGACTCTCGTGCAGATCGTGTCAAGGGCATCATTGTCACTTCATGGGCTACCGTTATATTATCGACAGTAACAACAGATATAGCAAACAACCGCACCATACCATTTCTGCTACTGCTTACTGCAACTACAATATTAGCACTATAATGGGCAATCGGTCATTGTGGCCATTACCAGAAAGTCAACCGTAATGCTACCATACAGTACTGTTGTCTTTATTGCTAAGGCAGATTACTCGCTGCTGCCAATGTGTACGTGGGGCAGACAACAGCAGCTGCTGCTGAAGTTTCTCGCACCAGCGCAACACACGTGGGTCTATTTAGTGGCTTGATCAGGGTCTGCCGATCTGAAGTTCTGTGGGCGTCCGTGATTGTTCCGCCCGAGATTTGTCGCAAAAGACAAACGTTAGGGTCCGTCAGATTACTGGTGACGAGCCCCTATGGCAGCTGCGGTAACAGTAAGGTTATAGCGTGTGGTGGTATACCTTCGCGCGTTACGTTTCCGCGTCGAGAGAAAAACTTTAACACAAATTCAGCGAAAAACTGATTGAGTTTCTTCGCTGCAATCGGCAGCAACTGGTCTACGTGCCAGCCGCTCACTCGAACCGTGTTGAAATGATTAGAACTAGTCTAGCAGCGCACTACATTGTAGACACGATCTTGTTGTTTACTTTCAGATCGGTCTTATCTCATATTTTCCGTTTTCGGAAACTCAAGATAGGTACAATGCGGGGAGAATGTTGAGCTCTCAGATTAAAAGTAGAAATTATATATTACATATGCTTTACATAATGATGACGCCAAAAAGGATTTCCATACATCGGCTGACTTATAATTAAATAATTGAGAATTTTTGGCCAATAAGAGACTACTTGTACGATTAGCCTTACAGCTGCTATGCTCTGAAAATAAATATAGCTTATGCGATATCACCAGTGGCGTGCGTATATCCGCCTGACAACGGGCACAGCTCTTGATTTGGGCCTATTTGACGTCAACTCAATGCTTACTCGCCGATTGGTCATACGCCGTTGTCCTTTTTTCATCTCCGTTTCCGGCACCACCTTCTTGGATAGATCCGCCCGGCTGGCTCGAGTCTCGGCGAGACAGACCAAGCAAGTTTCTGTAGTTATTGTTGATGCCGCAGCTACTGCAGTTCTGTTTTTTCATAGCTATCGTCACTTAGTACGTACAAAGTCGTGCACGATTAGTCGTGAGCGAATTGGTACGTAACTATCGAACAGACAGACAGAGAGCCCCACGGAGGCGTTAACGTTGAATGAACACTGCCACTAGCATTGTCATCACTCAACGCTGGCCATTGCTAGAACAGCAGCAGCAAGGGCAAAAACTGATTCCCGCTTTCGCTTTCGCATTTAGCTACCGTACTGAATAATTATACCAATAATGAACATCAGTCGGCTATATATTTATATATACCGTATAGCTTAGCACGTGATCATTCAACAGGTGGAAGCTTTCGTTTGGACAGTTGAATTGGCCGAGCTGAGAGTAACGCATTTTATTGTGCTATAAATTATTCTAGCAGGTGGCCGGGTTTGAGTCCGCATCCATTAGCAACGATGCTTTTGCATTGCACAGTTTGTCTTAGTACAATAAGACCAGGTTTCCTTGTGGCACCTTGTCCTGATCGTACGCATGAATATATTTCTTTTACCTATTTCATCCATCTGAATACATTGCAAAGGACATGTACCTTACTTTAGATGCAATCATGCAGTATCAAAGCTACTGCAAATTTTGGCCACATTTAACCTTGTGATCTCGTACCCCACAAGCCGATTCCCGCAACCTTTCAGGTAACTGCTCCACTGCAATTTGTATTATGTTGTTACGCTCCGATGTCCTCTCCTTGACATGATCCTATCGAACGCTAGTCATATGTACAACAAAAACAATAATTATAACCAGCGTTCACAGTTACGGCTTATCGCCCAAATTTTTCCCGGTGTTATTTCGGGCGCTATTCTATCCGAAATTCACTGTCTGCCAATCTGTCCAGCTCTCGCGAATAGCACTACTATAAGGCCACCGTTGCTTTTTGTGATGACGATAGTTAGCGAACGGACGTAAAAAGCGTTCTTCTACCGGAAATAGGCCTAAGTTGTCGCCGATGATTTTGCACTGACTTTGTCTCGATGCCTGCCTTCCCGATTGACGTTTCCACTGCTGCTCTTCGTAATAACTATGATTTTACTGCTAGCAATTATCATTACAATGATCGACTGCGACCTGTCTAGTATTTTTTCTGCCGGTTACCGGCTGCTTCGTGCAGAAGATAACCATAGCTGATAGTGTACTGGCCTTTGACGCTGGTGCAGGTATTCTTCAGACTCTGCTGATGCCGCTACTCCGGAAAAACACTCTTATAAATCACAACAGTGAATGACACGAAGCAGCAACGCTGAAAACAAGACTTTGCAGGCTCAAAGCGAAACATTTTTCTGGTGCATTCTAGTTCAGGGTCACCGCCAGTCAATTTTGGAGGTAAATGCGTAGCAAGTCAAAGTCGGACGATATATAGGAATGATTGTTGCCGGGAACAAACCGCCGGTCGAACGGTCGGTTAGATCAAAGTGGAGAGGTCACCTATAATAAGGGCGGTCATACGACCACCTTTATTATAGGTATAGTTGTTCATGTCTCGCTTGACAAATCTGAAAACTCTGGAAAAAGCGCAAAGACAGCCTATTTCTCTTATAGGCTGAACTGGAGCTCAAACGTTTTACTGCAAACATTGGATTATACCCAAAGTAGAACAGACAGACGAATGTCTGTCTTATTTCCGCGGGTGAGCGTGACCCACAACAAGGAATTGATGACATGACAATAAGCAAGCATTTGCCGGTCGATTGCGATGGATGCATAAAATTTGCTACGCAGTCCCAAGGTACCCGGTCATATAGTTTTAAACAATCTGTGTGTCGTTTTTTTCTAGCTTGACAAAAATCTACGAATCGAGTAATCAAAATGAACTATATTACAAGTATGCTATATAAACACAGTGAGATAGCCTGACCCGTATATGTACCCGCAGTATCGATTCATAAACGATTTTTCACTAACGAAACTGACATCCGAATATATGTAACATATATATCATATATCATGATTGCAGCTCTTTCCAGTCGATACGACCGTCAGCTAATATAATTATTGTATGTTCACTAGTATAATTACGTTATCTAGCCACTTCCGGGAAACTTTAGGCGAAGTACGAAATTCTCTCTGAGTACTTACCACACTGACTCCTAGATGGCGTGCATTCTCGTTGTAGTATTTGGAGGAAGCAAGACGCGCGGCTTGTAGTGCGTGCGTGATGTGTAACGCCGAAGCGTCGAACCGACCATGATTTTTGACGCCATGTTTAAAATCACCTATGTGCCCATTTCCTCCGCGTTTAAACGAATCTGTGGGATCGAGAGTGCCAGAGTGGCCGAGGCCCCGGATCTGCTCGTTAATCAGGTTATGCGTTTTCGGAACGGACATTGCTGCTTTGATGCCCACAGCAGTGCCGTCGAGAGTGCCTGGACCCTGTTTCGGCGCGTGGTTCTGACAGTAAACCTCTTGATCATCCTGATTCTGTAGATTGTTAAAATAGGTCTTGAGGGTCAGCTTTGTCCCACATATTTTGCATTTGAAACAACCTTGGTGGAAAAAGGTAAAGTCTTTGAGGGGACCAACTTTGTCCACGGGGTAGACCGTCGTCCTACATCGGAGACATTTGAGATCCGGACCGGCCATGGTGGCCAAGACACTTTGGCAGGGAGCTTCTGATTACGTCTGTTTACTGTCGTAGAGTAATATCGTGTGTTCACCACTGTAAAGTCTGTTTAGGTTATTCGTTTCGCCTGTTCATTCTCCATCGATTTTTGTCAAGCCTCACCTCACCACGTCTCCCGCTACATTCACTTGTGCACAGCTGTATAGTACAGCCTCAGATCGCGCTGCTGAGAACACGATCCTAGTATCTCCCAGTCACTCAGTACATAACAGTATCCCTCACGATTGTCATCCACGTTCACTCTACATGTAAATCCCGTACAGGCTTTGATTAAAAGGAAGTAGAGTAAGTTAATCCGCCCGCCCGTCCGTCCGTCCGTCCGTCGTATCTTCTACTCGTGTTGATAGCATCCAATATCCGCCGAAGGCAATAACCAAACGAAGAGTGACCAATGACAATCTGATTAACTCAGAGAAAATAAAAACAACAACGTCGAAAATTACAATAATAACAAGGCAAATTTCCCGTTGGCGCTGTCACCAGTATGCCACCAACGACAACGACTCGTCTGCCTCAGTGTACTATAGACTTGATTATAAACTCATCACAGATCAGAAGTAGAAATGACTTCCCTACAGGCAACCTGTCGGATCTCTTTTGGACCTTAGTACGGTCCTTGTTGCTTCGCACGCGTGACACCGGCTTTCTCAATCCTTTACTAGCTACTACTTCCTTCACACGCTATACACGCACAAACTTAGCAGGCTAACCAGCTGAGCTGATTCGGATTCAAACACCTCGGTATAGTGGGCGGGAGACGGCATACAACTACAGCTTTCACAAAGTCCATTTTTTTCATACTATCAAGCACTCGTACAGCATTGTACGACGGCGTAGAACCGCTCACCGATTACCGTGTTCCTCGTATTCAGCTGATGATGCTGCCGCAGTATTGGTGGTACTCGTGATGGCGTTGGTGGTTGTTGGTGATGGGCACTTCAGCCACTTTGGCCACTTGGGCAGGGTCGTTGCTTCTGTCGCGCTGGCTGCGAACTGCTGCTGTCATTTCCTCACGCTCGGTCAACCCTCGCCTCACGTATTTCGGAGCGCCGGCTGGTTCACTCTCCCAGTCGAATGCTGCTGGTGCTTATGCAAAAGCTGATGCTGGCAGTGGCAGTGCTAGAACCAACGACCGAAAGCCGTTGGTTGCCAGGACAACAAGCAGTTAGTCCATAAACGTTCCTTCTGTTGTGGCTGCTGCGGCCACTAATACCGCTGCCGGTACTGCTGCGGCTGCCGTAACCTGCGCGCACGTCAGTTTTCGGACGACGCGACCAACCAGCCATTGAAACAGCCAAATAACCAACAGCTCAACAAAGCAAAATCATCAGTAGCATCCGAATAGTGCTTCTTTCTGTCACCGCGGGCATGACATTGCTAATGGAAAAAGGACTGCCAGCAACGGCAAACTGCGCGGGCCCGATATCTCGAAGGATGGAGTTGGGAGTGCAGGAATATGTCTGAATGGGACACAGCGGCGGTTAGCAGCAATCTTCATTTAAGGCTTAAGTAGATCTATAGTTGACGTATCGAAAAATTGACGTGATGCGGATTATTGATCATTAAAGGTAAAGGCGCAATCTTCTAGTTTAATTATGTTGTTCGTATATTATGTACTTGAGCCGAAATCCCTGGAACATCTTCAGTGCTACAGTACGGGCAAACTAAGCTCCCTATAAGGTGACACCAGCTAGAATAAATGAGAAATTTTCTTCCAAATTGTTTGTCTCGCAGAACAAGCGTTTTTGATTCGACGTCTTTGATATAGCAAGACTTTGGTACATCATAAAAACTGAACGTGTTCCATTTGGATGATCGGCAATAGTATTAGGCGGTTTTGTTGCGATAAAGTCATCGTTACAAGGGTATGAACAGGAAAAAAAAAGAAAATGTCCTGCCGTTATAGTCGTCAAGGTTAGTAGCTTGTTTTTCCTCACAGGAGACGTAAGCAAGAGCCTCGTTATGCCTAATTGACCCGTGACGGCAACGATCCCAGCGGACCATATTAATTACCGTAACGGTACTGAGATGGAGTAATCCTCTGCGAAAGCTCCAACAGACCCAAGAGAAATTTATCTCTTCACTGTTCGCTCAAACTTGCACATTTCTTTTAAGCATAATTAAGTGTATACTCTTTGCCTCATCGTTTCTTTACTCAGTAACGTTTGTAGGATAAACGTAAGTACCTCTAATTCAGTACAGCTTCTTATTACTAAATACTGTGCACCGGGATTATGCTTATCTGCAACACTGGTTAGGGAACTGAGAACGCGTTTGATAACTAAGGAAAAAATGTTCCCATTTTCTCAAAAAATTGGGCAGTATTTTTTGACGCTGGATGCTGGGCGGTTTATATAGATCTCGCACGTCCCCTTTAAACAAGGAAGTTCTGCTGTCTGAAGAAGACGTTTTAACAGTATCTAACCTGTTAGTCAACTTAGAAGATTGTCTTCTAGCCATGTTCAAATCTTCCTTGATAAAACCCAACGTTGGAGCTGTAAGTTTAATGCGAAGTTCATATGCTACGGCCTCTAGGACTTCATTTTCTATGACCAAGTAAGGAAGTATACTGTTTAGGCAGCCCGGATAGCTAACATTGTCTAAGAAAATGGCGGTATGCTATCGTGCATTTAAATGCCATTCATTCGAGAAGTCAATTTCAAAAAAACAGATAATTCATCCTATACTAAGTGTTATTATGGACTCCTAAGTTCTAGTGAGAATGTAATTTCACTTACTATTAACATCAAAATGTGTTTCGTTTGCTACAGTAAAATTTCCCTGGATTTTTATCGAAGATTATGCCAATATGAAAAGCGCGGTCTCATAGTGTATCTCTGAGCAGAAATACCTGCAAAGTGCCAGACCGAAAAACCTATAGGCCCCCCTGTGGCTAGAAAAGAATAATAACTAATGAAATGCTCTTGAGTAATCGTATCAACATTAAAAATTCATAGACTACGGTTCTTTATCGTTATAGGTGTGCTGGCGTGTGACTGTAATAAGGCTCCCAATGTTTAAATCGACGATAAGCAACCTTAGAAATAGGGTTGAAATCTAAAAATCCTGTTGTTTATTCTTATTTAAGTCATAGCGACGTGCTCTATAGATAAATATAGATACTATAATATGCTAAAAATAGCGAAGAAGAAACCAAGTATATATGTCTACGTCACCTTCCATCAAATTCTGTCAATTGAAGAAAAAATATGTGCTTATGTAACAGTCCCTATTAAATGTTAGCGCAGCAAGGTGTCATTCATGTCGGTACGCATTTCAAAATGGCGCCATTTAATATAATGGGATGAAAGCGTTTGATCATAAAACACATACGACCTGTGTTCATTAACAAAAAATGATACCTCAAGCTGGTCTCAGATCTGAACCTTCGTGTCCTCGGGACGTTAGTTGCGCGTTTACTGGTTTATTTTTGTTAATATCTCCTTTAAAGCTATGTTACAAAATTATATCAGAAACAATTTTTAACAAGTGCGCAGATATAAAAACGCTCCAAATTAGCAGTTGTTGACTTCATCTATTCAGGCCCCGGCTACATTGTATTCGTGGTCCTGTTCGTTGTCCAGCTAGAACGCTAAAGCAGATGATATTTGCACACGCATCTATTTGTCAATTTTAGGTATCGTGGAAGTGTGACACACTTGTACGCTGATCATGTGCAGCCAAAATTATTAATTTTTATTCAGAAAAAAAAAACACCTTATAATATAAAAACTTATAATTTCGTCCGTCCTTTCAGTTGTGGACACATAGAGATCGCAAAAACAACATTAGGTTGTGTTTATTTTTTTTTCGAACGCATAAGTCTTATAACGTGCCACGGTATAGTATAAAGGATTAATGTAACCGCGTGCTGAGATTTGATTTTACAAATTCAATACAACGGATATTCAACAAGTTCCTAACTAATGAGAGTTCTCTAATTGTCTGCTATTGTTTCCAGGATAGCTCGATTGAGCCACTTAAAAGTAAGACAAAACTTCTGTTTACAATTGTTTTATTCAAAATTTAATTCGCAATGGTTTTGGGTAATTGATTTGTTAAATCTATGAGCGGTCTATTCAGAGGGGGTGAACATCGCAAGGGTCAACGTATTCGAACACCTAAAAATAGGAATTGGACTATCGCATTGGAACCCTGCTTTGGAGTCTTCGTTGGATTGGAAAACAACTTTAGAGTATTCATAGGCACAGGACAGGAGTAGGCACAGGACAGTGGTTTAGGGTCGAGGCAGGCGCGAAAGGAAATTTTCGCAACGCGGACGTTACCAGCACGGACGTATCCAACTTGGACCAGTGATGAATCCAGGTTCATTATCAGTCGCAGGACCGTTTCAATTTCAGTTATTAGTAACGTCGTTTATGAGACAAAACTACAAACAAATATACCAATTATTTAGCTGATAACTTCTGGGTCTAATGGCCGTTTGAATATACAGTTGAGCTTTTTTCTTGTGGGTACTATTGGTATTGATGCAACAGAAATAATTGCGTCCGCCAATCTCGTGAGCGTCAATCTTAACGAACAGTTATGGTATCTGATGGGAGGTGTAATTTTTACTTGCGCTGCCAACGTCTAATTCATGAGTATGACAAAAGCAGCACGGAGCCTCAGAGAGACTCAAACTTGCCAGTCAGATCGAAAACTCGTTTCTTCGAAGAACGGGAGCTAGATCAACCGTATAAAACGTTCCAGCGTACTAAAAGCGAAGGTGTAAGGCGTACGTAGCTTAGTCTGATTGAAATATCATACGGTATACCGTTCGATAATATTGCATTATATCTTTCTTTAAAGTAAAATATAAATAAATAAGTAACTTGTTTATAAAGAGATATCTAAGAGTGCGTGTATCTGCTAGTTACGGTTCGAAGATAGAAATCCTCCTCTAGTCGTGGTTTGGGAACCTGAGGTCAAATAAAGTAGAAACCATATATAAACGGTTGAACAACTGAAGTACTATTTCTAAACGAATTTTTGTAGCTTGTGCCTTTTTGTTAGCGTTTTAGTGCTACTGGCTAGTACGAAAGTTGTTACGCTTACTATGTAAAAATGCAAGGAGGAACCTTAACAATGACACGAAGTGAATCTGTGTTGGGGAAGCTTTGGCTAGGAGCAAACGTTTATGAAAAGGTCGGTTGGTTTTGAATGTAGAAAGGGGGAAGAAAGCGAACGTGGCAAGGTAGTCATGAAACGACGGAGCTCTGCGCATTGACGACATCTTCGAAAGGTTCTTATGAAACTAAGTTCTGTGCTTAACCGTTCTATAGCAGTCCATTTAGCCTGTATGTAAAATGCGTACTTGATTTGCGATATAAGTGTCCGTATAATAAAGTGCTTTTTGTCAGATAATATGAAAGATCAGGACCTAACAGTGGCAGTGAAAACAGCATTGCTTGTCACTAAGAATTTTGTTAAGGACACCTCAGATTCACATTCACAAAGTTCATTTGCAAGGTTCACGAAACACCTTCAGTTGTCACTTGGACTTTAGGCTCAAGATGCAAATCACTACATTTTTTAAGCTCGTTTTCTGTTGGAGGATCTTGAACTCATGAAGGTTGCAGTTGCAAAAATGAAGCCGGTAACTCATATTGCGTTCAGGACGGCACGGGCTATTTTTTCCGCACTATTTGTTAAAAAAAAATATTTTGAACGCGTTATTCGCTCGTGCATACGTCTATAGATTATGAAACAGTATTCGAAGTTGTTAACGCAGTTTGGTCTAGTTCCTTATTCATTCATACATGGTACTCGTTGCGCATTTACGTACCTCAGGCGTGTCACGTTTCCTTTTGTACGGATATAATTTTCAGTTTTCTTTCCGGTTTAGCGGCCAGCACGCTTCCATGACAAGCAATATATCGCCAGCGAATCGTCTGCCTCGTTGTATTCTTCTTATCATTCTCAATTTTACTTTGTCTTTTTTGTTCTGCTCAATTCACAACTGCCGAATTTACAGATGCATTGCATATAAATATCAGTACATTATTTCAAACAATTGTTGTATATCTACAATTTTGCTAATATTCTTGACGCGTTTCAGCACTACATGGTATTACTCTATTTCCATTAATATTACACAATCTAACTTTTACGCTAACGATTGATTGCATACGCGTTTCAAATGCAAGGAGACGCCCCTCCTACATCGAGATATAGTTCGGTTATACCAATATATATAACACTAGTACAGGATGACGCCCCGCAGTCGGCAAATGCGCAAGCAGTCGTATGTATTATTTTCTGTCATTTTTTGTTGTAAGGGTCGTTCACAACGTGCGTGTTCGTACCCAGAGCCGCCTGTCGCCGTTACGTGGCCAGCATTCACCCTCATTGTAATCTGGCGGGGGTTCAGGGTTGGCTTCCCTTTCCGACCACTCGACTATTCACGATAGATGCTGTAGCGAGCCGGTGCGATTAAGCGATACTCGGGAGTCTGGTCGAGGTAAGGTGCCCTCAGCTCCAGCGGCCGTTGGCGGCCGCGAAAGCGTTCCACCCTGTAGCGACGATGAGGCCCTAAGGCGTTCCTCCATAGCTAAGACACTGTCTTCATACTCGCGACGCGCTGCGGCTCGCGCGTCAATCCACGTTAGTATTGCCGCTACCAGTTGAATAATGACACCGACAACGGCAAGCATGTACGACCATCCGAAATAGTTCCAATCGACCTGCGATAGAACCAATGAGATAAACAATTCAGCACAGAAAATATAATAGCGAAAATGTAGTATTGCATAAATAAATAATATACAGTGACGGCTGTCGCAAGCAGCTAGAAGTATTCAGGAGTTTTTACCACTTTTGTTAGATAAATGCACCAGCTCGATATGTAGTAGGTAACATGTTTTTATTGGGAACATGTTTTTGCTTGCCAGCCAACGAGAATAAACGGAAATTGTAAAATTAATAATAATAATTTCTAGCTTTGATCTGATGTTGTCCACTGAATCTTGGAGAACGGTGCGCAGACTAATGGTCAGATACAAGGTGGTCGCCTCTTACTGTATAATTGACCAGGTTGGACCTCAGCTCAAGAAATTTTTTTAGGAATCCTAGGAAGGATTTATGTTTTATAATAAATTGTTGCAGCGGTTTATAGCGGTTTTAAAATGCTCATAGTTAAAAGTATGCTTCAAAACTTGTGAACCAATGTGATCTCTAAGGTTATTTCTCAATACGGTAATATAGCTCTGAATTGAGATAAATTATTTGGGCAATATTGACGTTTTGCATAGCCAGGTGCCGGTGGTAGGGATACCACCGGTTGACCGCGAAGAAATGTTTATTAGTCATTGTTTATGTTTGAGTAAAACATATCGTATAGTGAAAGTCATTTGTAAACGATGCCCAAACGTAATAGAGCTTCCGGCAATTTTTGCGGTAAACTGGCACGTTGAAAAGAAGGAAAAAAGATTAAAAACCAGAAAATTGCCGACACGAACCCTTTGAGGTATAAAAGCTTCTTATATATACGTCTGATAAATAATTTAGAGCGAATACGCATTTTCAGTTAAATGATTTACGAAACTGATCGCCTTTTCCCCTCCACGTCAAAAGATGGTTGACTTATCAAGACCTTTTTTACAGCACTCAGGTGCCTTTGCTGGAGGATATAAGTAAATTATACCGATGTACTCCTCTGTATTGTCAATATAGTCCTTTGAAGGTACTAAATGCCCTCTCCATAGTTACAATGAAGAACTTAGTTACAGGCGTCATGCATGTAGAATCGCATGATGAACGACTTTTTCTTATCGAGTAACACTTCTTCTTAGGTATCGACAAATCACTTCTGAAAGTTCTCCGTACCGAGGCACGTACGGTGTTACCGCCACTTGCGCATCTCGTTTTTCTTTTTGTGAAGCTTCCTTTTTGCCTATGGATCACACACGACGACGGCCTTTACATGCCTTTGGGCTAAGTGAAACACAACCTGATGCTGCTGAGTTAACCTTTACAGCAGATGTTATAACGTCAGAAAATCTGGTCGATTTGCTACGCTGTCGCCATGCACGATTAGTAAGCATAAATTTTCTCAAGAAGAAAAACTTACGGGTTTGAAATGAAGCTATTCATAGCTATTTTTTATACTATGCCGTATTAGTGAACCGTGAATTTCACCCAGGCTAGCAATTTGTTTTAGGAATAACATCATAATTGGCTCTAATAGATTCTCTCTAATGGATGTGACGGTTCACTAGTAACGAATTTGCTTGCTAGGGTTACGAACAAATGAGGCCGCCTAGATTTGAAACCGCTCGTATATACACTTCGTTCCATGCTGGGACGGGCCATTTGTCTGAATCCTACATACGGCTGAATCTAACATACAGCTTGAAAAATGTGATTAAGTAATGCTTGGTCCGAGTAACTCGTATTGTACGCACCTGTGGTATGTAGTCGTTGGTGAGATCACCTAACGTTCCAAATACGATGATAGCAACAAGGGTACAAACCATCGAAGCTAGAATGAGACCTGTAGTAGCACGCAACATCTGCACCTCCTTCTCTTGCGGGAAGCAGATGTTGAGAGCAAGAAGGACACCGCAAGCTGCAATCAGCAGCCCAAACCCGATCGTAAAAAAGATCTGAACCGCCACGAAATACGGCGCCTCGAGCAATGGTCGCAAGTAGCGATATTCTCGATCGAAGATCCATCGACAGCCCCTGTTATCATTGTCGAAACGAAGCAGACGTACATACCTGGGTATCGCATCCGACACAGACAAACGAAAAAGAAACGTATCTACATCAATTAACGTAAGCAAGGAATAATTTTTCATATAGTATTCGATATATTATTCTTTAGTTGACATCTTCAGAGGGTTTCGAATCTCCTGTTTCAGAAATACGTCATCAAAACAGGACAATGGTGTGCGTGCGTCAATAAACGAGATGAAAGTAGACAGGTATCGCTTCCGAACAAGCGTCGCCAAGGTGCTACCAGAAATCAAGTTAGCAATGAACGATACAGCTGTTCTGTGTTTCGTAAGTTTTTGGTTGGAGCAAAGAATGAGTGCTACTGAGGCAAAATGGCGCAGTGACAAAAATCGTCTTAATGTCACACTGCAGAAGGTTCTTTTTTGCTTGTGAGATTCGAAATGCACAAAATGTGGATTGGATGAAATCCACTTAGTGACATCTTATTACCGAACGGTATCATGATCGCTCTTAATGTTCGCGAAGATCGTGGAAAGTTATGCGTTCTATTTGATACTGTTTTCATAGGAAATCCAAAAGGAGCACGTTATTTTGTCATGGGATGGCTCTATTCCGTTTTCACCTAGAAGAGAGTAGACGTCTTGATAGGAGCGCTCGGTTAACTATAAACGATCATATTTTAACTGTAAAACTAATCACTAGCATCATTTCACTGTTCGATCGCTCAGAGAAGCTACTTACAAGCAATGAATTTATAGCTAATATTATGAGCTTTTTCTCCTAGGAAAATAATAACTAAGAAATTGTTTATGCACATATTGTATTTTCGCTATCATGGCAAACAAGGTCGTTAAACCTTTCCAACGATGTTTGCAAAATTTTCAAGAATAGGCTTCCCTACGAAATCCGTTTCTCATGAGTTTTTCTTAACTGCAAGTCGAACGATATCACTCTATCATGTAATAACAGTAGTAATAATGACAGGTGTGGTTAAAGAGAAAAAAACAAAGGCGGACACAATATTTTGTAAACGTCATTTTTAAAGCAATCTGTGTTTTTTTTTTCGAAGGAGACAGATGATCAATGTGAATCCATTGCGCATTCGTTCAATAATTCGCGCCATTATTTAGTCACATTGGCATTTATTTAGTTGTAGATAAAAAAAAACGTGTATTCAACTATTCGAAACTAGCTTGATTAATCAATACCATTGTAAATTTGCATTACCGTAGCTGAAGAGAAGCCTAAATGAAAATTTCTCCATTAATGTCGCATTTAATATATATAATACGTCAAAATATTTAATATAATATATTTGATAATAATAAATAAATATCGCCTAATATTCCTACATTTTTGTGTCCTTTAGTATTCAAATTTTTCCTTCCTTTGTGACCTTCCACAAAGCTTAGGCTTGTCCGAACTGACCTCAGGGTTACGCATATACTGAAAGAAGACGTTGTAACATAAACGTATATTTGACGTGGGCGAGTAAACTGGAAATTGGTATGCACATATAGTTATGAGAAAATTTTGCGTGTAGACAGATACATATTAGATTGTTCGAAGTTGTTTCACGAATCGAATTTTTTTAATAGTCTTAAACTACGTGTCGTTAGTAGACCAGATGTGTTAAATATACACAGCAGGCCTTTGCCTATCTATTACAATGAGATAATGATGAGTTTTTAATAAAAAGGCTAACATTTATTGCTAAAAATCAACGCTTAACGATTAAATTAAAATAGATCTTCTAAACGTAAAAGCACTGGTAAAATCCACAGAAGATTGATGCGAGTATCCAGTAAATAGACATTTAGCGAAAAAAGGGCTTTTGGTGATGCAGTCATTTTAACAGAACCTAAAACGTTGAAGACTGCAAAAGTGGTGACTACACCTTAGGATCTTAAACAAAACAACGAATTAGAGTGGTTATGGAAAAGCTTGAACAAAGCAGAGAATGGGTAATGCATCACTGTCAGCACGTTATGATTCCTTAAAGTACGTTTCATGAAACTGTTGCGGAAGCATCTGAAAAAAGAAATGGAGAAAAAAGCAAAAGTAGATTTTTCTCGAAATGAGTCTAGAATAGATGGAAACACGTGTGACGTACTATGAAGAGATTTAGAACAGCCTTTACCTGCAAAAAACCTGTTTAAGGCACACCATCATCATAGATGGGATATGAGCCAGTCTGTGCAGCCTTTCAGGAAAAGTTAAGCAAAAAATTCAGCTTTGAGGGCAGCGCCAAATAGATTCTGGAGAAGCCCATACTCGAAGTGATATCGGGTGAGTTTGCGGGATATTGCCCAAATAGGAGACCCCTAGTGCTACAGAATATTTCAAATCTTTAAAGAGCTTCATGAGTATCTAGCGCACCAATCTATGGCAGATAGTGTAATTACTCGACGACACTGTACGACTTCATCGCCACCCTTCGATTGTGGCCTGTATCAAAGTAAACGGAATCGAACGACGAGTATTATATTTTCCAGATTTAAGATATTTTAATTGTCTCCATGCTTTAAAGGAAGTAACACGTGACGTAAAATATCTACTGCGTCAAATACGTCATTGGTAACGAAATTTTCGCAAATCATAATCACACGCCTGCTAAGTAACCTCCACAGAGCCGACTTCATTGTGAAGGCAACGAAAAATGCATGTAACATACACGTGGTTCTCTTTCAACATAGGACTCACAAATTAATAAACTTTTTTTGGCCTATAACTATTGAATCTATGAGCTTATTTTTCCAACTTGGAACCTACCGCTCTATTCATAATATGCATATTTGCGAAAAGGCTTATTATAAATTACCCTCTCTATTAGGACCTTCCGCTCATTTGGGTCAAACATGCTGAGATATATTCTACAATAATCTCATACATTAGATTTTTATCTGTTGCTTCTTTATAATAGGGCCTGCACACGCTTTTGCTATGTCTAAATGTTAGAAGCTAACGGAAATTAGGCTTGTAGTTAGGACGGACATAGTCTAAGGGCTGAAGCATAACGGGTAATGAATCCGAATTGAAAGAGCTCAGCTTTAATTAGAATTAAAGCGCAGGTTGTATGAATGTCGACCAATATTTCCGCGCTGAATGAACCTTTACCAAGCATAAAAATTCCGTTCTGGCCCAAAATCGATGGTCCACGTTATTGCCAGGTTCAACGTGGTTTCTGAAAAATCTGAGGAAGGCTTTCATGGGGCAAACCGGAAGATACCCAGTAGAGTTTACATATAAAGGACTCAAAAATGCATCAAGCTAGCTTGAAAAACCATTTCCCATATACCTAGGTTTTTATCCGAGAAGTTAACAGCCGTTTTAGAGAGGAAAATATTAACTGTCAATTCGTCATCCAAATAACGTCCAGTGCTTAGGCTTGCTAAGACTATTCGCGCCGGATTTTTGCATTTTTGGGGCTTTTGAGCCGCTGTCATCCCGAAATCTAATTCCGTTGCAAAATCGAAATTTTTTGCATGTAGTACATTTGAGCGCCACAAAGTATGTCGCCACCTACAAATATTGCTTGATGCACAGCTACTATAATCGGTGAACTAAATCCCAAATGGAAGCTGTAATCCCGGTATGATCATCAGGAACGATATTTATAGCGTATACAGAAAAATTCATTGAATTTTTGCCTTGACACAGCTTGAGGGAAAAAGTATCAGAAAAAAAACCCAATTTAGGTGCTGTACCCTGTATTTTATTATCTATGTATATATATTATTAAAGCTTTACTATTATTGCTACGGGGACAGCCCACGCTGTATCAAAAGGAGAAACAAAGCCAGACAAATTAAATATAGGCTTGACTATAACGTTTCCAGTCACATGGTCAATAAGGAGCATGCATTTTCGTGTTTGAAAGTTTTTACTAATTAAAATAAATATAGGTTATGTATGCACGTGCCTAAATCTTTGTGTAAGATGCATTGTTACCTGTAGTGATCGTCGAGGGGACTATCAAAGCACACTTCCCATAGTCCTCTTCGTCGGAACTTTTTAGCACCGGGATGAATGGCATCATTGACAAGCCAGTATGGCGTGCAAAACGCTACCGTGATGAATACAAGAGCTAGCAAAAGGGTAGCCGCCGAAAGAAGATTAGACCTCGGCGAGTATCGTCGTGGCATTGGGGTCAGCACCATCCTGGACGCCGGCCGATTAAAAATCATCTCCTCCTCTAGAAAAATCCTGGGCGGGTAATCTATATTCCGGCCGTCCGCTTACAGCAAACACTGATTGTACTAGACAGAACGAAACTTACGAAGCACCCATGCCTATTCATTTACACAATGGACTGCGCGCGCATACGAAACAAATTCACAGTAAGCCTCCTTTTATTCGCTTCGATATCGCAGACGAGATGCCATGTTTAGCGAAATCGTATTGGCTAGTCGTTAGACGTTACTTCAAACACAGATCTTTACGCATCGAAGGCTGAGACGCAAATGAGAATGGTGCTATGGGCTGCGCGAGCTGGTTGAAGGTTAACTCCAAGAGCCCGTGAAAGGGGAAACAGGACAGTTCCTATTATTTTTTAATATAAGTTTTTTGCTTAGAAGAAATTGGCTAAGCTTTCAGAGTTCCGTATGTTTGGGAAGGTACGAGGCTTTCGACAACGTCGGCGATGCGATGGCAACATTGGCAGCCCTCGTCAGGAAACAGCCTTCAAGTATGCAGTTCACCCTCCCTCCTAGAAATCCGTGCATCGCTGCGAACAATACTTCCATCGTCGTCTCACCAATAAGCGGAATGGAATAAAGGCAATGTGAACATTGCCCATCGCTACGGTAGTGGACATGCAGATGCTGCTTGAACAGAAACAGGCGCGATAGCTACGATAAGAGGAAGCAGCGATTTCTTGTGATTGCTCACCTTTCTGTTGCATCAGTCACCCTCAGAAAAGATCGAGGAGGGGGCGGAACTGTAGGCAGCGCCACGCAGAACAACAACGTCGATGCTGAAACTTCAACGTCGAAGCAAGTTGTCGCGGGAATACTAAAACAAATACTCATAGAAATGGTAGTAGCTGTTCTTGGACAGTACAACGGTAAGTAATCATAGTTCAAAAAATCCTAGATTCCCTCGACTTTAGTTGACTGACAGCTCACTCGTTACTAACAGCGTGTAGTGATATGCAGCCATGATTGCGGTGCAAGGTGTGGGGGAGTCACGCGATCTCCCGGGTGTTGAGCCCAACTTCTTCTCGTCTGCGGTGTTCGTTAACACTATGCGCAAGCACCACTGCTGACGATGCACGAACGAAAATATGGCCAGGAAGACATGCGACCAATAAAAGCTAGCTCACAACGGCCATTGAATTCGTGAATGATTAGTTTTCAGCCAAGAGGCTTGTCTGAGCTGGACAGAGCGCCCATCGAACCATGTCATGAGACTCTTCGGAGGATCCGTTACCGAAACGTAGCACAACCGTCAGCAAAGGGGTAGACTTATCACTACTATGGTCACAACAAGAACAGCACTAACATCATTAGTATTACAATAATTCTTTGAAAATATTGTTTTTCTAGTTGTTCATTGCATAGGCCTAGCAATGACCGGACGTTTATTCGAACGAAAAAGCGTTCTGGACTGAAGTCGGATTGAGTGGAGGACAAAATGGTTTGCAGTTTTTACAACATCTCGTGACAATTATAGAACCTGGACATTGAGATTGTGAAGATCACCAGCTACAAGATATAGGGTCACCTTTGTTTAAATCTCTGGCATTGTAACTATACTATTTGATGTCGTATTTGATATAAGAATTTGAATTTATAAGCATCTTATTTTGATGGATATAGGGCGAAAAGTCCTTCAAATAATCGTCCAGAAAATCGTTTCAGTTAATGCGTTGGCAATAACTATAAAGGATTACAATTAAACCGATTTCTGAAGATGATATAAATGGACAATTTACAGAAAATTAGCTAGTAAATTTTGCGCTTAGCTTCACATCATTAGTTGATAACTTAGAAAAAAGAAATTACTATATTAGGATGAAAAGTGACCTCTGCTGATTTAAATTTTACCACCCTGTGTTGAACAAATGGGACAGCTTTACACCTCAATTGTGCTACAATACCTTCAGCACAAATTAACGTTATTGAACGTCCCAAAGCTTACCGCGAGCATATATCAGTGAGTTATAAAAAGGAACTTTTTCTTAGTTTTTTTCTAAAATAGTACGTATGATTTCATTCGTCATTTTATAGACCACCGTGTTTCCTTTGTCCAGTGCATCTTTAGAGTTGTAACGTATTCTTATTTCTTCCCACAAAGGCGCTAAATTAACTTTGTATTAAACAGTTCCCCATAACAGGTCGTCTTGAAAATATAAAGAAAGGTCGACGTTAAACGATTTAGCTTTATCGTATAAATACATTGCTTTCTGGCAAACTTTTCTTAGATAAGAATATCCTATGTAACGGTTATGCATTCAAAATATTTATTGTCTCCAAAATATTTTCACCCATTAGCCTGCACCTATGAAATACTACTTTGAAAAGCAATGTCAGCAAAGCCAACGTATAACTGAATCGGATGAATTACACACATAGCGATTACAAAGGCTATACATTTCAACCTTTGATAGATGAGCTAGAATATTTAATCCTTGTATCCGTTTGTTTCGTTTGTTAGGCTACACGACCGGATGAGCTCGGATATATTTTGCCAGCAAATAAATAAACATGTAACATTCTATGTAAGAATTCTATGGCCTGCACACAACATTTTTTGCTCCAGAATGCGACTGCGTAGCAATTTCATTATCATTTTGTATATTTATTAATTTCTAACATGACATCATAAACACTCTCAACATCACTAAAGATCATAACCCGAATATTTATACGGGGATTTTTCCTGCGTACACATTAATATGTTGAGATAACGACATTGGACGTCAGTGATAAAAACGATTGTTTTCAGAACAAAAATGCAACCTCCAATATTATTACTCATTGTTCTACACCCCTGATAGTGGCGTTTCAGTAGCACTAACATCATTTCCGAAAATGTTGTGTTTTACAGTCTTCGTTAAGTAAACAACAAAATGGAATGATCTCTAATAATCGATTTTGACAAGAGAAAAAGTAGTAAGGTGCTGCACAAATGCAGTCCCTGCTTCAGTTTAACTTTCCTTAGTAGTATCCTTCCCCTACAAAAGTAATGGTTATATGTCAATACCCTATTCATTTAAGCAACAGACTTCATCATTCTTAACTAGCACTGCTAGAGACGTACTTCGCGTAACCAAACGCAATGATTCTTTTAATTTTGTACGACGCCAGCTCCTTTTAGGCAATCCTCATACAAATAATAGGCTCAATACTTTGCCGTGTTAGACGATGGGATAGCAATCGTATAATCCATTGAGCCTGCTAAATTTTACGGTAGTTTGTCAATCTTTTAATACAAATATATTCCATAATAATAAGTTTCGGCACTTTAGTGCCCTTTTTGTTTAGAAGAAAATTCATTTTCAATTTCATATATCGAATGCTCCTGTTTGAATGCCCATTTTACATCACATCAACCTGTAAAGAGTATGCAAACAATCATGCGCATAAACAGGCTCGCTAAAGTGTTCGCTTTATTACTCAACTGTCGCATATGGTAGTAGATACTCCATACATTTACTGGATTACTTTCTCTCAAAGGAACCTTTTTTTTATTCTCATATTTCTCATGTTTCTTATTTATTTTCACTGCTCATATTTCCTCAACTCTAGATCTATTGTTAATAAAGCCATTCTAATCATTTATGCTAATTGTAGTGCTAACTATCCAGTAAACGATGTTTGATCACGTGACTGAAATCTCTAAGCGCCAAATTCAATCTGGAGGGGTCAATTAATGGCGACTATTCAGACTTTCTGATAACCATTGTTTTGTTGTCTCTCGAAATTTCTTCTGAACCCGCTTTGGCCTCAGATCTTAGCCGAATACCAGCTTCGGAAAAATTTGAACAACTGACTTGATTGTCAAGTATATTCAGATTTGTTGTGCTACTACCAGCCTCGACTGGCCCTTCTGAGCGGCACGCATTTCATTTAATTCGTTGCTAAGGAAGTACACGGTAAGCTGTTGAGCGGTGGCGACAACTGCGTCTATGCAGTGAATCAAGCCTGCAGGCATAGCACAGTGGTCAGTACCATCCGCCGCTGCGCAATTGCGCGATGGGTTGTGCCTCTCCGTAGTGGCACGACGAACATCCTGGCATTGTTTCCTAACTCGTGTGCTTGAATGCAATCGTTGTAGACTGTGGCTAGTGTGCTGCTACAACAGCCGTCATCGGCGTTACCACAAACGTGCAGGCGTTCCTCCAACGGCGGGAAGCGCCCATTCACAAAATCGTTATCAAGGTAAGTGAGGAAGCATCGCAAATTAAACGAACAAACTGTCGAATTAAGTTTCTGAAAAGAGTTTCTTGCTTATTGGCATGTATCGCCAAGTTAGGGCAGTTGCAGTAAATATTACAATGATCGCAAACACGGGCTATTCTCGACGGAGGAGTAATATTATAAAGAAGGGCTGTAATATGGTGGACACACGTAAGAAGAGGGAAGGACAATGTGAAATGCTGGTTCTGTTGACCTACGCACATCTAATGTGAATGAAGGGACAAATAATAAGGACCAGGTTTATGGCATTATATATTCTTGTTATTTTTATCTTATAGGTTTCAACCACGAGTATCGTATTTACCGATATCTCCGTCACAGTTGCGGCTCGCCTCAGAAGAAAACAGCAACATTTTCTTGGACAATAAATCAATTTGATCGTTTGTAATTTCTTTTACAAATTCACGCATTTAAACTTGGTCAAATCGACATCGAACTTTTGACAGTGAAACGTCATCGAAAATCTATATTCAATTACAAAAACCGTAATCGTTTTAACCAAGCATGGTACGAATATTTATTGGCAAAAATTGTTGGTAGGTTTAGTGTAAATCCTATTAATTGCAAAAAATATTTGCCAAAGCAATAGAGATGCGGTGAGTAGAATAATTCCATAAAAGGGCGAAAGAATTATTCTTTTAAAATCGAAAACCGTGGTTGGGTATCGCCTGAATCGGGTGTTATCTTTAATCGGCTTTGCCAAAAACTTCGTTTCGTCACAGGTTCGGTACCTAAAACCAACATAAGATGTAGGGTTTTCAACGAAAAATATTTTATTTCAAAAGTTTGACGAGATGGTATAATACATGGACGTATCTAAGAGTCAAGTTAGATATTGGTTTTACTCAGTGAGCTTACTTGTAAACAGTCTTTTGTGGCAACAACTAAACTTAAAAAGAAAGAAAAAATAACTTCTACTGTGACTAGCAGAAATGAGGAGTAACAATGAGTAAAAATATAATACGCAATAATGGGTTATTGCGGTGTTATATACCATGCAGCAGCACTTTTTCTGCTTACTCTCTGCTAACTAATAAACGGTAGCATCGAGTTCCACCGGTCGTCCCACTTTAGGAATATATTAGCGGCTGTTAATAACATTGATTTTTCTAAACTCAAGAACCTTTTACTTATATTTTAAATTAGATCCATTCCATAGAACTTTATAAATTTAAACAAAAAAAACGTGACTCGCTCCACAGGACTCCATTAGGATCTGCATGCTGGAGTAAAAACCTAAATGTTTGTCACTACATGTGGTTGATTTGTGCTCATACGACTACATTGGATATGCCTTGGTATAATCCTTTTATCCCAATATACTTTAGGTAATGTAGGCTTCACTTAGTGGGTTTCTTTTTGTATCTCAATTCTAAACCGATACACGAGTTATGCTACATTTTTTGCGTGGCTCCAACCTGATAAGGCATTGTTTAAAATTCTGTGTCTTATGAATATTTTGTGAACTATGCGGTTAATGGTAATTTCAAATAGCAGCGTTAGCGGATCGATTAGTTATTAATAAAAATAGGAAGGTTTTTTTTTGATGCAACCTTTCGATCGATAGTGTTTATTTCAATTGGCAAAAAAGGGTTCCATAAGATTCCTGCAAATTATAATAGTTCTTATGAAGATGATTTGCTAAAACTTTCAGCTACTCAATTTTTAATAAAGTTGGGGCGAATGTATCAACTCACTGCTCTGGGTGTCCTCTTTTTCTAAGAGAAGGCTAAGCTCTTATTTTTTCATGCCTCTTCCATTGTCACTTTGGCTCTTTTCCATTTGACATCTATCAGGGTTTTCTTATTTCTTTTAGTGCTTAATAGCAAAACACCGTGTGTTCGACTTTGTCTGTTTATCTTATGTCACACAGAGCACAGATATCTACTTCACACTAGCTAATTTGGGTTCGAAACTGATCACGCTTGATCAACATGATACTAAACTTAGATCACGTGGTGGTCTAGCTAGGAATCCGAACGTAGACATGCATTGTTTCGTGCTAAGAGCCACCCAGCCATTTGAAGCAATGATTAACAGCTTAAGTTCCGGACGTCAAACTCGAAACAATTAAAGTGCCAGAAATTGTGAAAAACAAACAATTGTGGTCCAAAAAAATACAAACGTAGTGTTTTTTTAGATAAATTATATTAGATGTAAATTGTTTGTACTACAGCCCTCAGCTCCCAGGGTTTGTTAAAGGAAGATTCACGTCATACGGTGTGGGAGTAATAATCCTAACGGCAATATGGAAACATTTGAACAATAGCTTTGGTTAAAACTAACCTGCCGCAATAAAATATAACACAGCAAACGGCCAAACACACACGATAGTGTAAACTAAAACCGTTAATAAACTTTATAATTAACTAGGTTTGGAATCGAAGAGAGCTTGATGATAGCGGCATCCAAATAATAGAAATTATATGAATCACTTCTTTATAAAGATTTTTCAATTACTAGACGAGGTAGCTGTCATGCCTGTATTCGTTTAAATTTAGAATAATTCGTCATCTTGATTAAACATTTTTTGCACCATTACATTTAATAGCATATTATGTGTTAATTTAAAAGCATTGATGAGTAGAGTATTTACATAATTAATAGGTACACCTTAATGCAACGATTTGATAATACTAATTCGCTAAAGTTTCAATAATATGCTAGCTATAAAAAAAACAAATCTATATACATAAATAATCTATATTTATGTCATGATTAGGCATCGACCTGATGTCTACCTATGTGCACAATAAGTAATAACAATAATAATATAAGTTTTTTCTATTCAACTTTATCTTGCTCGTCTTCTTTCAAAGCCTTCACTCATCGTGGATGCTCCTGGTTAAAGCGAACGTAAAACCGCCCGAAGCCATGGTCCACGATGCCTATGGTCTCCACAAGGGATCACAGCGGCTGCTGACTGGGACAAATGTCAAGATAAACAACAATTACTCGCTATCATTTTCATTCAGATTTTCGTGTCTCTTTCCGCGTACTCTCTCGATTTGTTCGAGAAAGTTCTTGCATTTGGCTAACATCACTTTGATGCTTTCTTTTACAAGGACGTCTGGCGGTAACATACCCACACTTTCCACGCTAAATATAAAATGATCCCTCTTCCGGCCGAGACGCACCTTCGATGCGAGGTCATCATACCTAAGCACGTTTCGGCTGCACGTGTCTCTGCGGGCGTTTACAATGCGAGCGACGTTTTCGTTGCCCTTTCGTTCCAGTTCGACAACGCCCTTCGAAAATGAATCCCGAAACCTGACAGCGGCCTCTCCCCGAATTTCTTCCAGAATATCGATCGTTGGTAGTAATCGATACGATGCAGTAGCTACTGGCGAGAACTTTGCGTGTGTTTTGCCAATACCTTTCATGCATTCGATTTTCATTGAGATTTCTTGGCCTGGACGCATTTTTGCGATCAGAATATCGCCATGGACTGGCTTCGGAGGGTTTTTGGCGAGCAAGGCCTCCTGGCCCTCAAGCGGCACCCATTTCATATGTCGAGAATATACGTCACTGTTGATGTACAGTTCCTTGGGGTCAGTCGCATCGAGGTTCGCTTGCAGGTTTTTCGTACAGCGAACATTTAGCTCAAACACAATGGTGTTTTCAGCTGAAGCCGATTCCGACGGCATACGATACTCAAACAGCCGCGGGTCAACCTTGATAGGCACGAGACCAACCCGGTTTGTGAGATCTTTATCATGTAAGAATGAAGTGTTGTTGATCAGGGTTATACGGTCTGCTGCAAGGATCGGCACCTGAGAATAATACAATATGTGTTTATGTTAATGTTTGCTTACGTAAACAAAACGCAAAGCTGAAATCATTGCCTCTAATATCTGTTACCTTTATCTGATAGAATTCAGCAAGATTATTGACATTTATGTCCCGTTATTATTTTTAAGGGTTAGGATTTTCAGGCAGAGGCCTCTTCTGACAACTGCTTATTAAGATGACATTAGGACTTATTTTTAGTGCACTTGGCAGATGAATACAGCAGTGTTCATCTGCCATTTTCAGGTGTTTCCCTCTGTAAATAATCACTCATCGAACAAACTCTTAATAAAACGATACAAAAAATTAGGTTTTTGTTTTTATTTAAATACAATTTTACTTCTAGTACTAACTGAAAAATAATGGTACTTCCAATATGAACATTTATCTTTTGTCGCTTGAAATATGAAAACAATACTAAGTCATAGAAAGAAATATACAAGACTGCTTACTTCAGCAATGAGAATTCGTCGAATGGCATTCGCGATTGCAGGATTCACACCGATCAGATCAAACTCAAGTTCCTCCTCATCACATTTGACCACGCTCATACGAAGCTTTTTCTTGAACGCCTCTAAACTGTAGGGTTCCGAATCGGGATCTAAATCCTCAACGGGTCGCATATGATCTTGCTGGTATAGGCCGATCGAAACCTGAGAGTCACATGACTCGATCTTCACCATTTTTTGTTAATTCACCTTGTTAAAACACATGTTGACGTTAAAGGAGTAATCAACAAACATTACATGTGCCATAAGATCCGAGCAAGTGTTTGGAAAATTTGATTTCCATCACAAAATTAGCAGAAATGCTTGGTCAACTTCGACCCGTTGGCGATTGACTAATAGTAATGTATGACCCCCTTGAACTTTATTGAGATTCTGGGTTCTATAGACAAACCGGAACAGTAGATTGGAAACTAGCAAATTCCCCGTATACGTACGTATAAACCCTGTTATTGCTTAGCGTTTGGTAGACATAACTAACATCTTATGATCTTACACATAAATCTCCAAAATATTAAGAATCAATGAAATGTTATTTCATTTATTTTTAATACTTGGAGCAGACACGCGCAGCTTTTCCAAGCAATTTCATTACAAGGCTTGTACAAATTAACTAATTGACTGTCAATAAGGTGACATCTTGTGTGTCATTTAAAGACGGAAAGTTGCAATTACTCTAATCGTTACAATGTATTAGGTTTCACTGCTGATAAGTATATTGTTTTCTTATTGTTTATTGGTAAAAGATTTGCTTAACAGCTCACCCTTGTACGTTTTCCAACAAAGTATACACACGTACACGTATCTATACGTGAAACTTAACCAAAGTTTTAAAGATCACAGAAAATTTCTGAAATCAACTTGCACGTTCGATATAATAGTATGCCTCCACATTTCAATCCATAAATTCGGAGGCCGGGTTGGATGGAATTATTGGATGGACGCATTTTGTGGCCATTGAGTCACCCGCGATAATTCAAAGGTATGAGACCATGTACGAATGCTAGCACTGTGATATTGCAATGATTTGAGCAAAAACAGTGTTCGGCAATAAACAAAGTCGTTCTCTAAATGCCAACTACTTCACAACGTTAAGTCAGCAGATTTCTTTTAAGGAAGGCAAAACCTTAATATTATATATAATAGTTATAATCATTTCTTTACATTTTTGTCAGATACGTATGCAGATTTAACGTAGCGGAAATATCAATGACCCTCGGTGTTCTCGAGTCCAGTTCGTAGCTGAAATTAAAGTTTTTCAGTTTTACACTAGCAAAATAATTTTTGTAAACCGAAGCTGCTCAAAAATAACGTTGTTGATAATATTAATCATAATCATGATCATTTCACCTGTAACTTGTTCTCCTATTGACATAAACGATTAGCCAGCTTTTTTTCCAAGGAGTCATCGATGCTACTATGCTAGCATCATGCGTTTGCCAATTGCATATATGCAAATGTGCGTCCAAGAGTGTTTTATTCTTATATAGAATTCAATATATTTACTGTCGATGATGTAACGTGCTTCATCAACTCTTTTAGCTATTGTGAACTAATTATCTTCTGCTACAATCGTAAGGATTAATAACTATTTGAATAGATAATTAGTATTTGCCGTGCAATATCCATAATAAACTGGGGAACCTTTCGCGTTTCCCGTTTAATGGAATGAAATGTGGTTCAAGCCTCTCGGAATTTGGACTTTAGCTGACCTTAAAAGATAGATAGGGACATTAGCTTATTATTCCTAAAAATTGTATCGCGTCTATGTGTCGTTAGCAAAACTCGAAGTAGCACCCCCGTTTTAGTTTCTTTCAACTAAAGGTTAGGCCGTGCAATGTACAGCAATGATAACGGATACTGAAAATTGATTAAATAATACAACCAGTATATATATATATATATACTACTACCCGATCGCAGTGTAAATTCTGAAGCTATAACTCAATAATTATCAAGCTTGCAACTAATTAAATTTCCCGCGCTTAACTCGACTTGTCGTTCAATACAGCTTGTCGTTCAGTACCACCGTGTTTGCGGCAGCGGTCAGTACAGTGTTTTGGATGCGTGCCAACTCGCGAGTAACAGAGCTAAAAGCCGCGGAACGACTAGTGTTGAGCGTGGAAGAATCAGGCAGTGGCATAACACGACTTCCCACACGCGGCCACTAGGCCCACGATTACTGGACGCAACAAGCGTTTGCCTATACAAACGTTTGTCTGTACGTATGTCGGGTTCGGGTGCTGATCCAGCGTCATAGCGTTCCGACTGATTACCCGCGTACGGGTTGCGTCCTGGGTGTACAAGACAAACGAGCTTGTCATTTGTTTTGCTTAGCCGGTTTTCGGCATTAATCTGTTGTTGTGTGTGCTACAAGTGATATTCTGTTCTCTCGTACTAGCAGCTTTCTACGTCCTCGGCTTGTGTAGTTCCTACGTAGGCCCTGCTTGGCCGCCCGCAGCTGGCAGGCGAAAACTGTTGCTGCTATGGAGTCAAAATGGTAAACATTTGCAGCGTCTGAATTTGAATGTTTTCACCCTCTGTGCCACAGCTGTAGATGCAAGTGACTGCGGCAGTGGGTTTGCTCTCCTGTCGAATGAGTGCGTTTCGCTCTATCCTACAGATCTGGTTGATCTGGTCTGTGCAGAGCTCCAGCACATAGAAATAGTGAGAATAGGACGGAGATTCGAAAAGAAGGGAGAGGTAGTCTGTGTAAGCAGAGTCCCTATGGAAACGAAGGAAATGATGTTTGTTTTTCATCACAAAAGCCAACTAACGGCTTCGCTCGGCTACGTTTATGGTATTCAGGCCATCTGAAAGAGTGAATTTCGTTATACCGCAGTGCAGTGTTTACTTTACAGTGTGCGCTGAAAGTGCCGCTATCATCGTGCCGCTATCATCTTTGTGTCTAACGACAAAACAACAGAAATTAATCAGCACAAATCTAACGCTAAACGACAGCCAATACAGCAGCAATGGAGTTCGTGTCGAATTCGATTACATTTCATTATAATGCTAATAATAGAGTACATGTTTTGCTTTTCTTTCGTTTATCTACTTAAGCGTATCGCAGTTCTTTTACTATACAATATTATTTGCTTTGTATAACGGGAATGCAGTATATTGCTCATATTTATAAAGGCTCTGTCGGTTTCATTCAGGACGTTTAAAAAAACATTTCTAAGCTTAAAAAAAAGTAAGTTAAAGTAAAAGAAGTTGAAATGGAAACAGTTTTAGTTGGATATTGTCATTAAGTTTTTATTATACCTGCCTCAACTGTGGAATGCTTTCCACTGCGCGTATTTATTGTGGTGCTAATGAGCCTATGCGAATACTGCTGAATTAATGCGCTTTTCATAATATCCCAATGATTTAATGACTCTATATATAATATTGTAATAATCATAAAAGATGCTTTTTTATGACACGCCACAAGTATACTTAAATATATGTGAGGCACGTGTTGCTAATTCGCAGCAGAGCGTAATGTTCGTCTTCTTTGTTTTAGGACCACCTTAATCACGCTCATCGGATTGCTGCGTGATTCTATATGCAAGGTTATTTCAGCCCAATCTGTATCGTATAATACATAAATCCTTCTTAGTATCGAAAGTGCCCTGTAAGAATGTATGGTTGGTAGCTACAGGCAATAAACAAAGGAGTTCTAGTTTCGGTTCTCACAAGCAACATTTTTTTACAATTCCAGAAGCTACTCACGTAGATAAGCTTACGTTTTTCAGTAACAAATACTCTTCAACGCACAGTTTTCAAACCTCAAGGCGCAAGTTACGTGTTAATTTTCAGCGACTGCTTTAGTAAACTCCTCGATAGTTTTGCCTTTGTATTTTTTGTAGCATTTCGATCTCTTTTGGCCAATAAAACAACTAATAACGAACTGGTGTTTGTTTTTTGTGAGCACGTTTGGGCTAGTGACCGCTTTCATTCACTCAAGTATACTCTTGGCACTCACTTCAACCATTTGATCTGCGACAGTCATCTATTTGATTTGAGAAAACAACTTAGCTCACAATTCTCAGCACGTGTACTCTAGTGTTCGATATACTTCCGCGGCAATTTACAACGTGTTGCGACAGGTCACTTGATCTTTTATTCAGGCGCGAATTTTGAAATTAAGGAGATTTTTTACCGGTCGTGAGGCAAAGGAATGGTGATGCTGGAGTCAGCCGACTTTTTTAGGTATCAAAAATATCAACCATCAACAAAACGTTCCTGATTAAGATTGTGTTGACCGCCTTCGCTGTTCAAATCGGTGGGAAATATATTAGGCTCAGGCGGTCAGTTGAGTGTATCAGGTGTTTTTTTTTGTCCTGACACGCCCTAACATTTTCATTGCGGTTGATTCGTAATCGTTTTATGGAGTTGCTAGTAACGTGCTTGGCCGTTTTACCAGGTAGCATTTGCTTTTGACGATGTGCTTTTTTCATCGTTTCCGCTGCCCGAATTTATTGTTCGTCTAGGAATGATGCACTCTCGAACAACACTTCGGATCCGAACCGTGCCGCTCAGCGCGTGTTCGTTGGAAATCTCAAGCCACACATCGTTCGAGTTGACCTCTTTGATATTTTCTCGAAGTACGGAGAAGTTACGGGTGAGTAACTGCTCTAGCGTTTGTAATAGCACATGAGCCCATATCTGGTCTGTTTATGCAGTTATCACTAGAGATATATGTTAGAACAACCGTTGCCGTTGGCCGATATAGCTAATCCAGATTTCAATAGAAAGCCTCTCGTGTCCGCGAGTAATAGCTTGCTGTTTGATGTTGTTGGTGGTGTTGGCATTATTAACTAGCCTCTGACTTTGTGTGTTCGCTATTAACTCGCGTTTCTGTGTACTGTTTGTCACATGGCAACTTGAACAGGAGCAAATAGTAAATGTTCCTTTAATAATTTGGGACACTTTGCTGTTACATGATATTCGGTTCGCGTGCGATTCAACAAATGTGATCGTCGAATCCACCACCATATGCCCATCGTTTTATACTATGGCTTTATTAGCTATCTCGATCAATCGTCAGGGCTACGGTTTCGTGCAATATTCAGATGAAGACGCGGCTCAACAGGCACTTAGCGAAAATGGGGCTCAGGTGAAGTCATGCACTTTGCAAGTGAAACCCTGTTCTGTAAATGATCTCCGCAAAAAACGACGAGACAGGAGCAGAAGCCGCAGTCCGCTGCCGACAACGCCGCAGCGTTATGGGAATGAGTGAGTAAAATGTTTGACAAACATTCAATACCTGGCATATACATCGGTCATATTCTTCTTAGTATTATTGCTATTATTATTATTACAACCCGAAAAGCATATAGTATTACTATAAAAAAAAAGTTTTTTAATTTTTTTTATAAGTTCTACAGTGATTTAATTTATTAGCGTAATATACATAATATAAACTTTGGGCTAAACAATAAAAAGTTGATCGAGTGCCCAATCATTGTTTTTGCTGTTGTTATGGTTTTTTTTTCGCTTTCAAAGGAATTCTCTTGATAGACGACGTAGCAGCAGTCGGTCGCCTCCACCCGTCAAACGTAGTCCGAGTCCGCCTCGTGGAAGGGGCGGCCCTCCTCCAAGGGGACCTCGGTATGACGGCGGATTTCAGCGCGATGGAGGAAACGGCAATTATAGGGCTGAAGGCGGAAGCTCCAGCTATCGAGGTGAAGGTGTGAACAACAGCAATAGTGGCGGCTATCGCAGCGATGGCCATCGAAGTGGTCGATCTCCGCCGCGAAGAAGTTCTTCCCAGTCGCAGTATGTGCCGTCACATCATCATCGAGGGTAATTGATTATATTTCATTATAACGCTTACACATACGGTGTGTTATGAAATCGTTAACCCATAACTTCGTTCTGTATTTCGAAGAAGTTGAAATTTCGGCGTCACAAACGAAGTTAGGCGAGGGAAAAGGAGTGGTTAATTATTATGTTCGTAGGATTGTTTTTCGGCTCTTTATTGGTGTTTAACTCTGCACGTTTCAGTTAAGTTGCACAAACCTCCAAAGATGGAGGTGTTAAAAAATGTAGTAACGATCAATTTGGAGTTCTGAAATGGGCTAAATGTAACCCAAACTCACGAGGAAATTTGTGTGGCGCATGGACAATACTGTAACCGATCACACAGCCAGGAAGTGGTTCGCTCGTTTTCGAAGTGATTATTACCACAACGAGGACATGGCACTTCCAGGTCTAATCTTTAATTATGTGGACACTGAAATTCTCACTGTTGTAGGCCCGCACCCACACATGAGCATTCGCCATATTGCAGAAAACACAGGAGCATCCAAACTGGCTGGCAAAAATATCTAGCAAGCAAGGACTGCGTCAATCAAACTGACATCTGGATTCCCTATGAGTTGAAAAATTACTAAATGACAAACCGTGTTTATTACATTAAGTCCCTCAGATCTTTAATGATCCACTTAAAATTGTATAAGTGCAAATGGGATGTTTTGCCTCATCCGCCGCGTAGTCTCGACCTTGCTTCTTCCGATTTTCTTTCCGATACTTGCAAAACCCCTTAAACAGAGAAAATTTTGTATTTTTAGAAGGTGTAAATAACCATATTTACTATTTAACAAAGTGTAATTGAAAAACTGCATAAAACATGGGCGAGGCCAATATATCATTAATAATTGTGTAAGCAGAAAATGAGCTTTGTTCAGAATTAAATACTATTCCAGCGCTAACCTCTAGGATTTTACACAGGATCCTACTTAATTCTTTTCGGCTAAAAGTGAAATCATTGCTTATCCCCGTAGATCAGTGGCACTACTATCGACAACAATGTATAGCTTTTAGTACGATAAGTTCTACGGTTAACATGACAGTTAAATAGGACAGGTTTCCAGTATTTTTTAAACCTTTCTTGTAGTCTTCCACGATTACCATCAACGTGCGTCTTTCTTAAGAATTGTTGTATACTTTTTTCGTATAGTCCTCCACTTGATGCGCCGCGCAAACCCAACGACTGCGAAATTGTTGTCATGTCGAAGCAGCAAAGAGATTATGCCGAAAACGTTGAAAGACGACTAAAAAATCTTGGCCTCAAGGTAAGTAGTCATATAAGTTCTAGTACGATCCATCTCATGGACTGTGTTGTTGGATTAAAATGATAGCTATTTCACTAACATCTTAAGATGCTAAAAGCAAGAAATTAATGATTGATGAGGGTCGAGCGTGAAGTTCTTTTTTCTAATGTTAATTTAAAATTACTTATTGTATGGAGGACTGATTCAAGGTACGAAAGCTTTAAATATTGTCAATATAGCTAGTTTTATATTCGAAGACCATGCTCAAATCTATCATAAGTTATGTACATACGAATTTCACATAAAACTAACACGGCAGTTGTTATTGTATGTACCTGGCAGATCAATAATAATAGATAGGACGTTAAAACATGTAAGTGCAGGGAATGAGCTCAACTGGTATACTATATTTTTTGGATAAGTCTGTTAATGCCATATCATCAGCAATTGTTAAAAAAATAGATCAGATTAATATTTTTCTTTAACAGTAACCGCTTGCGACCTCAGTAAAACAGTTTGCTATAAATAAAGTAATCCAGTAAAATCGATTTTATTTAATGCGCATTCAGGTTGACGTACTCTTCCTCAAGGACGAAGCACTACTTGCGCAAGCCTTGGACGATCTCGGTCTCCGTGGCACATTGTATGCGTGCGTTATAGGCGAGCAACACGAAGTGCATAACTCCGTTACTTTGAATGTTCTCTACGGAGTCCCACAGGGTTTGTATTAACGCGAAATAAGAACGTTTCGTTTTATTATAACGCGTTACTTTTTATCACATGCAATAGTCTTCAATGTAGGCGCTCAATCCACTAACAATAGTTATCTGTGGTTGCCTAAATCTTCCTGATACCTTTGGTTTCTGTTTACTAAGATTTAAGATTCAAAGAAAGGTGTTCATTTTATCAACATATGAACGCTAAAAATGCAAACAACTAATTAGCTATGTAGCTCATATTCTAACTTCTTTTTACTACTGTAGCGTACGTATTTATCAGCTGATCTCGACGCTTATCCGACTCGACTGTTATGCGTTTATTAAAATTTACGTTTCAGAAGGTTTATTGCACGCCCGCATGAGATGCAGGCATTTATTGATTTTATTTGATGCTTTTGGCCTTTCAAACGCTTTACACCAACCGTGAAGAGAGCTGTTAAGTCAAGGAAGACCGACAGTGATAGAGTATTTTTCCTTCAAACTATTACTGCGGAAGATCTTACTCGTCTCTTTTCAAATAAATTTTCAACAGACCTAAATGGTTTTCAAAAAGACTGCAGGCTTCAGTGTGCGGTATTAGTGGACACAATGAAGTCTGGGTCGAAAGGTTCAACAATGAATTTTGACCTTCGACTTCAAGTTTAACTGAAAGAACGAATTGCTTACAAAACGGCACTTGCGGCTTTGGCTGCTTTTCGTTTTTCTCGTGTTTCGTTCGGGATCTTTCCGTTATTTATCGGTGGGATTTCAGAACATCGCAACATGCCGGTCGATGAAGCGCTTAAGTTTCTCTCGCAGAATTTCCGCGAGCATTTGGAACGGCAAAGAGACCGCGACGCTGCTGACGATGAACGGGAGGTGAAATTTTTGCTCAAACTTCTCATCGAGTCTCGTTATATTTCCATCCGTGAATACGATCTGCTAATCCAACACCTTACAAACAAGCGTGATCAGCTGGTAAGTATCGGATGAGACGCTGAGGAGCAGATACCCGTGGGTTTCTATTGCGTCGTTTGTCCATATTCATATGTTTGTCAAAGCAGACATTTTTCGTAATTCTGGGCTTGTAGCATGGCTTTAAAAAAATATACGTTTTTTCGAAGCCATGCTTCTGCTAGAGACTAGATTTGAATATGACTCACAATACACAGACCACAAGCGTGGGTGTAAACTAACCTGAAAGTGTTTCAGATTGAGGAAGAGATGGGCGAAGGCCGGCGGGCTCCAAGTCCACATAGAGATCCACCTCCATCGCATGCAATGGGAGGTGCCAGAGGGGGCTCTTCGTCACAGCATCGGCCTGCTCACGGTAAGTCGATCCAATGGGTTCACTGTTCCGGTAATATTTATCATGACCGAAACTGGTATTATCTATTAGTAGAGGTAGCTGAACGTTTTCTTTTACTTATAATTTTCAATTACGAAGTAACGCAAATATTTGCATTTGCAGATTCGCCAAACCCGATGAAGCAAGCAATGACTATCGAGCAACAGAACCAGCAACTGCATGAAAAGATTCGTAATTTAATTGGAACGCCTCCGAGCGGGCTTGCACCTGCAGCTGCACCCGTTTTGGGTGCGGGAGTTGGTATTGGGTCGCCCGCAACTGCGCCGCTTCAAGCCCCACCGGCTCCTTTTGGCTTGCCAGGTGGCCTCAGCGGTGCAGGCGGCATGGGACAACAGCAGCCTCCAGCTCCATTTGTTAACTTAAACAACCCCTCCGTGCAGGAGGCACTTGATAAACTCATAAAGCAGGGTGCTCTTGGCACACAGCTGGCCATGGGAATTCCTGAAGACCCTCGTGGTCGGCGGGATGATATGGGTGGCCCCGCGGGAGGCGACAAAGAGCCGTTCCCATTGAGCCGAGGTGGACAGGGTGGATATGGCCAAGGCGGTGGAGGTCCGTTTGACGGGTACGGTAATGGCGGAAACGGAGCTTATGGTGGAGGTTATGGTGGGGGAGCTTATGGACCAGGCAGAGACAGGTCTCCTCCGAGGGGACTCTATGGATCTGGGGATGGAGGTAGATACTGAGGGATGCTACAGACCACTACAAATAATGAAAATTAAATAAGTAACTTCGTTTGCTAAAGTGTTCCCTTTCCTCCCCCACCTCTCCCCATATATAGATAAAAGAAATTTAGGCGAGCCAATTTGTCTAGTTGCATCCGAATCGTTCTGCATAGATAGCCTCTTGGAGCAAAAAGGTCTTCAAATATCTGTTAAATGAATACCTAATGATTTATTTGCGTGTAGGGTTACCTATGCTGATAACCGCTTTTACATTCGCCAACCTTACCCTATAATAATGTACAGATGGACCGTATGAGGAAAGTTTGCTTATATTTGGCTGTAATAACATAAAAAGTGAAAAGCATGCCGAACTCACCGCCACAACTGAACCAGCATGTTATTTTTTTTGAAGTCGTCACCAACTTTTGACAATAATTAATAACCACTGAGACCAACAGTGGTCATCTGCAATCGCTAAGTCTTTGCCAGGATCTCAAGGGTATCTTTGTAACGAGTACGGTACACTTTTTCTTCACTCAACTTTGGGGTAACCATATTTCAACAGAAAAAGAAGAATGAACTGTCAAAACAATTTTTTGTTGAACTGTTTATTTTCGCTTGTTCCTTGGTGCCCTGTGGTTTGCATACCGCCTTATATAGGCAAGCATATTAGGCTGCGTCCCGTGATGCTGCGAAATTGCCGGAGTGGCCAGTTGTATTTTTATTGGCGACACAATTGACCCGCTTCCGTTCATTAAACATAGTAAAAGGTAGTGCGCCGATGACAAGTTGTTGTCGACGTTGTTTGCTTTGTCATTAACGAAACCATTGGTTTCGTGTTAAAACTCCGTGAGAACACAGAGGCAGAGCTCGAAACGCTCGTGCGGCAACCTGGTGACTCTCAATGTAAGAACGCCGCCTCGATGGAGGTCTTCGTTCAACGTCACCTTAACGTCTTCGGAGTGGTCTGACTAAAAGGCACAAAACGAGACGCCGTTTCGGACTATGATGTTTCTGCTGCTCCTAGATCAAGCAACTTTCTTTTTTTGCTGCTCGATAAATTGCCGGTGGACCGTATATTTTTCTCTTCTATTTTTTGTTTCGCTTTTTTTCAACACGTCCGTTTATGACATTTTTACAAATTCTAACTTATTATAATTATGATGAATGGACTTTGCATAGTTTCAGCCGGGTATCAATTTACTACACAGCGCACACTGTACCAACGACGAGTTTTGTGGGTCATTCATACAGCTTGTTTGCTGTTGGCCGACCTGTAGAAAAAGTGTTATCCATATATGAATCAACGTGATATAATTGACTCGTAATGAAGATGCAGTTAGGCGATTGAGAACAATGTAACTTGGTGATAAGCTATTGTCATTAGATGTTTTTTTCTGGTAGATCGATGTTAAGAACGTATGCTGAAACAAACACATGCACGATGCTAGTTTTCATCGCCGAGAAAACTGAGTACGTATGGACTGTAATTGTGATTTTGCTGAGTCTGTTACCATTCAGATAACACTTCGGGTCACATTACTTCATAAGAGCAACAGTCCTTAGAATCTACCACAATAATATCATATTGTAAATGATAGTAATTTAGCTTCAGTTGTGAAATTGCTGAGATTATTACACGAAGATCAAGGGGTCAGCAAAATAAGTGACCGGGGAGTAATAACCTGGCACGCATATGCGAGACTCAATGTGCTTTAAACATAACGCAATCACTAACAGGAAGCGACTGAATTTTATGTAGCTATAATGCTATACCTTCCATAGGCAAGTATGCCAGAATTACCGGTTTATATGGGAAGATATACGAATAAAGCTCTCTCTCTCTCTTGCTATATATATATATATATATATATATATATATATATATATATATATAGATACATACACACATATATATATATATATATATATATAGATACATACATATATATATATATCCAGAGTTCGCTGTGGTTACTTCTACGTATCATTTTTGTACCGGTGCTTCAAACAGGCGTACCAGAAAGCATTTGTTTTTTACGTAAATAACGATCCGCACATATTAAAGTAAACGAATCTGTTTGTTTTTTTTCAACTATTTCGAACCTCGAAATACTGGGCAGTACGGCTAAGTATTTTAATTTCGTGCTGTATGCTCTCCAAGGCACTAAACTGCTTAGAGTCGAAGGAGATAGAGTCATCGTTCTCGCACGATGGTTATTACATATCTTAAGATATAAGAGCTGATGAGATGCACCTGTTTATGTACAAAGACTCATGCTTCTCAGAACGGCGTAGTAAGCTATTATACAACACTAGCTCTAGAGTTAGTTTTGTATAATGAGAAGCATGAGCCTTTTTACATAACTGGTACACCCTACAGCTCTTTCCATGTTTTACATATAACTTGCCGTATATTTTACATCTACATAAAGAAGTGTATAATCTGCATAGCATTTATTTTTCTATGATAGTGAAGGCAAATACCAGGTGATGTATTTAATTTCTTTGCATTAGCGACTAGGTCTTACCGTCTTTCTCCGTCTTACCGTGTTGTCACCGTCGTATTGACTAGCAGTAATAATAATGATAAAAGTTTTTTTTTATTTTGAGTATATATATTATGTCGAGTATCTAAAATCTGCAGAATCACTCTGCTGAAAGAACAGGCTGCGACCTTGAAGGTGCTAATTTCTATCTGGCATGTGACATAAGCAAATCTGAAATCTTAATGCTTTTAATGCTATCGCTTAGTTGTAAATATTAGAAAGTAGCTCTCTCGAGGGTTCAAATTGGGACAGAACTCTAGAAAGAAATCAAACTATATTTCACAGTTTGATTTCTTTCTAGAGTTATTTTGTTTTTATTTTTATTATTTTTTGTTATTAATTATTAATTTCTTTTGTATTTATTCGTTTTTGAACACGTTCATATAACAGCCAAAAATAGTCGTCAAAGAAAGTGTCGACAGCCAAAAATAAAAATCGAAATAGGAAAATACGATAAACTTATAAAAAAAAACACTCTTTTTGGTATTTGCATTTTAATTGGAATTACCTCATTGATGTTATTTGGTTAAAAACAAAAGGTTACATGCTACTTAGAAAGGTAAACAAGAAAAATCCGAATTTCTATCATGGAAGCGTATATGTATTATGGAAAGATATATACGCAAATTCGGAACGTGTGAATCTTCATTTCTTAGAATTTTCGAAAAAGTTTTTTTTAGAAGAAAAGTTAACGCACGAAACGCATGAAAAATAAACTGGTTTCGAGCGCCACTTGCAGGGCAGTCATGAACAGAGCAGATGTTTCGCAATTGACTTTCGATACCAATGCAGCTTTTATCATATGCCATAGGTGCGCTGATTTTACTGAAATTTTACCGACAAGCACAGATCTAAAATGCCGGTTGATACCGGGTGGTGCCTGTCGCGTACACAAAAGGTTATTTCGCTTATACATAGACGGCCAATTGTTTCCGTCATAGCAATGGTATGAACTACCTAATCGAGCCGTAAAACTCGACGCCAATGGCAGCGTTAGTGCTTGCGCGTCGAATTAGTCCAGCATCCAGAAAACATCGAAAAAATGAAAAATGCTGACGTTGCAGACTACAGTTTTATGGACCCCATACTGTAGGAAGGGTTCCTTCACAGCAAGCGGTTGTCACATAGGAACAATCTTATTATCATATGGTCGAAATACACACCTTTCTCTGGCTGACAAGAGCCACGTGTTTTCGGTTCAGTCGCGACACGTATACACGACAACTATGATTAAATTAAGAACAACAAAATACACGTTATGCTTACCAAGTAACGTACTCTCAAATAAAAGTATGGTAATCTCCACGTAATTTTCGGTGGAAATAATATATATAATATTTACAATTACATGTAGGGTATCATCAACATTTCGCGCAACACACAGGCTACTTCAAATGTTCTTCATAATGATTTCAGTGAACTGTCGAAATTGCTTATGTTTCAGTGTCAGATGGCGATATTCTTTACTGATAGATAATCGCTTTTTTGTGTACAAACAATTTTCCTCGCAAATAGCCGAGCGCCGGCAGTTTCACTTACTCCAGCGGAGTAAACCAGGTTACGAGAAAGAAGTTTCATCCGAATTAGATAGCGTTCTTTTGAAACGAAAAATGAGTAATGAAATAACCGAATGAGTATAGCCTATATAGAGACCAAAATCCGATCGGTTACCATTAGAATAGCATGTAACCGACTCTTCCCCATTCACAATGGTACGATTAATAATGTTACCTTCGATGCTCTATAAGACGTATCTGGTTACAAAAGAGGACACTTTTAAAGCGTTTATCTTTCTCTAAAGTTGTGAACAACATGAATAATGAACAAGCACTCTGTTAAGCCGCGCAGGTAGAAGGTAGTTCAATGGGTGTGGCATAAAGTTAATTACTCTTGACTCGCTTTGTCAAAAACTCAGATTTTTCATCTTCAGTGCTTTCGCTGCAATTTCATGATACGTGCTTTAAGTAACCATATATTGATTACCTTATTATCCACGCTCGTGATTGTTTTGTACCGAAAACTTTCGTGATCACAGCAACCCTTTCCTTTTCGAGGCACCGAGGTATCGCTCTTTGCGCTATGTCTACTTTTATTCTTGAAATAATATCGCCACCACCTAGTCGTTGTTTTGATTAAAGCTTCTTTGCTCAGTGGTTTTATTCATTACAGATATATCTGCCAGCATTTCTATGCTTGAGAAAGAAAATAAAAGGCACTGGGTTTAGATTTTTAGCACTAAAGGGTATGTCTGCATCTAAGCGCATTGTTATTGGATGTTACTAACTTACCACTTATATAGCCAAAGACCCACCATTACTATTTATCAAATATGATTCGCGTTGATTCTGAAGTTGCTCAAATTTTTCGACCTGTTAGATAGTTCCGACTACGCGCGAATGAAAATAAGTACTCTGTTGTAACGGTGACGCTAAAAAATAGGGTTTGTTATTATAGCCTTGCTCCATACGCAATTTGTACTTAAAAGGATGCTTCTGAGAAAATTCTAAGCTTGTCGACATAACCAAAATGAAAATAATTTTTTTATTCCGTTTCTTCGAAGTAAATTTTTGGTTAGAAAATGCTTAGTTGTTAGACTGTTACAATAAACCTAGCTAAACGTAGTGATAGTTTCAGTGGTATTAGTCTACGGATCAGGATTTCTTAGTACAGCTAAATGGGCTGTTTATTTTGTAAAACACAAAGAACCATTCGGCTAATCCTCTTATTGAGTTACGAGTACCCTTCAGATAAAGCCAGTCATTAGCGAAGGGTCTTTTCGCCTTTCCGATATTGGACGAGATGGCTGTATGCTCGATGATACCCGTACCACAGAGCAAATGTGAAACGAGCAACAAATGTCGACTGATACTGTTTTAGCTAAACGTAAAATTAAGGACATAACAAGTTTCATAATACGAAATCTATGATATATTATTACATTGTTTATTCGCAAGTAATTTCTAGCTATTTCTGGCATCTATTCGAATCACTAGGAGTTCGGCCAGAACTCTGCGCAAGTATTGTTTGATAAATTAATAAATTGTCATTTTTCAAACTGATGGAACTTAACGTTTGACTACAATATAAATATATCGAAATTAAGACGTATCGATGCTACCGTCCAAATGAGACTCCAGAATAAAGACGCGTAAGATGAAGATTCAAGAACAAAACTGAAACTTCTCTTTAAATTAAATCAAGTTCTCAGTCCTGAATCGAATTTTGTGTTCTATGGATAAGAAGAGGTACACACGCTTTGAAACCAAAAATAAAGTTGAAATTTTATATCTCCAATATGTTTGTATTTCCGTTCAAATATAATTTCGTCGAAACCGAAAAAAAAAATATTGAACTACCACATTCTTTTTTTTATATGTTTCAGTGTAACCTAAGCTGAAATACTCGTAATATTTCCTGAGGATCCAGTCAAATCCGCCTATTTATTCTTCAATGTTAAATGATTAAAACGAATAAAACAGCTCATATAACTGTAATTAGTTTGTACAACATTAAGTTAGTGAGCGCGAGTTGCACAGTATCAGACGAATACGGCGCTAGTGAAGTCTTGTCCGCATAATGTTTACAAATATTTGCCATTATTGAATCATTGATTAGTAGTTTATTAATGTCGATTCGTAAATGTTATCTACAAAGGAAAGCGTCGCTTCCACTTAGTTGATTAGCCCACATTGAAATCGATGAAGTGGCAAAACTCGATCTGTGTGCAAAAGGATGTATTTTCTTCCAGAATTTGTTTCCTGATTATTTGGTTGTTTTTGTTAGAAATGTAAACTAACGTACAATGCTGGTATAACGGACCGTTGTGTGTTATAGCTCTAATACTTTAACGCGAAGTTTGCACCTACAGCAACAAATAGAACTGTCTCAGGCAGGTGGTTAGAAAGTTAACAAGTTTACTGCGAACAAAAGTAAATCGAGTATTCTGTTTTTGTCATTGTAATCACTGAAAATCGATTAAGATAGAACTATTGAATCGCCAACAATGGTCCAAAACTCTGACAATCAAATAAAAATAATAAAATAATAGAAAAAAAGGTACGAGTATAACAGGACGCAAAAGGTCATGCAAATCAACAAAGCGGGTTAATCGTGTCATGAAACGACACGTCTATATACCCTATTCGGGCTATCAGACGTTTTCTGAATGAACTGATTATACCAGTGGCTCTTGATATATCTCGCTCTACCGCGTTCTTGGCGGCCACGGTCTCGAATATTTCTGCACAGTAACGGAGTTGTATAAGCAAACCTTTATTCCATTTGCATTTCGTTGCTTCTTGTTATTATTATCAAATATTACTAGCGGCTACATATTTGCTTTTGCGATTTTCCGTGTCATTTATTGCACATTTCTTAAAGACTTTTCTCATATGGGCCAAACTAATCACATCACTATTTCAGACTAGTTACACTTCATCAAAAAACCACTCTCTATTATAATCATATCGCTGCATTAAGTACGTCTATTGTTTGTCCCATATCAGATCACTGCTTTGAAACTACCTACGATATTTTAAAGAGATGCTGATTCCGCATGAGACAGTCTTCATTCATCATATCATATCAAACTAATAGTTTTCATTTTTGGCCAATACGACCATAGACGGTAATTTCCATATTAACCAATCAAATCAACTAGCAAATTCGTCTAAATATTAATTTTTTATCCAGTTTCGACAGGTTAGCGAGTTTTAGTGGGGGAGTCTATGCGAATTTAGTTATAAAACGTTCAAAATAGCGTTCAAAATAATACGGATTCTGCCTCATTTGCTATTGGTTTATTTACGTCTGCTCACTTAAACTCGTTCTTCGGAAGCTACTACGAAATCTTTGACAGCCATACATATTTTGTAAGTTTGGAATAGTACGGGCATTTTGGCGCCACTGGTTTAGTTCAAACGAGCAGTTCTGGGTTCTAATGTTGATCTTGCTGACTTAAGTCCTTGCTACCATCGTTGACTATAGTCAACTCGGCAACTCGCAGCCGCCATCTTAATTTCGACTCATTCTGGCCGCGACGAATGAGCGAGCCACAGTTACTGGCTGTGAATTTAGTATCTGATCGAGGTGCGACAAGTTGAGTACGACGGACAGTGGTGAGTCCGTCACCTACTCGGCTCAGCACAAATCTAGCCATGTCGCTGACTGAAGTGGCGCATCTGAGTCGTGAGCAGCTTCTCCAGCGTGAAAAACAGCTGCAAAGTGCGTAACAGAATAAGGGCTTCTGTATAAGCTACTTACACACGCACACCCGCAGAGATAAACAAGCATAGATACAATTGTTATTTCGCTTACGGCATTGTTCACTTCGTGTTAGCGTCAACTGTTCTCGGGGTGTATAGTTAAGATAGCTTCCAGGAGTTGGCTTGGACATGACGAGCCAGCCTGTGATACAGAAATTTCTAACATTTCTACTAATGTAGACGTAACATTTTCGACTAAACGTTATTGGTGTTTTTTATTAGCTTGTGTTTGAAAATTCTGCAGAAGCCTGTTTGGGAGGTGCATGCGATTTTCTTATCTTCGTTATGTGCGCGATTAGCAGTTTTATTCTATACATCTGTTGAATTATGTAATATTTTTGTTTTGTTTTTTATGCACGCAGTTTAGTTCGATTAATGTTTTATTGAATTCGGTTGAAATATGCCTTTTGCTACTAAGACGAGATTGGCATTCAACCGCTGAATATTTTCGTTTACATTTTAGCATGTCTAACGGAAGCGTGAGTCGAGCTAAATATCCCTGTCTATTTTTGACTAGGCGTATACATGTAACATGCAAACACAGTTGTCTTTGATTGTGCTGCACACGGTTCTCTAAACGTATCTCGTTACGACGTTATCTTATGTGATAAAATCTATCTTCGTACTGCATTTTGGCTGTGAATAGTCGATGTTTTTCTTTTAGCAAGTAGGTCAGATTGCCCGCCCACAAACAATGTATGTAGCGAATATTCGTAAACCCAGTGTACCGAAAGAAAAGAAATAATTCCCAACTTCCAATTATGCGTTACATCAATACCTTAATTAGTATGCGTTTGCGGAGATAGTTCGAATCAGTTTACGACTAAGCCTTAGCCGTTTTCGGTTTTAAACAATACCCCTGTGGTAAACTTCATTATGTTACTTCAATGTCCTCAGTTTTATTAGTATGTTATTCCTGTTCTATTATCCAATATTATTAACCTCGTCGTAGATGATTCATGTCTAGCTACGCTTACCGTTTACAGGTCAACTCGCTCAACAGCGAGTTCGGCCATCTGCGCCTTTGGCGCCATCTGCTGCTGCTCTTCGATATAATCATAGGGGACAGTCATATGGCGTTTACCGCAGCACGTTTCCAGTCCGCACTGGTGCCCCGCAACGTTCAAAGCTGAGCAATGCAATCATCAGACAGCCTGTGCCAAACGCACACCACTCGCATAATCGTGTCTTTGTCCGGAAAAAGGAACTACCCACTATAGAAGCAACTACAGTCGACATCCCGAGTATCACACAGATTGCTCAAGGTCGACTTTCGCCAGCAGGCTCACTTGCGAGTGTCTCGAGTAGTGTGAGCTCAGTGAAGGAGGCTCATGATGAGCCGCCCTCGTCAACGAGTACGTCATCGATTCCCTCACCGCAAAGCTTGCCAGCATCTTCCTCATCCTCCTATTCCATAATGGATTCCGTTGTCGCGCAGATATCTCCGATACAAACACCTACGCCGCCGGATGAGGCGCCGAACTGGGCCCGGGTTGACACCAGACTAGTGATTCCGCTTGGAGATAACTCTTCAGATGATTCAGACGGGGAGGACATGGCTGTCCAAGCCCACAGAGAAGCCCTCCACCGCATCCTGCATCCTGTTAAGGAGGTGAAACAGCCCCTGGCACAAGGATCTCAGTCTATCGTATTCCGGACAGCAACTAAGCTTGTCAAGCATGGCGCATTGCACAGACCGTCGGCAACTGCTGTCGCCGCCCTAAAAGCTGCCGTCGTCGCATCTCGCCACAGTAAAATTGGCAGCTTAGATATGAAATACATTCTAACCAATAGCAGTAATATTCAGAAATCCAAGAAGTCGAACCATCATCATAACATTAGTCATAGTAATAATAAAAGCATTACCAACTGTACTCCTAATTTTATGAGCAGCAGCAATAGTAAGAAGCACCCGACTATCGTTGCTCGGAGTAGTCTGCAACCCAAATTGTTGTCGTTAGCGTCGCCTTCTGCCTCGTCCACTGCTGCATTGCCCCCATATTTTGCCACCGCAAGCGGCTCACCAGGCAAAGGGCTCCGTCAGGTGTCTAAGTTTAAGCTGACTACGATTTCAAATAGTCGATCATCCGAACTTATTCCCGGTGGTAGTATTAGCAGCAGTAACAGTAAACAATCAGGCCTCAAGCGACACTCAGCAGCGCACGTTACTTCGGCATTCGGCTTGCCGTCGGCTCATCGACTTCTTATCAAGGCGGCAAGTTCTCCGAGTTTGAAGAAACTACCAGTTCACCCAACGCGCTTTAAACTCACGCGGGAGATCAATTCTGCTAATTCAACTTTGGGTGCGACCCGTTCCGGGGTCCAGGCTAGTGGCGTGTCTATTCTTAGTGGACGTATAGTTAAGAAAAGTTCTTTGCGACTACAAAATCTTTTAATGCTACGCGGTGTCCCGTTCCAGACTTCAAAGGGTGGCAAAGTTCTGAAACGGATAAACACTAGTTTGCATCGAAGGGGTCAAGCAGTAAGTGCTTCAAGCGTAGGCCTGCAACAAAGTTTTAGGCGTTTCAAGACATCACGAATGGCGTCAGGAACTGTGCGACAGGTTATGGGAAAAGCCACAACGACGGAAAGCATCGTTGGCCGTGCGGTAGCCAGGTTGGTGCATATATTTTCTTAGCGTTTTTGAAATCAAACGAGCATATGAATCGATTTTATTAACCTTGTTGTTCAATTTTATCCTACACCGGCGTTATTGTGTTTGCTTGTTTATGCGTTACATTTTGTGGTCATTGGTGAGCCATTGAGGTAATTCTATATGACATTAAATGTACACAATATGCAACAATTGACGTGCGACGAGCCTGTGGTAACACAATTTTTTTATAGGTTTAGTGTTGTACCGAATTGGACTATTGGACAAGTGTTTCTAACATTTTTAGAGTTTCTAAAGCTCACTCTTCAACCTGATGTTTTGGTGTTTTCTTGAATTTGTTCTTTATTATGTTGATATTGATATGATTGTCAGTCACCTGGTGAGCCGAAGTATCTTCGAATTAAACAATAAGAGGCGTCTTCAAGCTACACCCAGTCTATCTAGCCAAGGAAAAGGCAAAGAAGCCAAGGATTGCCTGTTCTACATCCGTTTCGGGAAATGCCACAAAGGAGATGCTTGCAAGTTTACCCACGATCCTTCTAAAGTTAGTCCTCGCGTTTGCTGTCGCTCAATTATTCGCTGTAAAATAATCTGCATTAGCATACTGCTCCCCGTGATACAAAGAAAATCAAGGATAGACTTCTTGAGTTACTCGATCTCAATATTCTTCGACGTCTCTCATTTGTAAAATCACTGGAGTACCAGTTTTTGCTCTTTTCTGTCAAAATTCGTAAAGCAACAGCACATATCTCTTGTTTTTCGATCAAACGAAGTGTTTGAAACCTACCATATCGGAGCTTCAGAGCTGGTCTTGCGGTACACACAACAGCTTCTTCCGGCAGCTGCTTCTTCGCTAAGGGGCACATCCCCCACTGACTCGGGCTGCCTTGATTGGCACCGTGTTGTTGCATTTTTCGTTCTGGTACCTCTGTTTCTTTACAGGTGTCTATATGTACCCGTTTTCTCAAGGGCACATGCAAATCCACGACGTGCCCGTTTAGCCATGAAGTTAGTGCGGACCGCATGCCGTTGTGTTCCTATTTTCAGCGGGGACAATGCACGGCTCAAGCGTGCCCATACCGGCACACTTATTTCCGCAAAGATGTGCCATATTGCCTCGACTTTCTTCAGTCATTTTGTATGAAGGGGGAAAAGGTAAGTTACCCAGTAAATGAAATGAACTGCTGAATCCATTATATCCTGTTTTGAAAACACGCCTGGATAAGTTCTAATCTAGGCTGGTCTTAATCTTTTTTACTACATTTTTTTTTTATCACCACCTGACCTATTGCGCATGCAATTCGGTTTCTTCACTTTCCAACTAATTTGGTTTCAGTGTACGAAACAGCACGTACTCGTTTGTATGGATCCCGAATGCAGTCGCGACCCGAAAAAATGTCCATTAAGGCACAAAAAATCGAGGAGTAAAGACTGTTTCAGTGGCAAAACAACTCAACGCAGTCGCAAAAAGCGCAAAAAGGTTGTGCTAGTAGCGAAAGACGTGTCGAAAGAGGCGTGGCCGGAGTTCGTGACACTAACAGACGACCAAGACGCAAGTAGCGTTGGTGGTGATCTAGTCGATGAGGCGGACGAGGAGGTTCAAGTGGAGATGCCATCGCGAGCTCGGAGTCGTCGTCTAAAACGCTTCTTAGAACGTCGGGCTCGGCCAATATGGCCAGACTACAGTGTGCAACTTAGCGCTGTGCGTCTGGATTCACGTCAGTTAACTCGAATGCCTGGTCATAGATTGCGTCAGCTAACGAAGAAAGCCCGCTGGATGAGGCGAGTCCCACGACCGATACGCATTCCCGGAGAATTTATCCCGCTGATAGTCAGCGACGATCGGGCGTGTAATAATGAGGATGGTGTCTGTCTTAAAACAGACATGAGCACTTCGCTCCGCTCCGAGGAGAAGCCCCTGAGCCGAGACCACTGGTCAGAAGTTTCGGATGTTGAGGTAAGCGTAACGGAAGACGATATGTTGTTGGAACTCACTTACGGCGATGCAATAAACCTCGCGAGAAAAAGGGAGAACAGCATTGCTAGCGAACTTTCCGTGTCATCATACACGTCACCGGAGTCCGATTATTCTTCGAACGATGAAAGTTCGGCTGATGCTGATAATGGAGCTAATAAGCAGTATGAAGAAAAGGATTGGCTCTTGGAGTATCTATATAGTTTGGAGAAGTCTCCGTCGCCCTCGCCGGAGCCCGAACGGCTGGACAATTATGGGCCGATATACGAGCACTGGGAGTTCCAAATTGGTGATAAGATTAGAAAGGCTATTTATCGATATAGGCGGCGCAAGAGACGGCATATAAGAAGGGAAGAACGAAAACGAGGGGTTTCTGCTAGCGCAATTGCGAAGAAACGTGAGTTGATTGCCGAGGATTATATTCCATTGTGGACTCAGGAAGAAGGCGAAATTTTATCCGAAGATGAAGTTGAGGGAGTGGATCTCGATGTGGTCGATATGGAGTTGGCCAGTGACGTCGAAGAGGGTGCTAGTACACAGGGTTTACTGAGGGGTTCGCCAATAGGGGCGGAGGAGATCTCATCGGATGAAGAGGGCTTGGCGAATGCCAGTGAAGATGAAGCAGTGAACGAAGGACGGTCCAGATTGAAACAGGGTGCTGCAGTTCACATCAATGGAGCTGAAATCATTAGCGATGTCGAGGACATCAGTGACGTCGAGGAAGGGGAGGTATTCTAGGGATGGATGCGGCCCACATCCGACCGAGGAAGAAGAGGTTAGTGGCCTGATTCCTGGCTTTTGGGAGTGAAAAAGAGAATAACAAAGGTTTTCCACAGCTGATGGTAAACCATGTGGTGATCATGAATCTGGCTGAGTCTACTATGGATGCAGTGTGCGCGCGTCATGTAAAGTCGGAAAAGTGCGAGAAGGGCCTAGTAACGGATATTTCCTTGCAGGTTTCCTCTGGGCAGAAATGCTGGACATTTGGTTTCGGCATTTCGTGTGCGCCGGCAAAAGCGACCCTAGGCTTGGTCTCGTAGAAGCTGAGCTTTGGGACGCTTTGACCGCCATACGACCCAAGGTAAGTGTTTGTGTGATTGAGTACCATACTTGAGCGTTTGGTTGGATGGTGACAGTGTTCTGTCTTGCTACACGCGCAGCCGCAGTGGTAATTTATTCCAGTCTTGGATTTGTTCGACCTTGCAGAGTGTTGTTCTTACATCTTCTTTACGAAAGTTCTCCCCAAATTCACACTAGAAATTTTCGATGTTATGATTGGTACCACGTCTCGGCACCTGAAGATAAAGGTACCGTTAATTTATTCTCTGGGAAAATAAAGCAAGTGCAATCAAGTACCCGTTATCTCAGTTGTAATAAACGAATTGTATTATCACATTCACTATAATTATTCATCTGTTAACACTGTCCTTTATGTTCAATCATCAACGAGCGCGAATCAAGCAAATGAGCATGGATACATTTACAATGTTGTTGTTGTCCATGAGAGAGAACGTGATAAAGTGATAAAAACATTTTGGCATTATACAGGACTCTTACGGTGTGATAATTCTTACGTATCTATCTACTCGTAGAGAAAGCTATTTAACTTGTAACTTTGAACGTAGCGTTCGGCGGCAAATTCCCAAGCTAACTTCTAATGAACTGAGAAGAAAGCAGCCGAATCTTCACAGTTGTGGAGTTATACATGCCAAGGCATAGTGCTGTATGCTTGTCTTACTATACAGTTAAGCTGCTAGGAGTTGTTGAAACCAACTGCCATCGAGGAAGCGCTATGATATCTGTGCAGGTTCCACTCTTTGCGGTATGGCTAGCTAAGGTCGCCTGTAAAGTCTGACCAGACGACTCTGCAGATACAGCCAAGCAAGGATCTTGCCAGTGATTTCACAATACTGTGATAACAGGGTGTTGCTGCCATCTGCAATTGCTCAATGAACACTTCATCTAAAAGTAGTGATATGAGGTTTAATGAAAACATTGCAGGACAAATATCTGACACAGTTATTTTTCTATCGTACATATTAATAATCGTAGTAATCATACTGACGGACTGCGAGCTTGTTTAGTATAAAGCGTTGCAATAAATCGTTGAACAAAACAAAGGTTGCGTCTTCATTTTCTTAAGACAGGTGGTGAACAATCTTTTTTAATGGGGGAATGTTATGGTTAATAAAATATAGCCAAAATTAGCTTGTTTCTTTGTCGTTTGAAAGGCAGTTATAGGAAAAATTTAGGCCTAATCAAGCGGAATTTCAATTTAATCGTTGTGACAAAGCATGATCGCCCTTGTCCTGACCTATACAACAGGATTAGAATGCAAAAACTGTACTTGAAATTATTTTTCGAACGTATAACAAAACTAAATCGAAAAGTATTTGTGGTTAATGTAATGCCAATTGTAGGCCATCAGTTTTAACTTAAATCCGTCTTGACTAAATCAACCTTTCGAAGGCGAGGTGGGGATGTTGTGCAACATCCCAACAAATATAAGGTACCGCGTTGTTTTTATGTAATTTTTTTTACATAAAACTGAAGGCTTGCGGAAGTTTATTTCGCATAAGTTGAATTTGATTAGAAGATGAACTGATAGCATTTTGTGTACTAATAATACTGTATCAGTGAATAGATCGGCTAGATGTCACAAAATGTAATATCTTAGTAAGAATAATTTGTACCCTTGTTTAAGCTTTACGGCGCAGCGGTGTAATTCGATTCGATACTAGCGTACAACATCAATTTGTACTATGCTTAAAAATAATTTGTCAACGCTTCACTACGAAAGAACCTGACGTGTGGCACAAAGACAACAATTCACAGCAGTGATTAACGCTAAAATCACATAAAAATACGACAACAAAACAATACGATGGTGTTTAATCCCAGAAAACGTCCAATTTAGAGTATTTACTAGCAGAGCAATGGTAAATTTCAGGTAGACGTCTGCCTGTTTAATGCAACTACTTGTTTACGTCCCTAACGCCCAAGGAACAATTCCGTCTTTAAAACCATTTTTAATTTCAAGGCAAAGCATTAGGTAACTGCAGATAAAAATTAACACAAAGATAAAACAACAATTGTAGTGTGCCAGTCAGCGAGTAGCAATCGAACATTTATACAGTCAATTCGATAGACCGAAGTCGGCTTGATTCCATATCCCAAAACCTTGTGTTATTTCTTTAAGTTGAAATAACCTGAACCATACATGAATAAAAATAAGATACGAAATCGCTTAGCTCGTACGAAACTAAGAGCAGTTGCCGTTTGAATCTTTAAACGGTGCAGGTAACATCATTTCGATGGATTGCGTAAGTACCCCCCGTTTAATGAGTTGGATACCGTAAACATACATTTTTAAAAATAATAATCTAAGACCATGTAAATGTTCTCCCTTTGCTCTTTCAACTTTTACGCCTCACATACAGTGAAACAATGAAAATATATTAGCTAGCCGATAATTATAGTAATACGAACCTCTACGATTTTGGCCATTGGCAGCAAAGTTTTGCCATCTAGCCTATATTGTTTCTAACTTCCAAGAAGGAGCACGGTTTTTATTTTTTTTTTACTAAATTTGAATCTTACTGGGAATACTTTTCCACTCATATCACTGCCAGATCCGCGGCAACAGCGCGATGTTACCTAACCTATGTTTTAATGTCATGGCGCCCCAGTAGATTTTAACTATTTGAAACTTACAAATTATCTCGATGATTCTTAGTTTATTCTTAAGTTTCCTAATTTTCCAATTCGTATCCAATCACACCTTAGGCACTAAAGTAATTTTCTGCAAGTAAATGGTTTCTATTTCTATAGGCAAATGGATTCAATGGAGGAATATTTAATAAAAAAAATAGAATTTTGTAATAATTTATGTAGCAGACAAAAATACCTATTTTCAGTGCAATCCATTTATAAAATGCGTTCACCTCTAAAGGTCCACTGACATTATTACTACTTCGTTAAACATCTTGGGCGATAGCATTGCCGGCAGAGCAAACATGGTCTCCAGGAAAAAAAGTATTCATGTTCTAATCTTTTTCTAAATTTTTAGAAGTAAATTAAGAAATATTTTAGGGCTAAATATGAGGCACGTATTTTTGGGGGGTGCTAATATTAGCAGTCACATATACGTCTGTTACTATAACTTGTGATTACATTAGTTGCTAAAAATATGAAACTCTGTCAGAAGAGATAACTAGTTTTTTTCTCACGATTTTAGATAAAATATTGTTATAATTCAATATTTATTTTTGATTTAATAGATTTGGCTTATGCTAGTTACTTACTTATAATAGTCGTTGATTGCTGTTGTCCTTGGCAGTGATCAAATACAGGGGATACAGGTGTGAACAAGACCGGCTCGTTCATTTACCAGATCAAGCTCATCAGATTATGAGAATATAATGCAAGTATCTCATTCAGTGAGCGTGACAATTTTTAAGAGGCTTACAAGCGTTGCAAACTGTCATCAATGAAGCGTTGTCGATTTGTCCAAATTATATCTACCCAGATAGCTATTTTTGCAGCAAGTACCTGACATGCGATTTGTTTTTATTAGAACCGTAAACTACGATCTACTAGTTATTATAATTTAAAGAACAGCGTACACAACTTTAGCGAAATTTTGGTAGAAGTTTCGTGGGCGGCACCATTTGAAGAGTTTGAAACAAATGACTCTGCATTCGTTGACGTTATTGCGAGGGAAATTAATATATTGCCTATAACTATATATATTTCTGGGCTAGAAATAACCTTTTCGAGTGACACAGCGAATATCAATTATGATACATTTTGTTTGTAGAAATAGATGCGCACAGAATATTAGAAAAAAATCATCTTCAGTTCAAAGCCAAACAGGAAAAGCGTCCCGCAATCATATAATTTACGAACTGCCACAGCATTTAATGTATAATAAAAGACAAACAACATTATAAAACGGCTATTAGATGCATCTAGGCTTATTAAGTAGTGTTAAACTATTGCTGCCCTGAACAGTTTTACATAGTCTGATTCTGAGACGACATAAAAATAATTTCGTTTGAAGCCCTTTCGCACTCAGTACATATCGCACCTTACCTAGACAGTAAAACCTCAGAGGCAAGCGAGAGGACTAATATTTGCTCTGGTCTGAGTCGGCCGCTTAGAAGAAAAAAGATCACTGTTGATTCTTCTACAGATGGAACGGAAAAAATCTAAGTTCAAATCAAAACGCACGATTGCGATCAATATCTTCGCTATAGTTGATACGGTGCTTGTAGGTAGATCAAAAGAACCTGTTTCTAGCTAGAAGCGCTTTCTAGGCAAATACGACTGATTAATTGGGTGATTTGCAACGTATGCTTCTCATTGCCTAATGCAGCAGGAGCCAAACTATACAGGTTTTCATACAATTATAGAAGCAAACAGCATGAAAGAGCTGTTGTCTGACCATGCGATAACTTCGGTGTTGTTGTTCAAATTTAAAACAATATGCTAGAAGTCACCGATGCAATACAAGTGTGTGTTACTTCACAGTCAACAATTTATTTATAACTATCAAATAAATGGTAATTGTGAGGTCCAAACGGGCGTAATTGTCTGCATACTTTCTCGCAGTATATCACAGACGAAAATAAACGATTCTCTACGACGCACATTGCCATGTTGTTCTTATTGGGTTTAAACAATTATCAAGGGTGCTAAATGTGGGGATGCGGCAGCGCATCAATGTACTTCATGCATTCAGTACGTTAAGCAATCATTATTCTCAAGTATTAAATAGTTAGGAGATTATAAAAGAGTGTTCAGATCAACGTAGTCATCTAACTGCCATGTTCTTATCGTATAATTCGATCCACAGCCACTTAAATTTGACAGTCGTCCGGAGATAACATTAGCAACACATGGTCGGCTTATCGTTCAGTGTTACTGGAGACATCAACATAAAATGCTCGTTCCATCTTTACAACAGTATCGTTTAAAAAAGGAGTCAAGTATGATAAAAGATGAATAAAGTCCAGATACTGTCCTCGATAAGGTTTCCTCGATTTTTATAAAGCGTGTAAGAATTATGTAACCATTGCTCTAGTAGTCGCTAATGATAATTTGCAGATGTGTTTAACTATTGGCAATGCAAAAACAAAATTTGTTTGTATATGTATATGTAAACGTACATAAAAGTACCGGGAAGGTCTGTCATTGAAAGGTAAATCGAGTGTTCTTTAAATAATTAAATATTTTCATTGTGAATGTTATCTTTTCATATTAAGATATTTCTAAATTTTTTACGGTGTCTCGTCCCACGTACAGGAAGATATTCAAAACACCAGTTTTGTATAAAGGTTGTCGGCACGAAGAATAAGTAATCCCAGAAGAACGAGGTCCGTGAATAATATTTATTATCTAGTAGGAATGGCATTCTTCAGGCTTTAAAAAAGCCGAGGCTAGAGTTGGTTAATTATAATTGGTTCACACTTCTCGAGGATCATATCGTTCGAATACACACAGTAATCGCACACATAAAATCAGCGGGCAAACTACCGATATGGTCGGCTAAAAAACATAAGAGACACTTACCAGATAACAGTCTGAGTCGTGTGCACATTTCAATCATAGGCAATGATTACATTTTAAAGTCACATAGAGCGCAACAAATATAATTTGAAAGAAGTGTGTCCTGTGTGTGCGACTGTATACACTTCTATGAGAGCTTTTTCCTGTACAGCTAGAAACTAGTCCTCGTGAGCGTGTTTCAAGCATAAGCCTAGTTTCAGCGAAAGGACTGGTAACGTTCATTTGAATATATTATATTATTGACGAGTGTGACCGCTATAACGATTCTTAAGAAAAACATGTACATTGCGTTTAGATTGATTTATGAGTGTCTTAGCTGAACTTAAAATCTTTTCGTCAAGAATCTGAAATGCTCCGCTAGGATGTTACTGCAATCTAAAATTATATAGGTCCTTTTTAGGACTAGAATCTTAATCAAATGTATTTCTTAGATACCTTCTGTATTTTGCTAATCAAAAATTTTGTAGCTTCTCGCTTTAGAAATTGCCAATTCTGACAACTGACTCACTTCCATAAAATGTTGCAATATATTGTGGTGCAGTTATTATAGGATACAATCACAATAAGCGTTCATGTTTAAAAGTAGCATTTTTCTACGAAAGTACCTGAATGAACGCTGTTAATACATTTCTCTTAAAATAGCAGTAATTATTACCATAGGTCTGTTCTCTAAAGGTTTGAAGAGGATACCGATTGGAGTCCTCACTATGAATTCAATGGTGACATGTGCGCATTGCTTTCTGACATGCTCAGAGCTAAATTGGAATCCCTAGCATCGTATAAGACTACTAAGATTGAATACATATACATTATGCGTTATGTTGATTGGAAAAATTATTTTTATCTATCGAGTGCACCCATGCTAGAAATAAACCCGTTTTTTGCAATAGTGGTATATTTATTTAGTTATTATGAAAATATTGTGGACATCTAGAAAAAGTGACATTACAAATACACCAAACTGAATTCCTTTTTGATAAGTTATTTGAATTTTTAAATAAATATTTGTTAACTAATAGTAAATATGTCGAATGTAAGTAAAGTAACAAAATTAGTTTTATTAGCGCAATTAATATAAAGTATGAGTTTTTCGTGTTTTTATTCGTCAAAGCGTTTCAATTATTTTTACTTTTTTGTTTTCCATCTCATTTATTGTTTAAAGACTGCTGGTGTAAATACATGGGTTAGTGTTACCTTGCGTAGACTGTGTGTTAAATCAGGTTCCACTAGGGAATGCAAACTGTGCTTTATTGCGCTTTTTTTATGGACACGTTTGGTAAGATAGATAATAAAGAGTATATAATAATAGTTCGATGGCTTTTGCAACGCACATACTATGCAATAGGACATTTCCGCTGCTGCACTTATACATCTATATTACCAACCGTACACAACTGAGCCAGTAATGCCCTTATTATACTTTTTACTTTATTATACATCTTCATCCCATTATAGATAAGATGCAAAACAAAAATGTATTGTTTATTGCCATCTCTTGATATAGTAGCATCCGTTCTCAGTTCGCTTTCATTGGAGCAGTGACGTGAATTTCACTGGCGTGCACTTTAAGCCAATCCTGTAATCAGCTAGTACCACTGCTTTAGCGAATCTTTCAGTTAATCCATTTACAAAATTGCCCGAGCAAGCCCTCCCATTTTAGAACATACACGTGACAAAAGTCTACTGAAGCGTTTTGAATAGGTACGATAGATGCGTGTGGATCCGATTAGGACACTTGTTGCGCTTTCTCTTGGATACAGTCTAAGCTTAAGCAGAATTTCGAAACGGACCCCGCCGGCCCGGAGTGTTGTTCTATCACGATTTCAAGATAGGATGATCAGACTCGATTCATTGCGGATCTGCCTCCGAACAACCCTGTAGCCTTATGGCACTGTGTTTCTAACATTTGTTCCATTGTGGCACACATACAACACTAAGTAAACGGCAAATGTGAGTCATAGTGGAAAGTTTCCACGATCATTTATTTGAAGGAAAAAAGGAAGCTGAGACCTAGTTCCGGTTTGCGTATATTTCGAGGAACCTTACTGCACAGTTCACGTATTGACAATGCAAGTGTTCATATAATTTGCTTCTTTTGTTGGCACGAAGGGAAATTGCTAATGTTATGTGAGTGTCCATATGCTAATCCTATTTAGGCCTTTAAGCTGATTGTGACCATAGATAGAGGTAACGCAAACGTTCGTCAAGCGGTTAGTTTTCGCTAAGTAAGATCGGATTTTTCCTAAAGAATTATTTTTAATTAATCTTTCCTTTTTATATTGTGTGACGAAAGTGGGCTCATTTTATGATAAGTCAAGCGTTCATTTGTTTTTCAGATTACATCATTAACGTCTGGTATACTCAACGGACTGTTTCGAATTCGTAACCGTGAGTTTGTTGATGTGTTTGTTGAAAAAACGCAGGTTATTAGAATCTATTAATTAGGGGGGACGGATAATTCAAGCTCTGTGGTTTATCCATGGGTCAGAACATTTAACGATTCTTTGTTGAATATATGTGAGCAAACTGTGGTCACCTTAAAATCCTTGACATATTCCAACGCGCTTCGTTCATTACATTCCGTTCTTGTTAATTTGCGGCTATGCAGCGATTATTGAATTACTCAGTACAGAAGTCGTATTTTTTTCTAAAATTCATTTTATTCTAACTAGCTCGAATCCTTATTAGGTAGTATTACAGGCTGTAGGCAATTAGCTATTTCCTCACTTTAGGGTTCTGGCCACTCTGCCTCGTAGAAATCTGTCTTTTTTTTATGATACTTTCCACACGCTTGTCACTTTTATAGCAACATTCCCTGAAGGTTTATAGCCTGAACATCTGCTAATAAAAGTGTTATAGTTGTCCGTCTGAAGTTTACTGACAACCCAAATAATATTTCTTAAAGAGCAAAGTTGAATTAGCTGGTTCGCGTATAGTTAGATGCTTCAACATATGTAACATATTTCAGTATCATCACATGATGATGCGGAATCTTCCGTTTGTCACCTTACAAATGCACAAATCAATACTTGAGATTCATTTCAAGTACACAGCTTTAACTATCTCTAAAGTACAAACTAAGTACAGATTAGGCAAGCACTTCCGGTCGTACGTCGCATGCAACAGTACAACTTACAGGTCGTATTTTCGTCCATTTGGAGTCGTTCCCTTACCTCTCTACTGCTGTGGAATAATGCTTGTCGGATTTCAACGAAAATGTTCTGTCTTCTAACAGAAGCACTATGGCGTTCCAGCCTTAAAATGCATCTTTACGTATGCGCCACTTCGACGAACATTGTAAAATTATAGAACCTTACAATGCCAGTCCGATCAATTGCAACAACCTGAGTTAGCCATGTTAACTCTTTCGAACGAATATATATGACAGAAACGACTTTGCGAGTATGCAGTTCAGTAGCTAATGCTGTTACAAGCAAATGTTTCGTCTTCCAATTAAGTCTAATAGAACTTTGAATACGAAAAGTCCTAGCAATTTACAGTGATTCGCGGTAAAAGACACATACTTCAGTCAGTTAGTATTGGCAGAGGAAACCGCAAACTTTTGAGAATAGTTTGCAACTGAATGTTTCCCGATGTACCCAAAACATTTCATTGATGACTAAAAGTTGTAACTGTCTTACTATACTAGTCTTTTTACTAAATGTCATGTTCGAACATCATCGTTGAGATAGTTTTTTGCGCACTAATTTACTACCTACTTTCTAGTTGTGGCTGTGGTTCGAGACCTAGCCTTTTCCTTAGAAAAGGCTAGGTCTCGAACAGGCGTACTTTGAGACATTATGAGGGAAAGAAGTCCATCATTAAATAAATAGACCATGAGCACGCGTTCCCTAGTTTGCAAAGCACGCTACCGTATACTGCATGGGATACATCACCTACCCGACAAATCACAACATCGCGCCAATATCGACCGTGCACGGGGTGCTAGTCATTCACAGACGTCACAGCTGACACACCGCTACAAGTTGAGTGTTGCTCGTGTTGTTCGGTCTTCCAGTAAACATAGCTTGCGGTATACAGAATGCTCGGGTACACGATTTGATATACCGTAGTGTGCGACTATAAAGGGCGAAATTGATGCATAAAGAGATTTGTATTTCTTTTTGTTGTTGCTATTGTAAATGAAGAATTGTTCGAGTGAACTTATTGAGAAGCAACAGAAACTAGTAAAGTTTTCAATATACAGTCGCATTTCAGTGTGCTGATGGAATAGCGGGTGCGTTCAGACATAATTGATCCATTGCTCCATCAGTTGACATAAAAGAACCTAGTCAGTTGTTTATCTTTGTCACGACGCTATAACTTGCCGTTGAACAGGAGCAAATGCGTGATAACTATCAATTAACTTCCTGTGAGGTGAGTGAAGATAATTTTTATTATGCTGTTGCAATGGAATAATAAAGAAGGATGCCATATTATTGTCTATTCTGAGTTTTATATTTATTACTTAAGTTTTCTTCGAAAAACTCATAGAATGGGGAGCAGACAAAGACTGTGGAACTGACGATTTTTTCCTAATATATTATAAATGCCCGTGGCGTGAAATTTAACACTTGCCAAGAAGGTGTGAAGTCTCTGAGTCGCTGATATTAGCTCAAGAGCTTGTAATAGCTTGAGTTCGTGCGACTAATCTTTACTGTGTGTACTGCATACCGTTGATGCATGATGTGCTGCTAAAAATATGTTGAGAGTATGGGTGAGCTCCATCCCTAAGGCAAATGCGATGGCCCTATAAGTCTCAATTTTTTAATCTCGTCGATTCCGTTAAGTTGGCATAAATGTAGTACGAACAATCTTAAATACGAGCTAAAAAATTCTATGCTTAAGCAAGCAAGGCACACTAAACATTTGTGTCAGATGAAATGCTAAAAGCTAACTTTTAGATGGCGTTCGTTGCGAACATTCTTCGTATCTATGCTCATAAACTTTTTCTTGAAAGATTTTTGAAAAAATGCAGATATCTTAGCTAGTGTCTTCTGCGTACGAGGCACAAGGGGCTATTCCCATCCCATTCGATTCTTTTGAAAACAGGGAGAAACACACCGAGACAAGATAATGCGCTTTACGCGTCGATGCACCAAGCTTGCTTTGCAAAGAAATAAATTCACTTAATAAGTATTAATTATTCCATAATTTATCCTCTTCGGACTAACTTATTCAAGGTTACCTACCCATTAATATCGGGATTGCTCTCATATACCGGGAATTGATTTAGCTATTTAATGAGTTACACGCTCAATAAGTCGTAGTACTTAAATTGTAGGTTTATTTATTTCCACAGCAGGTTGGGCAAAATTTCTAACTATATATCTACACCTGCATATGCTATTTTGTTGCTATTGTATTTTATCCACTGTTTTTATTTGTTAGGTGTGCCTGGGAGTGATAGGGCCAGTATTGTCATAATGGAACCTCGCGTTTTGGAGCTTCTAATTGCGGCCTTGTCAAAGGATCCCCTGTGGTTTGCTATCTACTCAAGCTCCATATTAATTCTTTTCTCGCTTATCGTGGGCTGTCAGACAATAATTCGCCTCACGCTTTTCATATGCGTCTTGCCGTCATTGCGTTCCCTCAGGACGGGCCAGGATGATGCGTTCTGGACCAGGTAATATGTTCTATTAAAACAGTAATTGCATTGCATATTTGCGTCAGAGTTACCCAAATATGTAGAACCTTTCTAATAAGTGCTTGACATAGTGTACCACAGCTTTTTTCTATAATTACCGCAGTGGGGTGCCGTATGTGGTACGATTAGTCAGATCTACTTATTTGTGAAGCATATGCCTAATATCAAAAGGCTTTCAAATGGTGCTTTAAATTAAATCAATTCCACTTTTCGTATATTCTCTAAGCGTTATCTGCCTGTACGTCTTTTTTAAAATCATGTTGTCGTTACATTTTTTCATCCCTTATACTGTAAAAGCTTAATTTCCGATCGGAATGTTTCGCAAAATGGATATGCTAGTAAATGAAAAAAGTTTTAGACTGTTAAAAGCGAATGCGACGGATTTCAAAATTAAGTAACCTTTGAACCAGTTGAGCTAAAGCTATGATTTTTTTCCATATACGTTAGAACAGCAATTTTTCTGTGCTCGTTCAAGCACTCTGACGGCTTCTAGACAATTATATACCTATTAGTCGTCTTTTTTTTTTTATTTAACGTCTTTCTTTATCTAAAAATTCTCCCCATAAAAAGATCAACCTCACTTAATGCCAAGCAGTACCTTTTGTTTTAAACGCGAAACCCTATTTTTTCTTTCTTTTTTTAATTGAACACGTCCTGAATCAAACTCACGGCCAAAAGGTCAACAAGTAAAATATTTAACTGACAAAGAGAACTGAACTAGTGACTGAAAGTCAGTACTCTCGGTATTATTTCATTGATACCCCTCAAATCAAGGTTCTGTCATCTAATCAGATAGGTGTATCTATCTGAAATTTTAGGTACTGGATGGTCGTAGGGCTGGCAAGCAATCTTGGCCTCCCCTCAGTTGTTCGAGCGGCCCTATTCATCTGGTGCGCAGTTCCGCATAATGCCAATGGAACCGATATGATCTTCAACCTTGCCGAAAAAACCTTTATCTAAAAAATCCTTGCCATATTAATTTGCCATAAGCATCGTGACAAACACATATATATGAAAAATACAGAGGCAAGAATGTTAAGTACACGCACATTTGGAATGCTTTACGATGTACGGTTGTGGAGTTTTTTTAAACCATACTATTAAACCATAAGGTGTGCGCACTTGACTTCATAGCCTAGCAACTTTCAAAAAAGGCAGTGTTTAGACACATGAAAACTTATGAAAACGAACGGGTCCAAATACTAAGTCATTTAGAAATTCAAGAGTTCCGTTCAAAGTCAATCTTCAAGGCTTTACATAAGCCTTTTATAAGTATTTTTTAAAAACTTTAACTGTAAAATGTAGAATTTTAGATTCAAAACGATAATATGACCAATATTGTCATAAATTTCGTAGCTCCCTAATGTTATACGCAATAAAATTAGCTTGACAACATGTTGATTCAGTTAAATAGCTGTCTGAGCATGCTAAACGAAAACAGCTACTTACAGTATAGCATTCTGTCATTTAGTGAGTTCTTATTAAATGCCTTTGTTTCGTGAGATTTTCAATGAGCGATACATGCTGACGTGTTTTTCATGTGAATCAGTCACGAATGAAAGTGAGGGAAACATGATAGTTAGAGATTGTTAGGCTTTTGTGCTTTCACAATAATAAACTAATAATAATTTCACAAAAATAAACAATAATAAATAAAAATAAATGCATTTTAAAATAATCATATCATGTTTACCTATATTTATCCTCTTAGTAACATGTCTGTTGGATGTGTGAGAATTATAAAATGGACCCTTTTTTTGAATAAAGAGTACAGGTGCACGTGCAAGAGAAGTTCCATGTTTGTCCGACATTTAAAAGAGCTGTATTGTGCACGCTATATTGGATTTAATTACGTTTCATTATTTTTCAAATGGGCTGTCTCATAAAAGCGATTGCATGTTTTATGGGTGCAGAGCATGTACAGGCATGTGCAACAGTAGCGATTGTTCTTCGCGCGCTACTGGGCCGGTAGTAGCTTTCAAATTTTGCGCGCCAAACTTATTATAATTTCCAATGTTGATATGGGAAATAGATAAGGAATTTACGGGCAGGTGTAGGTCTAATTTAATGTTTTAAGTGGATGAGCTGTAATTGTGTAACAATCACGGGCCATATAAGACATCTAACACGTGGATAGGAAGCCCGTTACGTCCTGTCGATAAATGCAAGATCAAAAAGATCTAGAATACCCAGCCACGATGATATAAATAGCGGATACATGTCTAGCTCACGGAATGTGAACAGTAGTGTAACGTTGCAAAAAAGTGACGCAAATTGCAGGAGTGAAGGTGCGCACGCGTTCGCCTGCTGGTTTCAAAAGGACCTCACGCGGAAGTACGGAAGACGAGTCGGTCTGAAGCACTCTTTTTGAAAAGATGCCTTTTAAACGGCTGACTTAGAATACCCCAAGATCAACAGAGAAAATTGTGCGCTCTTTTTTAATCTTGTGGCTTCAGCCATCTTCTTCCTTTCGTACGTTCGAGTTTTAAAATCCAATCTTTTAGACAGTCGGTGACAAGAAAACTAATATAGCAGCAGTTACAGTCGCCACGCACCTTATCGGAATAAACCGGAAATTCATATCTCAAGATAAAATGGTGACCAGAACAATTGGTCCCACCAGGTTCCCTCTGGAAAGAACAATTTTTTGTTTCTTACTATGAAAACCAAGTACCAGGGTTACCTTTCAGACCAGCACTTTCCCAGGCATATGTTTTTTAAGGTATTTATGCAATAAAAAATACACAAGAAGCCGGTACAAAGACTGGCCATTATTATTTACATGACCTACGTGGATATAAAATCTCGTCTAGAATTTTGAATCGCGTTGAAAGTAATTACTCTCCTTTATATTAAAATTAAACTTAAGAATAATATCATCCTACACTACATAGCTTTTGCTTTATTAGATTAAACCTTAAACAAATACCATTGCACTATACTTGCTTTACCCACATGGGACATCGTAAAATTACGGTGTACGGCGCAAAAGTACACGTTTTTGTACTCGCTTCGCTACTATTAGGGAGAATCTTTTTATTGTTTTTCTTTAACGCCATTACTTGCAGCACATAATTTTTTAAACAGGTTTCCAGCATTGTCAATTTTCTCAAACGCTTTAAAAAACAAATGATAGGTAGCGCACAAGGTTTCTTCGCATATGTCTTTTCGACTTATTCCATTATACAATATAGCTCCATTTGTTTTTCATTTAATCTTATTAATATGTTCCAATAAACCCTCAAAAATCGTTGGTTTTCCGGTCTATCCCCACATAGTTAATAGACATTACTACGCGTTAGGCGCGCGAAATTTGAAATTCGTCATAAAATATTCAAAATAGCTAATTGCGAAAACGCCGTGAGTCAACCTTGATATAGACTAATTGAGCTTTTTTACGGAAGAAGTATATCTTTAGGTATGTATAAACGAGTTTTGAGTCTAACTGAACTAACTAATAGTAATTTGTACGAATCCTCCTGGCGATGTCCTCTCAGAAAGCTAGAGTCCTTAGGAGGTACAAACAGAAATACAGCTCACGGAGCATGTACAGATTATGGACTCATGATTAGCAGCGCCTTATGGAATCTTCGTTGAACATCGTAACGTAAGGCCAAAACTAACTCTTTAACAGTATTTATCTATTGATTCGCCGTATATAACGCTTGTAGCTGCGTTACATGTTGGCAGCTGGATTTTGAATTCACCCACCGCTGCTTTTCAAGTCTCAGATAGAGGAATATTTGACTGTAGCTATTCTAATTTGTGTTTTTTGAGAAACAACGGGTTTCAGTGTAGAAAATTGTAAAGTTTTTGGGAAAATGGTATCTGACCATCAGAAGGTCACGGACAAGAATTTAGGAAATAAAAAAATTCGCAAATCAAAGATTTCCTTGAATCTTTCTAACATTTTTAGCCACCAATACATATGCTAATCAGTTATCGAATGAGATCTATTTTATTAACAGTCGGCCCTGCCGGTTGAAGGCATTAAGGTTTTGATGTAGAGCCATTTCAGTGTGTATTACAGAGCGCAAGAGATGGATCAATAATCTTGCGCCCATGTCAGTGCGAACCACAATTAGAAAATTTAAAAAAACACAATTTGGACTGTTTAGTGCTCATGCTTCAAGTTTCTCATTGGCTATTGCGTCAATTACTGTTTTAATTAGCAATTCGTAGTGACAACAGCAAGTCCGAAAGAGTCGCGTCACTTGCGTTCAATGGAGAGGATGGTGTCCTCTAAAGACATTACGCCCGGTGTCAGTTCCTTTGATAGGAATTTCTGTCAGTCCGTCTCGCGAGAAGAGAAAGCAGCGGGTGAGGGAGCCAAGATTATGAAGCGTTGATACTACGTGTTAGGTTCATCTTGGTGCAGCAACCCATACTTGAATTGCTATAATTTGCCGAAAAGAAAAGTTGAACCGAGAAAATCAAGTAATATTTCACCGGCATTTGATGAAAATATTCGCGTTTTAATTTAACCAATGAATTGCTGCTAAAGAGCGACGGAGAAGCAACAATTGATAGTCATGATCAATCAATGAGTTTGTTTCATCAAAAGCGTTATCAAATTTGCTGAAAAAACCTTAATGTAAGTACGCCGTAATGTTAAATACTTAATGATTCTAGTTCAGTTCTCGATTGTGAAATCGTGTTTAATGCTCAACCTCTTTCACTCGAAGGCAATCAAATTTTCTGGGTTCGAAGCATTAAATAATTGTCTATAACTTACTATCAACATTACTAACTGCCCTACGATGCTCACAACTAAAACGCTAAAAGTGAAAGTTGCGAAGACATCATCATGTAATTACAAGAAAAGTGCAAGATGATCAGAACTTCATGCAAGAAACTCAATTTAAGAAGAATGGTTCGAAGTAGACATACATTTCGTTTAGCGAGTTACACGTATATGATTACGGGTTGTTATTACTACTACATAAACATATTTAAAAATTGATATTAAAGTACTTGTGTAGGAAACAGTATCACTGACCAATATTTTAGCTGAAGTTATAATTTGTGCCTCTATATTTTAAATAATAACGAAGTGACATATCCTACGAAGTAGACGCTTCCGGTGACTACAAATGGTTTCATTTTTGGCGCTGACAAAAGATAGTAGCTGCTTCCATAAGCGTCTAATTTGGCTGTTTATAGAGCCAAAACGGGCATTTTCCGTATGAAGTGAATGAATTCTCAATGATGTTTCAAACCTCAATTCTGCAATTATTTGATTTCTTACATGTTCCTATCCGTGTCGTTCGAACAACATATGTTAATGAATGGGAAAGGTTGCTTGCAGGTTCTGAAAAACTTGCTCGTCGCCCCGCGCTCAAAGTGTCCAAAACGAAAGGCCATGAGCCAAATACTACGATTTTAATTACAAACCTTTCAATAGAATAAATCCTCAACCAGCAGCTACCGTCCGTGTACGTTGTGCTATGTGTTTACAAAAAGTAAAGATTCTGTCGTTGAACTTAGCACGAAACAACATTAGTTACTAGAATCGTGTAACAAAACTAAAAACAATCAACGTAAATTCTAGCAGACATTCATGATGAAAAAAACTTTGACAGCATTGCCTAGGTCAGAACATAACTGTCACCAAAGTTTGTGCAGGACTCTTTACTAGAGAATTGCCATGTCTGAAGGAAAACTATGGTTACCATCTTCAGTTTAGATTGGGGTCGCATGTGTAAGGAATATGGTTCTTAAACTTCCTCACCAAATCGAAAGCGAGCACTAAGATAGCTATAATGTAACTTACGTTTGGGATAGTAAAGCCAGAAAGGTTCCAAGCTAGCAAATGCATTCAAATTTATAAAATATAGACATTTTACGTATCGGAATACATCAATTAATAAACAGTGCTTACCATACCACTATCAAAAAGCCAAAAAGAGGAGTCAGCTTTATAATGGACGCCTTAGTCACGGCATTACTGGTTCAACCGCTCTCGCTCGTATGTGGGTCGCGACGCCTCACAGGATTGGGACTTCTGTTCCGCGTCCCGCTAACGATTGTGGATTTCAAAAATGGAGAAGCGGACTCATTTTGGCCCAGGTACAATACTTATGTAAATTGTCAGGCCTATGCCTATTAAAACACTAATATAGTTTCTTATAATAATAACGTATATATATATATATATATATATATATATATATATATACATTATTATTACTATAAGAAAGTTTATTTATTAGCGTTTTAATATTATATTCATATTTATAATTTTCTCAAAGGGCTGATATTTTTTGGCGCCAATGGCGCCAGAAAGATATCTCGGATATACAGTACGGGCAAGACGAACCAGTCAAACCTAAAACTAATGAGTTAATAATTTGAAAACTAAAGACAGATTTTTAATTCTAATAAAGCAGTGAGATTCGTTGACGGTAGCATTTCCGAAATGTCGTCGTTGTCAGTCCGTCAATTTAACCCTGCCATTGGGATACTCATGATTTTTATGAAGTTAAATACAATTCAAGCACTTTCTTCGTTGAGTAAAGTAATATTATGTGATGTAGTAAATACTAGTTCCACGTAATATGCGCAATGTTACGGGCTTCAACATAGAACTTATGAAGAAAAACTTCTATTTATTGTGGTGCCATTAGCTTCAGTGACGTCCTAATGAAGACATATTTCTCTTTGTGAAATCGCGAATTCGTTTGTACTATCTTACAGATATTAGTTACTTGTCGGCTTAGTAAGCAACTCGTGCATCCGAGCATGGCTGCGGGCGGCGATTATTATCTGGTGCGCGATGCCATGCACTCAAAATGGAACTCATGGAATATTTGAATTAACGAGCATGTACTGAATGTTAAATACGATCTTTGGATATATACGCTTGCTTATTGCATGGATACAGCGCGATCATTTCATTCCTCCCGGACGCTTCTGCTGGGCTGAGTTCTGTCTTTTAAACAGCATCAATAAAACAGCTATAAAACAACATGAATAAAAAATCTGACTAAGTGTCTGTCTTACCTGGTAGACACGACGGATATGCTCAGTACCGCACAGGCAGTGAAATGGTCGGGTGCGAATGCCCAAGGGTCGCGAGTTGACTCCCCACGGCCGCTACGAAATGTATACTTTAGTAATAGAGTTGCTGGTTAAGGGCAGCTAAAGGACTCACAGCCTTTAGCGGAAGTTTTCTCAAAGATGCTTTGTTCAATGAAAAAACATTTCCATTGCATCGTTTGGCAAATTAAGGCCTTTCTTGATAATACGCAAAAGGATCGGTGAAACAGGCTAATATTTTTCATAATTAGGTATCAGAAAATACCTAGAAGTGAATCCCAGAGCATACATATCAACCCAACATGTTCATAGATGACTTAATATGGTCATAAATTTTATTGAAACAATATTTATTATTGCTTCTGTTCCCATATGATGTTGCCATCATCAGATTCTTTTATTGAGCCGGTATTTACGTTAGTTGTAATTTAATGTATTCAAGTTAAGTTTTTTACTCATGCAAACAAAATTAAATAACTAAAAAGCTATAGTTCCAGGGGAACATTACGTCTTTTTCTACGTTCTGCGGCTTGTCATTTGTTTGGCTTCATGCTGTGAGCGCCGTATCTGCAAGAAAAAGGTCATCGAAAAAAGTAGAAAAGTCTTTTTCATCCTATTTCACTCACTAAAAATAGACCAATGTTTGATGCCCTATGTTGTTAAAATTTGATATTTGTCTACAGTTTTAAAATATTAAGCATGATTGGTAAACACACGACTACCCGCGACTGTGTAGTGAATCATAAAATTAGAGCTATGCTGTAGTGCAAGTTCGAGATCGGACGTAGACGTATTATTTCTTGGTGGTAGGTAATTGTCTGAAGCAATACTTAATGGGGATACCGAACCTAAAACTCACAAAATTTCCCTAGTGAGTGAACCATTTCCAACCGACTCCAACTCCGATTCCAACTTCAGTTATTCCATTTAATTAGTGGTGGCCTTTCGTCGCACATCATAACGTTCATTCATCTGTATTGCCATCATCTTCCTGAAACGAAATTCTTTAGGTGTCATCTTCGTTCTTGTACATTATTATTTTTAATTGCAGTGAACATACATAAATGTATGTGAGCGTCTCCGAGAAGGTTACATATAGATGTTAACAGTTTCCCACAGGCTTCACGCTCGGTATTATAGTTCATAAATAAACCTAGAGGCTAAAGGTTGCAATCATTAATTCGAACGACCTACATAATTTACAAGACATTTGAAAGAGGACATAAGAGACATTAATTTTTAGCGTCATTTATGAGCATATCTGCAACGATGATTGAGCTCGGATTGCAACACCATTATAAACAGCAACGACAGGAAAATCGCGTTGCCCATTAAAAGATGTTTGTGAGCACTGCGACTAGTGACTTACCTTGGAAGTTTCGTTGAAGTAATTGCCGGAAGCGCTATTTGAGAGGAAGTCTGGGACAGGCTGCCCACACTCGTTCAGAGCCTGTATCAACGCTGGCGCCAACGACGAATCACTTTCACCATTATAAAATGAGATTGCCTTTCCTGGTCGACCAACACGCCCTGTACGACCCACACGGTGAACATAGTCGTCTATGTCCTTCGGCAAATCGAAATTGATGACTAGCGATACCGCCTTAATATCAAGACCTCGAGCGGCTACCGCAGTCGCAACAAGAATAGGATATTCGCCTTGCTTAAGCGTTCTCAATGCTTCCTCGCGTTGCTCCTGTTCTCGATCACCGTGCATGGTCGTCGTAGCATAGCCCTGCAGATTCAAGAACAGGCCAATAGTATCAGCCCTTTTTTTTTGTTCAACGAAAACGATAATTCGATCTCGTTCACTTTTGTCCACTTGCGTATTCCTTTTCACCGTTGGATAATCATCAAGTATTTTTATTAGCTGTTCCCGTTTTTCAGAGAAGTTTTGTGTTTCGATAAAGCTCTGCGTCACATCGGCGTTAACCCCGCCCAAAGTTCCGACGACAACTTTGACCGTATTCTTTGAGCGCATAATCTGTCGGGCGAGCTGTTCAACTTCAGGTGGGAATGTCGCAGAAAACATGAGCATTTGCCGATTCTCTTTTGGGGGCATCGATTTGTGTGCGTTGAAAAAGCGTATATCTTCCTCGAAGCCGTGATCCAGCATTCGATCTGCCTCGTCTAGTATGATGTACCTGACCTCCGAAAATGAAATTGTGCCATCTTCTAAAAATTGCTTAAGACGGCCGGGTACAGCGCACAGAACGTGTGTACCACGGCGAATATCGCCACGATTCGACTGAACGTGAGTTCGACCATAGGCGTATGCCACGCCGATACGTCGTGGAGTCTCGTCGGATATCACTCGAAAATGGTCATTAAGCTGTCTGCACAGTTCTCTTGTCGGCGAAATAACTACTACCAAGGGCTTCTGGGTTTTTTTACCGGCTATCGATGCCCGGTCCGGCAAAGTCTTATCGTTCATGATCTTCTGTAAAATTGGCAAAATGAACGCAGCGGACTTCCCCGAACCAGTTTGCGAACATGCAATAAGATCTTTCCCAGCCATGATTACAGGAATGGAGAAGCGTTGAATTGGTGTCAGAGTCGCGTAGCCGAGTCTATTTACCTTCTCCAAGAGCACAGGACAGAATCCAATTTCGTCGAAGCTTTGTAGAGGCACAGCAAATGCGGCATCGCTAACCGTCACCTTGTCTTGGTCAAAGCGCTGTATATTTCCATTACCGTAGCATAATTCCGACATCATTTCAGTTACGCTACCTAATCCGGGTACATATGTAGCTGGCTTCGGCACCGGCTGGCCGTGTTTACTAATCCTCTGGCCGGGCTTGTTCACACAGTCCGCGGATTTGTGGCCTTCCCAGTGACAATTCCAGCAATCTAAAGGCCCACTCTGCCTGGGAGACTCGGACTTTTTGTGGCCTAGCTGTCTGCAGTTAAAACATACGCGGCTTCCTCTTTGGGGAGCACTAAGGCAATCACGCGCAATGTACCTTTCCTCATTACACTTTCGACAAGCTGCACAAACGTAACGAGACTCGGTATTAGTGGCAACTCTTGCTCGCAAATCAGTGGAACTAGAGACGAACAGCATACATATATTATACGTTAAACACAAATAGTAAACTGCTGGCAAAAAGACGAACCTAGCCATGTGAATTAAAATGTACCATAAGGCAAAAGAAAGTAAACCTCCTCGCAATTCGTAGAGGAGTACATGGTTCTACTAAGCACGATTATCCAGCAGAAACCAAATACGATATTTTAAATCTATAGACAACTCAGAAATAATTGTTAACATACCTCTGTCTCTAGATGACTCGAGATAGACTCCTTTTAAGTGGTCTGACTGCCCGCAATTGAAACGTCCTCGGTTTCTTCCCGAGGACGCATTATAGCATTCACGGGCCATATGACCCACTTCATTACACTTACGACACGCTAAAACAAACAGAGCATTATATTTGTGAGATATGTGACGCTTGGTGCTTCCGGCGTACTAAAAGAATCAACTAGCTAAATAATCGTTCGGATATCTATTGTGAAATCTACATAAACGCTGTCCAAAGATGCTTACCTTGACTACTTTTGATGAAATCATCGATCTATTTGTACTAGTTAACAATCTATTCTGGCCAACAACTCGATATTATCTTATTTAAATGTATAGGCGTCCATCTTCGACTTCAAGACACTAATTTTTTTAAGAGTACAGCCCTTAGCAATTACGAAAAGTACCCCACCAAATAAAAACACAACTCTAGGCAATGCATTAGCTACACACAAAAACCCTTAGTACCTTAACGAGTTCAAGAAGTTCGAGGGCCTCTAAACCACGAACATTGTATTTAACACATTATATATGTGCTTACTGCACAATTGAACAACATTTGCAAGTATACAACACATTAGCAGAACTAGGTTGAGAGGGGAGGTGCCGACGGAAATACCAAGATATGCAAGTGAATCATAAGTGAGTTTGGTAGCAGCCATACGAACTTATTTCCGGTTTAATAGGATATACCCGGGCAAATTGGCCGCCTTGACCATAGCTGCGGCACTTGCTACTACCGTCAAAACCCGTTCCATCATCAAACCTGTCGGAAATTCCAGTGTTCTGATAACCGGCAGCATCGAACTCCGAGCTGAAAGACTCAGACGCATCTTCCACGTTGGCAGCATCGTTGCCTTGCCAGCCGCTAGAATTGCCGTGGAAAAATAAATTTACAATAGGGTCCTTCACAGCCAAAAAATATTACGATTATGAATGTTTGTATAGTATTTTTTGCTTTCTACATCCCTGAGCTTTCATATTCATAAGTCGAAAAGAAGTGCAGTATAATGTGGATCACTACTCGAACTATCCTACACATAATAGCAAGTTAAGCAGACCTATCTGAATTTCCAACGTTGACTTACTCCATGCTTTAAAATTATTCCTCCGAATGATATGCCCAACGCCGATACTGAGCTCTCGATCGATTTGCCTGCAGGACTGCGAGAAGTGCTTGAATATTAGCACAACTAAAAAATCGTTAGCGATGAAAAATAACGTGTCATTTTAACAACAACATCATTTAAATAAGACCTTTGGTTCTCTTATAGAAAGCCATGAAACATTTACCACAACTTTGATTGCACGTAAGGCTTAAAAATATATTGTTCGATTTTTAAGACCAAGTAAATAAACGAAAAAAATACAACCCTTCTACTACTTATTATACGAAGAAAGAGACAGAACATATGCTTAACATGAATTAGCGTTCAACGTACAGTTCAAACGGGGAATTTGTATAAAAATCAAGTTGGCCTACGTAACAATAAAGCCCTGATAATAAGCCCAGACTCATGCAGCATCTAAAAATACCCTCCAAAGGTGCCTAAGAACCCTGAAAAGATTTGTTTTAACCACCATAGCATGCACCCGGAGAAGCCTTCAGTCACTCAGAAAGCCCTGCTGTTAATATACTGCGCACAACGGATGTCGTTCGAATTTGTTAACTAAATGCTTTGACGATTAAAAACAAAATCCTGAATAGAAGAGCATTAGACACATACACAATGGGATCGCTTGCATATGTAAACAGCGCATTAAATTAAACGATGCCCCATTCGGTCACATAATTAAGCTGACTACAAAATGTCACCCTAACGTTTCATCTAGATGTACGCTATGAGGAAGAATCAAATTCTTTCACCAGTCCGTGCTATGACTCGGTATTTCGCCTTTGACTAACTTTCTTTTTGTCGAAAAAACAGTCGTAAATATGAATACTTCGAGAGTTTTCGACTTCTGTGCGTCAGGTTACTAAGACAATTACAAAAGCCACATAAAAATTTCACAATGTTTAGAAAAATTAGAGAAGATTAGATCAGTCAGACATAGAATGCTTATGAAGTTAGTATGCCAATGTCGTGCAATGTGACTGGCATACAGTTAAGGCACCGTAACTACACACTGACAATGGAAAAATTGTTTGGCCTGTGATAAGTGAAACTCAACAGGTTCACGTCAAAGATAAAACCAGATTAATTTCTACTTAGCCTAAAGCGTTTTCCTTACAAAATACCATTATCTACATGCATATATCCCAACTTGATAAACAACACAAAAGTTCATTAATCTCGGACGTAGTCCACAAATAAAAGCCGGCAATGATGAAGAACTTAAGAAAGTTGTAAGGCTGATCCTACGAAACAAGCGCGAAAAATGATTATTCTAGGAAACGAAGGAGGCTGAACCGCCGATCATCACTGAATTGCTAATAGGTATGAAGACCAGCCGTGTCAATTTAATTTAGTAAGAAAGTCGATATTTTTATGCCAAGCAAGATTTATACTAAAGCTAACATAACGTACCGCAGTCAACGACGTGAAGAAGCTGGCATGCCAATTCGGCGTGTTTGCTAATGAAAACGAAAACGGAAATAGACCACCAACTAATTAAAGGGCTTCCGGTCTGGAGGCATTTTGTTGGACATTGCTAGTATCCGACTAAAGGTTCATAACAAACTCACTGCGAAAATTCGCTTCTCTTAAATCCTTAAAACACTGCTTTGTTCACACACGTCAAAAATATACATCATATACAAACCAGGTCCCACTGTAGAATGTCCAAAACTCAGTTCTGGTAAATTCAGTATTCAAATGGACGAAATCGCATGCAACGCCTATAAAAACCTTTGTCGTAAGTAGGGGGAAAATATATGTCATTTCGATAAACGTTGGTTGGATGGACTTGAAATCACATGTATATACGACATACTGAAAAAAAACAGCATAATCAATATGTATTGTAAAAAGCGAGATTCAAATATCCTTTGAGATAAAATAAGCAAGAACTGCAGTTTGCAGTGGTAAGGTGTAATCGAATGAGCGTCTATTAGAAAAACCGATATGCTTTAGCGGTTGATAGTACGCATCGTGAGCTTAAAGAGGTGGTATTAGCTCTGGCGCATGCTGCCTTGGGTAGTCGCTCGGTTTTCTTAATACAACGGTATTACAACGCCCTCAAAAAACACATGAGTCGAGCTTGTATTGATTCAGAAGATATTTGAAAGGACACGAAAGTACTGCCAGCTCTAAAAACAAATCTTTATAAAGTCAGCTGTTAAGGTGCGTTCGATCCATTTACGTTTATCTACATCTACATGATGTAGGGACTACTATATATATATATACGTATGATTACGGCTGACGTCCTAAGGCTCAGCACGTAGTGTTTTGAGTAAAATTCAACATGCAGGAATTTACTGGATAATAGCCAGTTAAATGCTTAAATATAAAACATTAAAGTGAGAAAAATACGTTAATGTGGAGAAAATATGTACATGACATATCGTTTTTCACCTTCTATGCGTTACGTTGGCGAATTTCATGCGAATCCTATCAACGATTTGGATTGCAGATGATCACATCAGGTTTTAGTCACGTGATTACAAAGCCGCCCCTCAGACGAGAACACTAACTGAGAAAACAGCAGATAAGATCTATTTTTTTGTTGCGAAGTACCGACTGCGACTATTCTCGTCATATCATGTTAAAATTGAATAGGAACTTAATATATAACACTAAATGGAGAATAGAAAAGGCTGAAACCTTTATCGGTACCGCTATCACATTTAGAGAAGCATGAAGTTTGACAGCATATACATTATCCAATCAAGGCTGTTATCGCTTCAAGAAGACACCTGAGTAGAACCTGTGTTGATTTGTGTCTAATTCTTTACACCAATCTATCAAGTTCAAATAAAGATGCGTTCATAGAATAATGAAAACAAGCGCTGTCGATGGCTTTGCTATTCACGTGAAATCATTTATTATATATATATATATATATATATATATATATATATACACTAATATAATGAATGCTGTTTACAATAGCCTGTAAGAGTATCTGGTTATGTGATGAGATAGATGTTGATAAGGAATTACAAGTGATTGATTTGTACGTTCTTCCATTATTTAGCCAATTTAAAGCTAAATTATAGCGTTTCAGATTATAGCGTTTAAGATTTTTGCGCGATAGCCCTTTCACATTTCTCCATTACTTTTCAAGCCATTTGCTCACTAGCAACAAGCATTTGCGGAGACTTGATCCAGCTCTTATGGTAAATTTGAGATCTGTATTGCAGCTTAGTTTCTGCGCCTGGTAGCTAAGCGCCATGTGAGCTCCTTTCTTAATAATACATATAATAATAATGCTTCTCTATCGATTAACCTGCATCGACATTGCGGCCAAACTTCTTCACTCGAGGCGCCAAATAAAAGTAACACTTGTTACAGAAACATAAACAGTTAACAAAGGCGAAGTTTGCAATTTAAGTTTCTAAAAGCTGGTCCGTAATAACATAATCTTATTTGGTAAACGGTTACCAATGCCGTGAGTTGAGACCGCTCACAGATCACATATAAGCAAAAACATGTTCACATTATTATTTCAAAACGAATAAATATTCATTTGTATAAATCTGCGCATAAAATTAAACACATTGCGATTCCTAGATAAACAAGTACATGAACAGAGAATCTCCGAAAGTGAGGGCAGGTTCCAACGACAGTCTCCGTTACCCTCTACGACGGATGATCATTAGACAAATATCTGACTGTTTATATGGACTATGTGTGGGTGGTGTTTGTATGTAATGTATAGTGGTAATGGTACGCAACTAAGGCGTTGTGTTGATAATATTTGTTAGTGCATTAATGTACGGACCCGGGAACAAAAAAAGATTTAACACACCCACGCACAATGATTAAGAACGAACAATGTACTGTCGTCAAATAAGAATATGTGGTATTTTGATGAGCAATGTTACAATCTTTGTTTATGTTGTTATTTGTTGCTGTTGCTGGTTTCCGTGTCTAAATCCTGGTTATGCAATGGATGAATAGGTGAACACTGAGCGACTGCAAGTTACTTCAACTGATCGTTTGACCGATCAATTCATTGATAATAAACTCATAAAACACAAACGCCCCTTTAGACTTTCGTGAGCACTAATATCAATAAGGTAAAAGCAACCGCTTCGGCAAACGGTTAGCTCTAAAGCAGAACCAACTAATCTTACTGATAAAGTATAGAGCGTATAGATCATCGAACTCTATTGCTCTTCAAAAACTGACTAAGTACTAATTAGATCGCTAAACTATATTCACGTAAGATCGCCGCCGAAGCTTGGTCTTAGAGGCACACACAATTACGGTTACTACTAAGAGGAGGGGCAAAGATATCTGAAAAGCACACAGATATAATCGATGTCTAAGTACTCTGTTACCTTCGTACCACACGTACTATCAGCGAGTCCCAAAGAGCTGGTAAATTAATCGACCAGCATATATAATTAGAGGCGATAAAAAGTATGCAAACTAGTTCTACTTGGACACTGTTTGATTGCAAAAAACCAACATATACTCAAAAACTGCACCAGGTCATGATGTCACACAATCGATTTCTGAGAGCCACTGTGCCGACATTTTGGTAAGAGCGGTAATGTTCTTGTATAGAATATGTGCTTGTATTTGGTCATTTGCTACGTAATATTTTCTCAGTTTTTCTTGTTTTCATATACCACATGAAAGCATTATCTTTTTTGGGAAATGGCAAATTTTCTGCAGGTTCTGTAGCATGCTACATTGAGACCGTTTAATCTACAGCGATTTTTTTGGCGAATTCGGCCAGGGCTGCGACTCCTGATGCTTCAGGCACCTCGGCACAACCTTCAGAATTGGTGAGACGGGAGAATTCAATGCTGTCCTGGTTTTCGTCTGCGAAGTATCAAAAGCAACATGTAATTTAATGTAATTTTTCTGAATATATACATTGCAAGGGACGTTGTAAAACACGTGTAACATATATACCATACAGTATATCGGCAAATAGTAAAATATTTGCATCACAGCGCAAAACTTCGTAGAAACGATTCTAGTTCGTGTATTTCGGTATTTTATATATTCAGTATTTTGTAGCCTTTATAGCTCATATCAGCATTAGTAGTAAGAGAATTTCAAGGAACAATGCCAGCCAGGGCTGTTGAAGACTTTACTGAAACTAGCAAACCTCTCGAACGACTTAGACAGTTCAGTAATTATACTGAACAAAGTCTATATCGAACGAAAAGCTTGCATCACGGCCTCCTATTGAATATATTGCATTATTATTTTTATTACGATAATTATGGTAATTATAATAGCATTTTCCGTACCTGTCAGATTATTGAGATCGGTACCCTGACTTTGATTTTTATATTTGTGGCTGGGCGCGTACAAAACAAGCAACATAAAGACGTAGCCGTTCCAGCAGCCCAGAACACCCGTGAAGAAAGCTGATGTGAACTCCAATGATATCTCCTCATCGAACTTCCACTGGCCTTCAGACCACTGCGACACGAAGTGCGCTACTACTGTCAGTGCTGCGGTTACCAGCGTGGCGAGCAGAAGGAACTTGAATCGGTAGATGATCCCTTCATAAAAGAGACGCCGAGTTTGACTCATACCAGGTAGGGCCGAACGTTTTGAGGAGATGTTACATCGGACGCGATACAACAGACGACACAAATAGCAAAAATAGGAAATGGCGCAAACAAGCGTCAGCGCGAGGAAGCCCGTTGCCAAATCGTGGCCAAGCTGAGTCGACCAAATGGAGTAGAATGGATTTGTCAGATGCACCCCTCTGATGTACAGTGTTGACAAAAAAAAAAAAAGAAGTAATGAAATGTTCTATGTTATTATGTCCTTGTACTAATGATTATGTAATATTGATTGAATAAAGCTGGTGAAGCTGTAGTAAGCCGCCTAAGATATAGCTACTGAAATTTCAGATACGCGTAGAGATAAAAGTAAAAGGTAAAAGTATCTGACGCTTTACAATGTACTGTATTATTATCATTATGAGAACACATCCTGCATTTCTCTGAAGTATGAACATATTGTTATGCGAATAGAAAATAAATAGCAGTTAATTCTTACAAATACACAAGTGTATTATAAAATATTATATTTAATAATAATAAGAATAATAATAATCCGATTTTTCTCCACGGTGGCAGCAACAATCCCTTGACAGATATTTTACATAGATGTAAAACTATATATATATATATAGTTTTCGTTTCGTAGATGCAACTAAAATGAATGATTGCATTTTACACTAACAGGTCATTACAAGAAGAATCTTAGGTAACTAACCTTTCGCAGATGTCGAAAACGAGCATGCATAGACAGCCAGTGAATACGAACAAAAGCTGTTGCCAATAGGCGCTCAGGCGGTTACGTTCAACGTCATCCTAAAATCATCAAGATTTCAAATTAAAAATGCAAAAATGTTACACGGCTTTAAGAAAAATGCCCCAAAATGTTTCACTTCTGTTTACAAATACGCTACGGTCAGTGTAAATTACTGCATGAGCAGTTGCTGTGAATAAACAACTGTGACATAATTTCTCCGAGAAAATAAAAAGAGATAGAACTAGTAAAGTTTTTATAGCTGAAAAAAAGTATTAATTAAAGTTCTTTTTATTCCGCTGCTCAATAGTAGGAGATTTTCGGGTCTCTACGTCTAGGAGGTTAAAGTCTCAGCTTACGTGGATAACTTCACCATACAACCTTAGAGAAACACGTGTATAGCAGTAAACCAGTTTCTGAAATATTAATTTATTTAAAATATTTTGGAAAAATTTTTCTTAACTGATTTCTATGGACAACAATCTCAGCGGCTTTTAATTCACCGTATCTCCAAAAGCATCAGTAAATTGCTTTTTGTACATACAGTAATTTTATTTGGAGCACATCCTCAGTTTACTCGATCTTGATTTTCGCTATTGATAACGTAGCAATAAATGAACATAACTCAGACAACACCGAATCTAGCTTTACGGATGATTAGTTTAACTTACATTGTCCTCCTGTTTGCATGCGACATTCAGGAAAAAAGTTTTTGTCATAGTTAAAAAGGGAGAACAGCTTTAAGAGTGTACCTGCTCAAATCAAACATATTCAACACTGACCGTATTTTGTAATTTAGCTATTCTTGTTATAAACATCTTATAAATAATGTTTTAATCTTTACTGGCACTAGGCCTATCGAACAAACTTCAGAAGTCTCTACAAATATAAAAGTTGATTATCTGGCATAGTGTAAGCACCAATTATAGATACCAAAACCTATTTCGGATGTCTTTTGAATCGGTCAGGTGCCGGCAACTAAAAAACGTCTAATTCGAGAGCTAATGACTAATAAACACAAGGTGCTCAAAAAGGCATTTTTATCAAGCCATTTTTTAGCAAGCTCTAGCCAACGGACTGAAGTTAACACCTACCATGAGATGTTCTCCACAGAAGATCAGCCAAAAACTGAAAAGCATGGCATAAAAGATACCCTGACGTATGTCACAAATCAGCATCATATACGGCATGTTGAACGAAAGCGTCAAAAACTCGATAGGAACTGGAAGTCATGCAAAGCAAAAGGAACGTTGCGTTTATTATATTGTCTAATAAAGATTTTAATTCAACGCGTAATTACAAAGACAAGAAGTGCGATCGTTCTAGGTGTTTCCATCTATCAGTTAACAATCAACAAAAGCATGACGCAAATGAAACAAAAACGTTTAGAAAAGGTCTTCAAGCTTAGAAGCTAGCATGGAGTATTGTTTTTTGTTATGTGGATATATAGTACAATTCCGGCCTTAAGGGTAAAAATATAAGAAAGAAAAAGACGATAAAACGTCCATTCCTGAGCTCTGGTTCCTGATTGCCTATACCTCTGATATGATAAAATAGTGATGATGGTACTGACGATTAATCGCCGTCATGGCTACGGAGAGGGCCAATATGCAGCACTCGAGTAAATGCGGCGGCCGGTCCATGATGCGAATGCGTTTCCAGTACCACATCATTGTTGCGAGAATAATCGGCAAGAACACCGTTTTCAACGACAGAAACACCTGCACATGAACACACAATATATATCATTAGCCGATGGCTGCGAACAGATGTGTTGATTTATTTTTGAGCTTCTGTATTTGCCGTGCTCAACCTTGGTGACGTTCACACCACTTGATCGAAAAAAATATCTATTTTTATATAATACGTATAATAGCAACCTGAGTAAAACCGCCATTCTGGTGAATCACCACAAGCCAAACGTCGTTGAGTTGTCCAATATGGGTATTAATAGTCTGATCTTCGTTGAGCGGGAATTTCACGTTGATGAGATAATAGTCGTGGTGCAGTGAGCCCAATTCGAACAGTGACATCACGTCACAGTTGTAACCGCCATAATGCAGCTTTGGTTTCCGTCCACGTAAAACATGAAAAATGAGAAAATAAATTAACAAAAAAGAAACATTTGTCATCTATAGTGTCTGCAATAAAAATCATTATATCTACACCAATACAAAAACTAATTTTATTATAGAGAAAAATCGAAAAATTTCTCTAATGCATATACCAACCTGGTCGATATGATGGTGAGTTGAATTAATATCACATTTTAATGTCCGGGTCTCTGTGGAATTTGCTAAAAGGTGCCACGTGTCTGGGCTCTCATGTTTATTACGATAACCCATCTTTATGTCCATAGTTACTACAGGATCTTGTTCTGTAAGGGTAGGAATACACTGATGAAATAAGTACAATCCATTGAATACTATCAGGCAAATACGCCATACAAAAACTGAGTAAAACCCTAAAAATGAACCGGACTTTTTACGGACATGCGATGCAGAAAATAATTCCAAATTTCTAACCACGCCTTGTGTACAATCAAACAGTTTATCGAAAAGTTCATCGATCAGTCAACAGTTTACTCTAAGCGATCAGGCGTACTACATGGTTAACGTGACAAAGATTTGATGAAACTTTATAGGCCAACTCACTAAGCGGATTATTGGGGTCGTGAAGGATATCCATGTGCAGAACGCCGATAAGGTTCTGCTGCCAACGCGAATAATCGAGGTCTTTGTTTTCTTTTGGTAAAGGCAATTGAAACGAGAACACGAGATGATTAGCGGTGATGTTGAGGTCCTTTGTGTGTATCTATGGGGGCGAGGATCGTACGCGGCAATCACGATCAGGTAACGAGACGAAAGGACACGTAGGAGTATGTTAATGGCCAAGATAAAACTCGATCTCATAAATGAAGTATATATATGCCATAAAGATATTTGTTGAGAATTAGCACATTTTAATTGTAACAATCTTGTCTACTTGTTGATAAAATTTGTAACAGATGCATAGAAGGTGTCTCAATGGAAGGTAATACCATGTTTCAAGCTTAAGAGTGGATTACGAGATGTATATGAACCCAGAAAAAATCGTAAATCGACATTTTGGTTGTGATAAAAACATACGGTTTTTATGTCGGCAGCATATAAGGAACGCAATACAGCAATCCGCTAGTTTCGACTTCTGAGCATCTGAGATAATCACTTACATAGGCAAGGTTCTCGATTAAATTGCAGTTGACTGGACGCCTTTTCGATCCTCTGGGAAAAGCCCATGGCCAGCTGAAGTCTCCAGGAACCGTGGGGTTTTCCTGGGCGCATATCGAGCCAAGCACTTGATCCGCATTCGATGGCGCAGGAGCTACCAGGAGAACAAAAACATGCACAATTAAAAAAGGACGTACGTATATATTTAAACAATCATTGTATCTGTAAATGTACATGACTTACACTGGTGATCTAAAGCAATATATAGATAAGCAGAAAGAAGAATTGTAACGTTCATAACCAATAGATAATAAGTGTTTTGACCTTTGTACTATAGCCTTGTTGTCAATACCGCGAAAAAAATAAATAAAAGAAAAAAAATCTAATTAGTACACAACAAAACAGTGCTCCTTTCTAAGCGATAAAATAAATGTTAAGCCTTAAAGTATTTTCAACCGATACCCGACGTAAATCTCACAAAAATTTAGGCTTCCCAATGTTTTTGGATATTGCTACGGGAGTTATGAGAAATGCCTGCTCAGTTTCGTAGTCATGTAACTTTCATATATATTTACATCTATGTGAAAAGTAATTCCGAATATTCGGCTATGAGCCTACCTAATAGCATTTTTTTATGCTTTTACAAGCGAAAAGATTAAATTAATATATAACCTTAATAGTATGCGAGACTGTCCCTAACAATTTTCGATTGTTTACTTATTGTAAAAGAGCTAAACAACATATTGTAAACATAGATGGAAACATATGTCTCTTCGTAATGTTTCTTAGAATGGCAAAACAAGTTCGAAAATACTTACAAACATTTAGAGCAATGCAAGCATTATTTCTGCTATGATGTGTTTTTAGCATTTAAAATAATTCGAAAATGAGAGCCAATATCAAATGAAAATTGATAAAATTATTCGGTTTAGGAATACAATATAGCTAGTGTAAAAATAAGGCTTATTAGGATTTCGAAATTTGTTCCTTAGCTTATTCTACTTCTTTATATTTTAAACAAACTAACCTCGAATATAACATGTATAGTATTTAGCTCTGTGTAGAAGCTTATACAATGGTTTTGTACATTCTATTGTTGTTTAATTACACCTGTTATGTAGCATGTGTCATTTGTGCGGATTGAATAATCCAACATTTTTATGCAGATAAAGTACCTTTCTACATATCACATCTTGACTATTATTTTTATTATGTATTGTATTTAATAGTGGCTTTAAAAACTACAGAGATTGTAATTCGAAAAATGTCACGCATTGTAAATGCATACAGCGAGATATTTTCGTAAAAAAAAATATTACTTAAAGCTTTGTGCGCCGCAAAGACAAAATCCTTTACAAAACTGCCGCGAGAGAAAGACCCGAAACAAGGTTGATGACAAACCCGCGTTCTCGCTGAGTTATCGATTATGGCCGAATTTCCCGCATGGTTCGCCGCCAAAATAGGTCATTGTTGCCAATATTTGTTGCCGATACCTCTATTATTCGTCGGTAATTGGGTAAGCACTGAACACAAACTCTAAGGCTATTAGATCTGTTTTACGGATAATACGTACCGATTACACCTCCGAGTAGAAAGCACAGCCCCTGAACGACGAGGACAATACTCACAATAACCGCCAATTTTTTTCCAGACAGATTTTCTAAGATTGAACCGCTTCCACCCGCCATTGTCGCGAGAGGCTGCTTAAGTTTTTGGCAGTTTTTTTTTTTATCCTCTAACGCTCTTCTTTACTGAACTACCCTCCAAGACAATGAAAACCGCTCACCGACGCGCACTCTCAGTCTGCATGGATGAATTTTTTGACGCTTTGTTTTTGCTTTGTCTGTGTCAGAGCGGCGGGCGGTTCAGCTTAAGTCGATTTGACCGTCGTAATACGACGTAAAACAAATAGTTTCCGATGTAGTGGTGAAATTCGCCGAAACGGATAAGATGTCAGATGACATCCTAAGTATCTGCACGTCAGAACATCGCCGAGTATATTCTGTTGGAGCCGGTTGGTAACGTACTAGAACTAAGTATAAACTTGATAATTTAGATGTGTCGGTATATTTTGTAGTAAGGGAAATTCAAGATGCACATTAAGGACGCAAGTAAAGTGTCCTGTCATACCGTCCTTTCCTTATATGTATTTCACATAGGCCGATTGTACTTCACATAGAAATTTCCTCTCAGTTTATATCTCTATTACGAGTCTCATTGCTCTTTCATAACTTAAAACTCTCAAAATAACAGAAACGATTATCAACCCATGAGCTGTTAGCACTCAGGATTACCCCTGTCGACGATTGCTTTCAGATAAGAACCCATAGCAACACAAACCTTAGTGTTGAAGTACAGATATTCACAACTTTCACCGCTATTAGAGCATAGAGGAAACAGCTCACTTCAATCATTATCTGAATCTAAAAATAGCAGAACAATAACAAACAGGACGGTTAGACAATGCATGGTTACCGGTGGTTATAATTACTTTCTACACAAACGTTATAAAGAGGGTGAATAACGCATTATTAGGAAGAAGACATTCCGTACCACACTTATCTTGAAGACGTCCTCCAAAATCGAAAATATAATGAATGACGATGTGATGAAGGCGATCTATAGGGATATGACGGTCGTACAGCATGGCCAAGCCGAACGTGATCTTAAAAATCATAACGCGATCTACACGAATATTGAAATACTTCAGGCCGAGTTGTTCTTCATGTTTTTTTTTTTAATAGGAGCTACTCGAGAAAAGCATATCTTAAAATTTGCCGAGTTTATTTGGAAGCACTTTAAGTTTCTCTATATGAACGACCCATTTTCAATTTTTTTGTGGCAATGCGCCGTTGGAATTTTCTGCAAACTTCTAAAATTGTGATCATTTCCGCATTTTAAAAACGTCTCTGCTTACAGGCAAAACCTTCCAACTGAATCCTCTTTTCTTTAGCGATCGGATAGGTCGGTACGTTATAACAACCTATAGGTAGGACATCCCTCATCCCTCGTATTGCTTAAATATTTTTCACATGATAGATGTGATGTATACGATAGAAAAGCTGAAAACAGTGCCATTAATTTACTCTCATGATCTCAAGTTTACAAGCGTGGGAAGGAAAACGTTTAGCTAGTTTTTTTATTAGTTTTTTCTTATACACTATTCGGCTGTACACTTTGTGAGAAAACCTTGTCGGATTCACCTCTGAAGTATCACATCAGGAATTTGCATAAGGAACCACCTATTACCATATAGACAAGTACATAGCACCAAGTCCCTGCAAAACTGCATGCCTATCATAAAACGATGTCACCTTTTAAAATTAAAAAAGTTGTGGACAACGAATTGCGACCTGTTCAAAGTAGTTGTGTAGATAAGCCCATAGGTTAGAGAGTCTTACAACTGATAGCTTATAGCGTTGATTCTGAACACGCGATACACAGCAATGCCCTTCCACTTGTTAAATGTAGCTACCACAATTGAATGAAGCAACTACAATTGAACAGTAATCTCGAACATTTACTTTGATTGTGTGTCTGCCATTGATGGATAATACATTTATTTTTCATTTATCATCTTCCCATTTCTCCTACGTTGTCTTGCCAGCACACTATGACTCTCGTTTAGATTAGAACCTTTGTTCTTGTAATGACGCTGTGGTAACCTGTTCGATTAGCAAATTCGTTCTTCGAAGTAAACTCGTTATAGTCTTATTGTGCCCTCATCCTCTCATTTCTGTTGGAGCCAATTCTTATCAACCTCCTCTTGTTAACAATTATCTTTTTCTCATTCGTTAAACTCTCCGCGTTAAGTGCCTAGACATGACTAATCTACCCTAGAGTCTATCGCATTTTTCGCTGCAGCAGCAGCAGCCTTTGATTAATAAGAAGACTTCTGCTTAACCAATGTCCTTTCCCACATCCATCGGCGTTAATCTTACTTATTTTTGTACGTGCTCCGCACGTCAGCTGTTATCACTGCAACCATTGTAACCGGCGCTTTACTTCACTTTTGAGTCATTTGTTTGTGCTGGCAACCCACCGTTACAACGCGAATAGCTGCTGGATAACCATTATAACTATTTACCTTCTCAGAAACATCTGCCAGTCGCCAGATGTCGCTGGCATCGCCTTGAGTCAGCTATGGCAGCAGAAAGACCTCTATTTGTTTGTCAGGATTGACCGCTGCGTCTTTTTATTTTGTGTTACGTGTTTTTAGCTCTACAGCGCAGTGTTCCTTGCGACTGCCTGCTATCACCTTCGTCTGCTGCTTGTACTGAGCCTCTTTCCAGCCACTACCGCTGCTAGCTTTGCTGCTACGCGAGTAGTGAGTGCGCAGCTCTGCGCGCCAGATTGCCCTGTCCGGGCGTCTTTTGTCTGTATGTGTGTGTCACTCTGTGGCCGTGTGGATGACCCTTCTCGTTGTTACGGTCAACCGTATGGTGGCTCATTGGTAGACCGCCTGCTCGCTTTGGCCGCACGACCGCTATAGCACTTGCTGGGAGGCCTGTTTTCTGGCGCTGCTGATGCCGCGCTACGTTGAGCCATCCGTGCCGCACTTCTCTACCACAAATGTATATACTTCTACTAAGATTAGAACAGACGTTAACACGATCTATTGCCCGTGGATACACAACAACGGTGGGGTTGCAGAATTGATTTTTGCTGCTGCTGCTGCTGTTGCTGTACAACTCGACAAACGAGAATCGGGGTCCGTCAACGGTACTAGCAGAAATCATCACCGTATTCGCCATAGAGCCGTTGTAGTGACCATCGTCTCAATGGTGGTGGAAGTTGCTGCTGCAGTTGTTCTTGTTGATTCTTGCTGCTGTAGTACGAAACACGCACAGACACATAGATCGACCGACAGACAGACAGACCGGCCACAACAACACGAACCAAGTGAGCGTAAACAGGCAAGCGTGAGAGTGGCCAAGCGACTGAGCCGTCATCGCATCCACAATCATCGCTGCGTTGTGTACTGACTGGCTGACTGTATCTAACCGTATCGCCTCGCAGGACGAGGCAAATAAGAAAGTAAAGAAGGAACGGCCGGCAGAGTTAAGCTAACGGCTGAAATTCGTGCTGCTTCTTGGCCATTATCGTTGACCACCACCATTTGCTGGGTAGGTGCCCAGCGCCTAGTTTCGTATGTGGCATAAGCTGGTACTGTGTTTAGGCAGACGTGTATGTAGACAGCGGACGACACAAACGACTGGCACGTTCATCAGTAGGAGATCGTGCGCTCGTCTGAAAGGACACGGCGACATCGTACACCAAGCTTGTCCTCCCCCTTAATCGACCAGCCTGCTATTGCTGAAAGACAGCGCAAGCAAAAGTTACGACATAGCAAAAATAGCAGGTACCCACAACGGTGGCTGGCGTTGGCGGTGTTCTTCTGCATTGAACGAACGTCGAGCCGTAACGTTACTTCACGCCTTAGCACGAACAAGCAGCGTGACAAGGACAATTTCTATTCTGCTATTGCCTGACAATCAATTATTAGTATATGGTGGACATTGCTTAAGCATTTAGTAGTGAGCTGATTCGTGTTTAGTGTATATATATATATAACCTACAAGCAAACGTAGGCCAAGTTACAGCCACTGTATCGATGTATATAGGCGTAAATATCTATACATTAGAAAAACAGTTTTGGAGAAAACAATTCGTGAGTGAACAGTGATTTGCCGTCTGCATCAATTCGTTGATTGGTATAATTACGTTACTATTAATTTTGCTCCGAGTGGCGTCATTCGTTATATCTGCTTAAGTGGGTGTAAATGTGTAATAATATGAACAAGAAAAGGAGATAAAGGAAAAAAGATACATATGTAGATGTTGTTATATATTCAAAGCAACCCATACCCACGAAACATCATAATCTAACGTAAGTTAAAGTGGTTTCCTGGTGAAGTACATATGCAATAAAGACGAACTGTTAAGAGGTAACCAGAACGAAATCAACGAAAACGAAACGACTTCCCAACAGCGAGACATAAGTGCCAACATGGTTAACCCTGATGAGAGTATCGATGGCCGGGTAGCTGGTGGAGGTCTCCGTGAAGACTGGGAAGCGTGGAGTAAAAAGTTTGAGGACGGTCAACTCACGGTAAGTATTAGTGAAATGATTGATATTTGGCATCGACATGAACGTTCTTAGTATATATCTATGTAGTATATTATTATTATCATAATAATGATGATAAATAATGATAGTTGATGACGGTATCTTCTTCATTAGCAATCATAAATAACGATGTAGTCGTTTGCGTAACACTCGGCAGTTGCGAAACTCTTGAATAAATGACAAGTAAGAAAGCGAATGTACAATCCGAGAGATTGGCTTAATAGTAGATAACTAAGTGCTACTTGTCGGTACGAGATTGATGAGATTCGTCGGTGTCATTTTATGCGATCATGTGAAGGAGTCCGGCGGCCGTCATTTCGGTGAGCCACACCAATCGCAAAGGTGTAGTTGGAACGATTCCGGTGTCGGCGACGGATCATATGGTCTATCGTCCACAGGTTATGTCACAGTGACTGGTCGATTTAGGCGGGTACATGTGCCATCTCCGTTGATAGAAAATGCTTAGTTATATGAAAGGCAAAGAAATCATTTCCAACACCATGCGCATACATACATATATACTGGTGAACTTAGTAAATTAAGTGTAAGCTCCGTCCTCTAAATGAATTGGCAGTAATGGCGTCCGCGTAATGACAAGCAGTTTTACCGTACCATAAGCTGACAATCTAGTCATAACTCTATCATTTCGTGTTAAATTATTTTATGCTAATGTCATACGAATATCGAAGCTGTATCGATCTTTTCATCAGACTTGTTCACATAATTAGTTGCGCTCCTTGAGCCGCAGATGAATACAGCCTTAAAACCTTTTAGCCCTAGATGTCGATTCATCTGATCGTTGTAACAGGAAGAGGAAATCTGTTGTTTCGCAATTATTTGCTTTTGTCAGGTAGTAGTGACTATTGGATCTTGTTGCGACGAATCCTACATTTCTTTGCAGTACTATTCATTTTTCTACATTCGAAACGCTTACCAGCTAATACCACATAACTGCAAGCTATGTATTGTACGTGACGTATCTTTATATAGGATGCGATTTTTTAACATTTATAATTCGATTTTGAACAACTGCAACCCTGTCTCTCTCCCGTATATCCTAATTCACAGCAGTATTCACGACGATTATGTTACTGCGGTAAGCGTTTTTCATAATTTTGCTGTCCAACCCCATGATATTCGAAGGATACTATAGTTTTCCTGAACCTCGTTTCGATGCTATTGCTGCTGCGTCATCCGCAACCGATGGTATCGTCGTTGAAGACGTCGCCGATGACAATGTATCATCGTCTACGTCTACGTGTCTGTGTTCATCATAAAAAATGGTGCGACAGCGTAGCTCACCCTCTAAGAGTCAGTAAGCAGCTTTCTATCAGTTGCTATCATCCCGTCGGTTCTGGCGAAGCGTGAGCCAGCTGTGGAAAACGAGCGTCAGTTGATTTGCCCACATTCTTATGTTGTGCTCTGCGTACGCTGGGTGAGTCAAGCGCGACAACAAAATGTTAGTATGGTTGGCGCGCTAAAAGAGCCTTCACTCAAAGTTGATCGAAAATGGAGTGCCTTCATTCTGCCAACGCTTACTGACATACTTCGCAGGAAAAACCTTTCATGTGTTCATATATTCTATTTATGCTGCTAGAAATCATCGTCTGTTCGTCGAACTCGACACGACCCCTCAAAGTCTCTAGATTTGGCTCGTTTGTGGCTCGATAGAGATTCCTCCTGAGAAGATCTTAACGGAAAAGAGAGCTGACTAGCCAGATTGCTACAAAAGTTTGCTCTTCTCCTCTGGAGCATGATGTTAATTTGGTTGGTCGTAAACGACCAGTAACAATTTATTTTTGCTTTCCCATGCTTGAAAATGTTATCGGTTCACGACCGCTTACGTCCGTCCGCGCTGACATTCGAGTGTGCCCAACTTTTTTTGCACGGCAAACTGTATCTAAACTGTATTATGGAAGAAGCTTTTAGGATTAGGGAGTATATGACTACTATATGACGTTTCCTTCATTTTAAATATAAATAGCACTTTATCTCCATATAGGTGAAGTGAAATGTGTTTAATAATTAAACAAGCGTGAAATCTGTGGGTAACGCCCTATTGGTAGGTTGAGTGCCCTCAGTTAATGAGCATTGATCATGAACTTAATTGATTTTGCTGAACCAATTCTATTGTAAACCTTTGATACCTACACGTACATATTATTATTGGCCTGAATCAAATGTACGTCAATACAGCTTCAGAGATGATAATTGGGTTTGCCGCAAAACATGAATGCGTTACCATTAATTCGTTTCTCATTGGTAACAGGTTATTTATATTTACGCACATTAGGTTATTATCAATACTATGCAGAGAGAGTTTTTCGTAAGATTTCGTTCGATAAAAACGGAATATCAACTTATCAACAAAGAGTGTATAGACTGTCAAGTCTAATACATGCACACGCAAAATAGACACGTATAGCTTTTGTTGCAACTGATTTTCCACCAGACGACAAATGGCCTTCTAAAATTTCATCCAAATGAGTTGAATGCAGCACGTCTTTGTGGAAAAGCTTGCGCAGTTTTGACTAAACGACGCGTATACTAGTACATATACTGGTAATAGCAATTGGTCTAAGGCGACAAGCCCTTATCAGGGTTATTGCAGCTAATGGATAGTTCAGTCCAAACTTTATAAAAAATAGCCAAGCCAATAAAATTTGGCCTTATAGCCTGGGTTCAATGCACTGGAACCCTTTGAAGTGCGGCCATATTGTTCATGTACAAAATGATCTTTTTTGGAATTCAACGTACGTCAACATCAACGTCAACGCAATGATCAAGTTGAGCAAAGAGCCACACTCTGCGCTTATTTTAGTTGTACCTTAGTCCACAATCGAGATGAGACACTGATAGTGATTTTAAAACATTTGAATGTATTTTTCACATGCATTTAGATGTTGTATTGCAAAGTACAGTATAGAAATTGTATGCTTAAATCTTATACATATAGATATCAAGCAGTTCACCAGAAGCGCATTTCTACTTCGTTGATCATGCAAAAAAATGTCTTTGTCGTACAGTCCATTGACATTTAATAATCTTGAAGATACTGTGATATTGTGCTTTACCATGATTCATCGATTCAGCCGATATTGGCAGCCTGCACTTCCATCATGTTTCATCCCAAGGAGCGAACTGCCGTCACTGCAGGTTTTAGATCACTTCTTACTTTATCTGGAACGAGTTCATAAACGGAGTAAACTTGATTGCTGGGATTATTATCAGGTCACGCTTGTAAACACTGAGGTCGCGATCCTTTCACATCTGTGATTCACTGCTTTAAGCTACTTTGCTTTTCTTAGTCACCTAGGTTAACCCTGGCCTTAAACATAAGTTCTTTGAGGGTCTAGAGTAGCGTACCAACATTCTAGCATCGTTAGTATACTTCTAGAAAATGGTTCTAGTAATATTTTTGTACATAATATCCATAGTTGTTATCTATTAAAGCTAATTCGTTTTTAGAGAAGACATTTTCTAATTTTCGAGTAGATTTTAAAAACTAATGCGAAAAACATAACTAAAAGTAGAAATTGGAAATTGTTTTTCTTTTCGTTTCTATTTCAGAACTCAGATTTTCGCAGTTACTGGGCACAGCATGTACCTCGTCTGTTTGCTATTGGTCCACAGGATAGCTGTCTTAATCCAAGGGTAAGAGTACAGATATACGTTGAAAACTAATCCACTTATAATTGTATCGTCCCTATATTTATTTCTGTTATCTGATAGCTAAGAATTGTTGTTATAAAAGCTATTATTGTTCGAGAATGATTGATATTTTAAGAAATGTTTTATTTAATGTCAAAACAGGTTGTAGGTTGTCGAGTAGTCTGAATCTCTCAGGATGTTTAATTGATCAGCTTAACCCGTCGACTTTAAACAGTTAGAATTTCAAATAAAATGGAAATTATTTCTACACGTTAGATGACATCATCTTGAGTCGCATCCAATTCAGCGATTTGAAACGCCGTTCGACTCTTAACTGGCTGTAGAAATTATGCAGCTCAAGCCTAGCAGAAGTTTCGGCTGGAATTAACACTGATTTTACCTACGCGTACGATGCACATTGCATTATTGTCGTAAGACTCGTTTTGTCGTTCTCATCGCTTGCCTTGTAATAAATCAGGGTACCTCTCATGATCAATGTAACGGTGTCTCTCGCCTACAATCAACTTTGTAAAGCAAACCCAATGGCTTTCGTTTTTTTACATTACGAAACGATCGTATGAACAATGAAATGCAGACTCGCTGTAGGATCGCTAAAATTTAAATCATTTTTCGATCCTCTGTATTATATGACTTGGTCATTACACAAATGGTAGCGGACAATTTTTCGAATATATATTGCCTTTTGAAAATATTGGTTTCCATGACCGCTGTCGCAATTAAAACAACATTCCTCATAGCATTTTTCAATTTGAGAATTACGTATGCATGGCCATGTTCCTATAATATTGATACTACTATATAAGATTTTTCATTCTGTTGCACTGCAAAATGAGATCTCGATAAACTCAGTTCAGTCTGTTGACATCAGTCTATTACGATTAGTTGGCGTCTCCTCGCTTCTTTCGAATCTTGAACAAATGGTCATAGCGACTACTGAAAGCTGAATATCCCCATCTGTACAGACATTGCCTTCATTCGTCGCTCTTTGGTTTATTTTTCCGCGCGTGCCTATAGCAGCGTATGTTGTACGCAAATTGCGCAGATTTGAAGATACCACCTATATACACAGGCTCAGTAACCTACGTTATAATAACTATATTATCACCATCACGACCACGATTAGGTGAACTGTGTAGGTCACAGGGCAGCAGTCAGACCGACCTATTTCTGGTCACCAGCTCCTCAAACAGTCTGCCAGGTTGTACTATCAGCAATACTTGCAGTATGTGAAACCTTACGATAGAGTCGAACTGTATCCTTCAAAGGAAAGCCACTACATATGTACAATGACTCTACGACGTATCAATAATGCGGTAGCTCGTCCGGTAGTGGACACTATCGGTTGCTGCTCTAGCGAACTTCGGTGTTTCTGACAATTGAATTAACACCTCATTCCCATTACGACGATTGTGATTTTACCATACTGCACTCGTCCGTAATAACCATTGTTAGTGGATGAAAGCGAAAAAGCCCGGGTCTGATTGCAATATGCAGGTACGACTACAGGTGCGACAAGAGGAGTGTAGCCGTGGTGTGGTAGCAACGGTGACCCTGCAAGGGAATGGCTGTTCTCGAACAAAAACAATGGATTATTCGCCGTAAAGTTGCAAGCGGCGTGCGCAAGACGTGCGCTAGCGGTCATTGTTACACTTTCAGTAGCTCTACCGCTATTCATCGCAAAAATGTTATCGGGTTCAGCGTGAAATTCAACACGGCATTCTAAGAAAAATTCAGCTTATTTTAAACATCGCACTTTGTCTATCAAAAACCCCTGATTCTCATATACGTTTCTCTATTTAATCCTTTTTGGGACCTGCCATTTATGGCTCTTTTTCTATTAGGTAGCATTAAACAAGAGGCCACGTAAGCTATCAGCTTGGGGCCTGACTCGCGCCTCGCAAAGATTCGAATGTTGAACGACGAGTCGACATAGACTCGAGGATCGTGATACAATCTGTACTTGTGAAAGTCGAATTAATCAGCAGAATCTTGTGATTGTTGCTATCTTTGATAAAATTTTTAACCCTTGGGTCTATCGGCAGTTGTGTCGCTTTTTATGATAGTTTATGATATGGCTACAGTGACCTTTTGAGCGACCACCACAATCTGACTGGAGTCACTCTAGAATATAGTCACACAACGCAATAAGGGTTGTCGATTATAAAAACGTGACTATCAATTTTCGGCTGCTGCTATAGGAAGAGTGTGGAAAATATTCTAATTGTTTTTTTTCTGTTATGAAAATGGCTTTTACACTTGATGGGTGTAAAATTTCGACTTTGACATAGACACTTGAATAGGTTTTTACAAAAATTAGGCGTCTTTGTTACAGACAATAAGATAATTACTAAGGAATTAGTGCCAACAAACATCATTTGCATGCTACAGTAAAAACAAATAGATCGATGATATTTAGGATCTGGAATGGACTAATATATGTGATATGTCTTCTAGTGGTTCTACATAAAAGAGAAATAATGAATCGCAATTGCTTTAGATATAACAAGACAAGTTAGCTATTCTTACCTAAAAGCCAGCAAGAGACAAAAATGGATTGAACGCCTATTGGAAAAATTGTATTTAGCAGTGAAACTAGTTACTTATTTCTGCACAGACGTAAGACTTCTTACCGAATGTTGAGGACCTAATACACCATATGGAATGGAGGTGGTCTCAGAAAAAGGCGCAATGCGGGGCAAATCTTTCTTTAGGAAACCTTCAATATTTTTGAATATCGTATTTATCTTTCTCCTTTTTCTACCTCTTTTACTTATCTAATTATTTATTAAATTAAAAAAATGAGAAATATTTAATTAGAAACTAGCTAGTGCTAGTTAATATTTGTCTAGTTAAAGCTTCTATTTGATTCTCATACTGTAATCAAATTTTTGTTTTAATCATTATTTTGTTTGTCATGTATATTTAATAAATCGTATTTGTTATTATCTTGTGGTTTACAGTTTAACGAACAGGAGATCAACTACACCTTTTTTCACTCCTTGGAAAAATTTATCACCAACTCCCTGGATCCTGAGCAAGTAATCAAACAGCTAAAACAGAAAGAAAGTCCAGCATCTTTTTGCGGCCATGTCTTCAAATCGGGCGAGCCCACTTACTCGTGTAGAGATTGCGGCGTCGATCCAACATGCGTGCTTTGTGCCACGTGCTTCAAGGTATGCTATCGCTTTGATTTGTATTTCATTAAACTAGACGACAATAAACTAAACCGTTGTAAATAAATAATAAGTGGAGACACTTCTAAGAATTTTTGATAATCAAAACAACAGCAACACTATTTTTTATTCTTTTGCAGAGATAAGTATATTAGTGTATTATGCACCACTAAATCTTAACGAACAAAGTTTTTTTTTCGAAGGAATCGTTTTTTTTTTCCGATTATATAACACTTGTATCCGAGAAGCTGAATTGAGAAAAACCTTGTCGAGCACCTTGTTGTAATGAGCATACATTCATCCGCTACCCTTTCGTACCAGACGAAAGCCAGTTCTTTTTAAAACAAAATACTGAGCCCTACGGTCAACAATAGTACGTCGTTTCCGGAATTTGAGCGAAGATTAGCCATTATCCAATCTTGCCGCACGGAAAGAACCCCGCCAGAATTAAAAATTATATTTTTTCTGAAATTGACAACATACATTATTACTGGATTTTGAAAAATCCGGGAAAGACTTTCATGAGGCAGATCAGAATACCCTCAACAGTGTTTAAGTTTTAGGAGCTTGAAAACTCACCAAATGGCTCAAAGCCATTTTCGATACACTTAGGTTTATGGTATAAAGATTAACGTCCGTCTTAGAGAGAAAAACATCAATTAATGTATATGTGTAGATGAAAGCCGACAGCTAGTTCAAACTTCTTGCGTCTTGTTGCACTTTTTGTATCTTTTGTTTGTTTGAGCTTCTGTATTTTGAGACTTTAGGTTTGCTGTCGGCCCAAAGCTTACTTCCGCCGGATTTTTTCGTATGTGATGTATTTGAGTAATACTTTACATTTTTTATATTTTTTTACCTTTTTGTAGTCTATAATTTCCAGTATTACCGGTCGCACGGTTAGTACTAGAAATGTTTTTGCGGATTAAAGAACAGAAATTTTGGAAATGACTAATGAGAAATTCAGATCTCGAGTGAAGGCTGTAATCGTGACGGAGGGTAACTGTATAGAGTAAAGAAGATTACCAAGAACGGCCGTTCATAGCACATGCAAAATTTTGTTCAAATACCTATTTTTGTTTGGAGAGAATCTTAGAAATAAATGTAAGAACAATTTTCAACATAGATACGCCACCCTGTACTCCCAAATAAATTCTTTTACAGTTTACAGTAGCAGGTAAAGATATACAAAATACTTTAGTATATTTGGCGCTCATTTAAAATTATAGCACCACATGTTGTGTCTGACTCGGGTTTTATGTGTGTGTGCGTCATGGAACAATCTACAGGGATCGGAGCACAAGCAGCACAAATATAAGATGAATATGTCTAGAGGCGGTGGCTATTGCGATTGTGGAGATCGCGAAGCTTGGAAAAGGTCACCTTCATGTGACACGCACGACAAGGAAGCGGCCGACCGCGAGAAAGAAGATATTGTTCCACATGACATGCAAGCGCGGCTAAGACTTGTGACTGAAAGCGTGCTCACGTACGGCTATCAGTTACTAACGTGGAACAAGCATACGCAGCTCCCCACTGATCTCGAGGTCGCTTTGCCTGGTGGCCAAAGAAAGGATCTCTATGTAACAATGTTGTATAACGACGAGACACACACCTACGAACAGGTGAGCAAAACTTCGTAAGACCAAAACAGCTGTTAGAACAAATGACATCATTGCCGAGTTAGGTTGTCAAACAGGACGGCGGCGTATGTCAGAATCGCTAAATTTTGGCAGTGCAAGCCGGAAGGATTACAGGACACCTGACCATGCTTGCTTAATGAAGCATTCAACACTTCCATGTGTCTGGTGCATGTTTAACGTGTGTTTAACAGTATGGAGAGTACGGAGGTCTAACAGTAATAGGAACAGTTGAATAACTGATTTGTTTTTTGTTGACTACCTCGAACTCCCTTGAAGGTCATAACCTCACTATCACGTGCCATCGAAGCCAATGAGAGGGAAGCGGTGGAGTTCGCCACGACAGTAGATCGCGAAGGTCGAGCGATGATTAAAATTGACGGATTTCAAGAGTGCACGCAGGTGAAGCACGCTGTCGAACGAACGACGAGTCGTCACGGAGGAAAACCCCTAAAGACGATTGTTATGACTACCCCACTTGTATCGCATCAAATCTTTGTGTCAAGATTGGTTCAATGGATGGACACTTTCATCAAACAGCTTAGAGGTGAATATATTAAATCTACCGCGTATGGTTCATCTATTATTAGACTAAAATCCGGGCTGAAATTTCACTGTGGTAACGAAGCATGGTACAGGCAGGCAAGTGACCAACTCCGCATCTGGAAATCGCTGCTTCATCGACATTAATGATCATAGAAAAACTGTTAGAGCTTTAATTATAATAGTTTAAGTGTATACCTTCATTAACTCCAACATTTTTTCTTTATCAGGGTTTGCACGGATTCTGGGCAACGTATTGATTACGGTGCCCACGAGTCCCATCGATATCTACCCTTTGGTGCGCTGCGTTATGCGCCATGACACCCAACTGTGGAAGAGTGCCCGCCAGCTGTGGCATCAACTAATCATTAACGGCATCCTAATGGATCCGGAATGGAAGTTGGCGTTTGCTAAGATGTATGCCCGAGACTACCCGGACCTGATGAAGGACTTCATCGCAGACGACCACGATCATTCGGTACGGTTGAGTCCTCTTAGGCTCACGGATTAATCGCTCGCTCTCACACTGACGCTAGGTCATCATGCATACGTAGTCAGAAGAGATTTTGAACAACAACCTTTCAATCTGGCACTCTGTTCAGCTGAAGTGATTTAGTTCGTTTATACGGACTCCCAGGTTGAAAAGTGTTTAAAAGATCTATTTTGGCCCAACGGAAATGTACCACACTGGCATCGGTCGATCTTTGTCCGTTAATATGAGTTATCTCTCTATAAATTTCTGATTTGTGTTTCATGTCTCAATAGCAACATTGAAAATTTCGAATCGCTGTTTTGCCTTGAGGTTGGAGAGGTGAGCTAAAACAAACGGCCACGTCTCATAGCATATACAGCTGAAAAATACAGGTTTAAGTGAAATCTAATTTTAGGTCTGCTGTCGTCTGAATACTGGGCGTCCTTTTAGTCGCAGTCTTCCTGTCGGTACTCAAATTTTCGTTCTAGTACATACAAAACACTTCGGACTTTTGGTTAGAAAACCTCGAAATAATTGCAAGTTCTTTTATGTGGGGATCATAATTTTGTTTGATTTCATAGTAACAGTATGTTCACATTTTTGACGCATGCCTTTGTCACACACCTAACAAAAAAGGCAGACCAAAACGAATTTTCTCCGTGTTCATTAATCGAGTCTATGAATTTTGCTTAAGGGTTGTCGGCATCTGTATCGGAATAGGTCATTTCTTTTTCAATGGACGGCATATTTAGACTTATTTATTTGAAGACTGATTTTCAAGTAAGAAGGCTTTCTGGTCCACGTATTTCCTTTTCTTTTGTCTTGAGTCTTTGATTTCGTTTGTTATCTGCACAACTCTCCATAATTGCTATTCTTTCACGTAGGATGTAGGACACATCTCAAATGTCTGTCATGACAGCAGAAGCACAGTAAGGACTCTTTGGCCTACTGACGTTACGATTAGGATGTCACGCATATTTTATAAGTAAAGATAACCAGTTAGTGCTGAGATTGATGTTGATTAAGTCGTGATCCTGCGGGACTCAACGGTATCAAATATGACATGATGAAACGGTCCTATATTCTCACCAACCCTTCTAACGGAAACATTCTGTTTCCACACAACTGTCTCGGTGTCCGGACTGAGCCAAAGCGTGCATATTTCCACTAACTGTTCATTACTTGCCTTGATGATGATTTACTGATTATCATTACTGCCAATTTATTATGATTAAATCATTAGATATGTGTGTGTGTGTGTGTGACGTTCTTAATGTTCTTCAACAAGCATGAAGCGCAAAAAACATGCCACGGACGCGTCGAAGAGGTATCGTGCTGTCGAGTAGGTTGTCAAACTAACAACTAGTTTACGTCGCGTACTGTATCCATAAGAAATCATAATAATGAGGGACAAACTAATGCTTCACTAGCAAAATGGATTGATGCGTGTGTCTCAGCTAAGAACTTATATTATTAAAATGGTAGCTTATTTTCTTTGTGACTGCCCATGAGCTTTTCTGCCGTCCTATGCCGTTCTCTTATTCCACCTAATTAGATTAGTCAAACCCGAGTATAAAATGAAAATAAATCATATATTTTAGTGTGTTATTCAAATATCCTAGTGATCGAGTTTGCTTTGTTCGCTAATAGCACGTCATTATGTGCAAAAGGACGACAATAAAGAACCCAAGTGAATTTTACCTTTCGCACTACTAGCTGCACTCTAAGTAATGCGGCACAATGGATCTCAATGAGTAGTATCCACTTCAGATCAGGGTTTCCTTCGTATCATCATCTTCAGTTAGCACTCTAGTCTTGGCACTAGAGTCATGATGTTATCGTAAAGTTGGAAGGTGATACTAGGCTCTTCATTTGATTACTATTTACTCTAAAGAACCAGTTTTCTCAATAGAACAATACAGTAAAATATATTGACGCGACGGCAGTGTTGTTATTTCGTGTCACTTTCTTCTTCTTGTGATTCTTTGCCGCCATGATTTATTGTTCTTCGACGCGGTGTTTCGTTAGCGCGTCCGACCTGCTGCAATCTGTGCCGGCCATCACTTGTCCGTGATTTGCTAAAGGTCGTTAATTAAACAATAATATGTGGGATACCGTCGGGCACCGATAGTGGCATGTTGTGTTACTGCTTCTGCTATGGCGACCCTGTGCGAAGTACTCTCGATTCGATTTGCCTGCTTTTGTTTTGTTGTTCCCTTGTAGTTTTCAGTGATGTCGCTCACGGTTCAGGTGTTTAGCGTGGTGAGCGTCGCGCACTCGCTAATCGCAGAAGATGGAGCTCTAGCCACGCTGATGCGGACCTTCCTGTCAGAGTGTAGTCCACACAAAAGTGCCAGTACTGGAAAACTGGCCTTCGATCGTAACCATTCGAATACTAACTTCAGGTAGGTGATAAAGCCCTTGTGCTTCGAAGAACCAGACAACATAGAAAGAACCCACATTGACACCGTCGTATCTTGCATGCTATGATCCGTGTGATGATCTCGTTACAATTTGGCGCTAAACGGATACTCACAAGTCATCTTAGTATCATCGCTAGATACATGGTATTGCTAATGCTACTACATACTAATTTTGCTATCTCCATTAGTACTGGAAGTGTCTCATATAAATGCATTTTAATTACTAATAATGCTAATGTTAGATGTGTCGATGAATGCTCTATAATGCTGCTTTGATTCTCAATACGATTTCGGCATACCTACTGCTACTGTGGGCTATCTGGCCATTGCTCGAAATTTAAGGGAAGTGTTACTATTATATGGTATGTGACCGGAGGCGAGTGCCACATTTTTGCTTTCTTTAATATCTATTGCTAACCAAGTCTGAATCTAAATATGATCCTTCATCTCCCTACTGGGTTTGTTACTCACTCTCACTTCGACGGAATGTCGGATTCCGTTGTGGTGAGTTGTATTGTACACATATCTGCTTTGTGGCCACTGCGCCGTCACGTTCTCGTTGTCTTATGCCTCGCCTGACGTCAGAAGATCTTTCAGACGGGCCCAATTCATCCTATTCGACCTCAAGTATCTACTGTACGTGCAGCCGACCCCACCGTGGAGTGAGGAACTGCGGAAGAGCTTCTCGAACGGCCTCGAGACAGTTCTGCAACTGTTGTCTATGATGCATTGCATGGATGCCGTAACGAGACAGGTTGGACAGCACGTCGAATTCGAGGCTGAATGGGAAACCGGCATCAATATACAACTCAAGCTGAGCACCATTGTCTCGATGCTGCTTGAATGGTGTGAAAATGATAGGGACATGCTCATCAGGGCTGTCCGGAGGACTCTGTGCCATCTCATTCAGTCAGACAAAAGCTGCTGTAACTCGGGTAAGTGCATATTGTTTGGAATACACTACAATACGCCAGATAAACAGTGAGATATCACAATGTATAATTATGCAAGTATTGTGGGTGACTTTCCACCAACATATGGGCAATACGGAAAACTTAACATTTCGGTGTCAAGAACGGCTGCTGTCCGTGTCTAACCTATGGTATTAATAATGACTTGGTGTCTGTAGTTAAATGAATTGAAAAACCACTGTCTAGAGGCCAAACTCAGTGTACTTGATTAATGTAAGTGAAGCCAACGCTAGAGTTATTTGATTTCTTGAAATTACGCAGTTCACAGTACATAAAAAGGTTTTAGCCAGCCGGGCAGTTACTTTCGATGAAAGGACAATAATGGTCAGGCATGATTAATTAATGAAACACAAATATAATTAGTACCCCCTATAACAAAGTGTACAGAACAACGAACAGGCCTTACCAGGTAACTGAACTACCCATTTTATTTTCAGAAGTTGTCTACGTTCAGCGCTCAATAGCCTGTCACCCGGGAGAGGTGACCTGCATAGATTACGATGTTACGACGCAACCGATCAGTGTCCATCTGGCACTATCGCGCTTTTTATCAGGACTCCTCCTTGCCACGCATAAATATAGCTTAGACTATTCGTCGCATCAGTTCGAAGTTGAAAACAAACCATCATTGATTCAGATCATGGAACAGCCGCTTCGTCTACAGGTCATGGTAGCTCAATTCCGTGCTAGTATGTGGCGTCGTAATGGCTATTCTTTACTAAATCAGGTGTTCTTTTACACGAATTTTCGTCTTCGGACAGAGACCTTTGATCGGGATATAGCGCTACTGCAGTACTGCGCGGCAAGACTCGAACCAAATGAGTTGTTAATTCACTTCCTGAATAGGTTCGATTTGTTACAATGGTTTTCGAATCTCGATTACTCGCTAACGAATTTGGAGGGCACGCCGGACACATCTGCGACCTTGTGCGATGACTTTCTTACGTTGATACTCTACCTGATTGCGGAGAGGCATCTACCGGGTGTTGGCCAAGTCAATGAGACGGAGCGCGTAAAACAGGAGATCATTCAACTGCTGTGCATCGAGCCATTCCCGCATTCGCAACTTGTAAAGCAAGTGCCTGCCAGATACGACGACAGTGCAATGGAAATCATTCTTGAAAAGGTGCTGCGAGAAGTGGCCGTATTCAAGCGGACCGCAACTGTTGGCTCAGTTGGCAAATACGAACTTAAGCCCGAGTATTACAAATTCTTCAACCCGTTCTTCTACCATTACAGCAGAGAGGTAGGTCGAAAGGTTACACACATGTTCCGCGTGTAACTTAATCTATGCGTGCCTTTTCTTGTTGTCATTCGTTGTTATTTGTCACGCATGTTTCTGAACTCCCATATGTTTGAAATGAGTTGAGATCATGCATCCAACTGCGGTACGTTCGCGTATTTCTGTCGTGCTTTGTCTTATGGGCCAATGTGTGCTAGAGCATTGTCGAAGAATCTCTGCTTATGATTTCTGTAATGTGTTGATTATCGTTTTTTACTTTTAGGAGCAAAGCAAGGCCGAAGAATCCCAGTTGAAGCGGCGCAAGGCTGCAGGTGAACCAGGCTTCTGTCCTCCCCCTGTTCTTCCAAACTTCACCAAAGAGTTCAAGCCAATTCTAAATATTCTAGATTGTAACACCTTCGGACATATTGTTAACACTATTCTACATCGGTGAGTCAATGGATCGAACGAACCATATTGACGCTCTTTTTGTGAGATTGACCTTATTTCTGACAAAACAAGAAGTGATACTTAGATGTTATAGCATAAATTTACCTTCATATGTATGCATATTTATTTGAGCCGGCAGTAGGCCGTTTTCTTCTAAATGGTTGACGCAAAGAAGAGGACAGAATAAAATCCATAGATCTTTGGTGAGTCTTGTTAAAGCAAAGATAGATAATACTAATGCAAAGAGGCGTTTGTCCTCTAGATGCGCCACTGGATCTACCGTCTTCACGGACGCGCAGATGGAGCGAGTACTGCATCTGGTGATTATCGGTCTGGAAGAGGTGGCTCGGGGTACTCTTCCTGCGACCTTTTCCACCCGTATGTCCAGCCTCAAGGACAACTTTGAGAGGGCTTATCCAAAACTGGAAGAGAATAGTGCGGTTAAAGCTCTCATGGCCTACGTAATCAAGCGGCTAAATACACCGATCAGGTAAAATTTAATGCACTAATCGAGCATCCTTAAGCAAAATAACAAAATAGTAATAATTTTTTTCATGTATATACACTTAAATTCTTTAATGAGCTAAGCCGACCAGCTTGCTATCAAATCGGTGGGGTGTGTGTTCTTGCATGTGGTGTGATTGTGTATTCCTCATTTTGTCATTACCTTTTGGCAGCGGCGACTGCTGCGACTCGACAATGGCTGAAGCAGAGTCTTCTGTGTCGTCATCAAGCCGAACCAAACGCGGCCGTAATGCTGAAGCTGCAGCTGCACGCCGCGCCAAGATTCTCGCACAAATGTGTGCGCAGCAGAGTCATTTCGTCAAGGAGTATGCTCACATGTTTGAATTAGCTGAAACAGCGGATGAAGTAAAAGAGGACGTACCCAAATTCATCTGTATTCTCTGTCGCGAGGAAGAGGTTGTTTCGTCGCAGGCTAAACAATCGCTTGTGGTTTCTGCTTTCGTACAGAAGTCAGCTGTTTTGCAAAAATGCGCACGGGACAATCCAGCCGAAAGGTAAGATGTCAAATGGTGCTGACGTTCCATACAGGCAGGCTTCTTGGGTGGTATTGAAAAAGGCGTCTTCGACCGGAAAAATGTTCCTTTAGCGGCAATGCGAAGCTAAACGTCTCATCAAGACGACAAGCTTGGAGTGAAATCTCCTGCGAATAATGTCATGTGAATGTACTAGAAGCGTTAGCAATTGTGAATAATTTGCCTTATGTTCTCTTCTATGTATCATTATTATTGTTGGATGTCTATTGTTATTCAGTTCAGTTGAATATACGTTTGCTTGACGCTTTCTTCTTCTGCACGGGTCGCTGCACCGACGATGGTTGTTTGCGTGTCGTATGCTATGTATCATCAGTCACTCCGTTCATATTCTAGTCTGCGCCAGAGAAACTTCCAAAGTATTTTCCGATTGTTGTGCAAGCACAGGCAACAAACTTTGCCGTCGGTCTGTTAGTCGTAATCTCTAGTCAATCTATCTTTAATTCCCACTATCCTTGATCAACTTTCGCATGGGGGTGTTAATACAAACGCTCTTCGATTCCGATTTAGCGTGATTTTCAGCGCTCCACTGGCGATGGGTTTGCCCCCATCGGACCTTCGTGGTGGTGCACACATGTCCACTTGCGGTCACGTGATGCACTGGGATTGCTGGGAGGCATTCTATCACCTTGTACAGACAAAAGAACGCCGTCGCCCCGTCAGATATGGCCGACATGTCAGCTTCGATGTTTCCCAGGTATGTAGACACATCGTGCTCACACACTCTGTATTGCAAGATGCTTGATGTCTTAGTGAATGAATAAATACTAATAACGTCCTTAGCCTTTCCGTAGTTATTCGTGAAAATCACTAGGCTCAAATATAATGGGCTTACGAATCAGACCGCGTCAGAGGAGTAATAGCGTTCAGTAATTCTTTCGGTCATTTTCACATGTTTTACTGTTTTATTGTTTCATTTTGTTTTTTACTTCTTTCATTTTGTCTTTCGCTTCGCGTTCGTGACTGATATTTTCGCTCTAATTTAGGGCGAGTTCCTGTGCCCACTATGCGAGTGCCTCTCCAACAGCGTGATCCCAATAGTACCGTGCCAAAAAGACGAGACAAAAATAGACCCCATTGCCGAGCAGACGCTCTCAGAATGGCTCGATTCTGTTAGGAGCATCGCGGACAGTGCCACGCCAATGGGAATCGACGTGGGCTGCGAAGAGCCCAGTTCCTTACCGGTCAGTCCAAGAAGGCTAGACGGAAACCCGGCTGAAAACCCAGCCCAAGAAGCCGTAGATGAAAATCAAGAACGAGCTCCAACGGCTTCGTCTGCCGAACAGGCATTACGAAACAAACTGTGGGTTCCACCAGGAGGTGTTCGAACTGATCAAAGCTCGATACAGCTCCCGCCCAAAGCGGAATCAATGCTACAGAGGTTTGTGTCGACAACAAGCCAGGTTGTTCTAGGGGACGAAGAAGATGCGTTCCTAGCGGTAACCTGGACGTTGGCTTACACTATTCAGGCAACCGAATGGTGTATTCGTTCCGAAGACAAGGCCCTACTCGCAGATATCTCGTCTCGAAAACTTTACTGCCTTGAAAATATGATTAAAGCTACACAAGTTGCTTCAGTGTTGGGCATCATCAAGTCGTCGAATGTCGCCTCTGACGCCCTGCAAGCGCTTAGGTATGTACTGCACAAGCAACAAGTCGTATAATGAATTTAAGATGTTTCACTAGAGAATGGCCTAACTATTTTTTGAAACGGATGTGCCATGTAAGGCAAGCAGTGCTATGTTTCTTTGAGGACACGAGGATCATTCTCATGTATGGCCTAACTACTTTTTTCTTTTTTGCGAGGCCTTATTGACATGGGAAACGTTTTCATATGTAGAAACAGCCTTATGTAAGGCTGTGCTTAGTGCTAAGTCTGTGGTTATTAAACCTTCTGATAGCTTTAAGTATGTTTCATTTAAGGAAACGCCTTCGAACAATCCAGATAAGGCGGACAAAAAAGCTCATTACTCGTATGAATTATTTCGTGAGGTTTTCTTTGATTTATAATTTTATAATCTATTGAACGTTTTCCTGTTGCTTCCGATTTCCTTATTAGATGTATCCTGTTGCCACAAACTGAGGTCGATTCCTGCATCCTTGAGATCGATCCATTTGGACTGCTTTGCATGCTCCATTCCTCGCTGCACAAGGTGACCAATAGTGATGCGTTTACGCTTAACAAGAACCTGCTTTCACTCGTCATGACGATGCATATCGTACAAATCGTCATTTCGCTCTATCTACAAAAGGACAAGCAAGCCGATGAGGCGACGACTAGCACAAGCAGCACCGGCACCAATAGTACTACGAGTACTAATATTGAAATGGGTGATTTTCCAGCAACGAGTGCCGGAGCCCCGGCGCTAACAGGATCGTTTGACGCAGACCGCATCAACGAATTTGCTGGTACGCTTGGCAGATTCCTTCTTCTTTTTGCCGATATCGATAATGAAAGTAAAATCCTCCTATATCCCTCAGATAGCTTAGAACATTATTGTATGGACGCTTGTCATTAGCAAATAACGCCGACAACTATACCATAAATACATAAAGAGCAAGACTGTCTGGATCGAGGAGTTGCTCTCCTTTTGCTGTATCATTCGTAAATAACATATATATAAAAGACTAAACAGGTGCATACGGCACATTATTCTATATATTCATTATGATGTTCCTTCCATTGCAGGAGAAGTACTGCTTGCTGCAGGTCTGTCAGCAAATCACCGCTTCCCCCCAGCGATTCGCGTGATTGAAGCTCTCGTGCCCTTTTTACGAGCCACGGCAATACTGCAATATTTCGTCTCACCTCGTGACTGTGATGGTCGTATGCGCAACAATAAACTAAACGATCCTGTGAGTCTAACCCAGTTCATCGGTATCTCGGTCGGTCATATCGAGGCTATGCTACGATGTCGGCCGTTACGTGAGCTTGCTCTGTCGTGGGCACGACAGCCGAAAGTACTCCATCTCGCCACGTCCCACTGGAAGCCTATCTATCCATTAAAAGTAAACTCTTTGATTCAGCTACCTAACGACTATTCCGAGCTGATCAATTATGTCGCGTTATTGACGTGTCCGAGCTCAGAGGGCGAAATTAACATTCTCGGTGACGAGGTCCGAGCCCCCACGATGTGTCTCGTCTGTGGGGCTGTTCTTTGCTCGCAGAGCTACTGTTGTCAGACAATGTGGGGCAATCAACGAGTCGGTGCTTGCGTTGCGCATGCAGCGAAGTGTGCCTCAGGTGTAGGCGTATTCTTGAAAATTAAGGATTGCCGCGTTATGCTACTCGTTGGCGACTCGAAGGGCGCCTTTTCGAGTCCACCATATGTCGACGAGTACGGAGAGACCGACCCGGGATTGCTACGCGGAAACCCACTTACGTTGTGTAACTCTGCCTACACGCAACTCAATCAGCTATGGCTATCGCACAGCGTCCCTGAGCAGGTTTGTATAATATTTAGCCAGTGGCTCTAAATAAGCGTGATCGATGATGTGCTGAGTACTAGCTATACGAAATACCTGCAGAGTCTGGTTTTCTTCAGGCGAATGTGGCTTTAACTAGGCATTTTGTTAAGGTTTTTACATGAGTGCAAGAAGGACGATGGCCATAGAATCAGATGATTAGAGGTTCACCTCTTTTTGGTCATCGGGTCAGATGCGAAAAATATTTTGCCTAGTCTTATTGAATATTAATTTTGTTAAAAAATGCCAACAGATTAGTTATTCTCAAAAAATGGTAAACCAGTCCGTGTGTTTAGGATGCCAGGCTTTGTGAGTAATTAATACAAACCATTTCCTAGTGACCCTGACCATGCGAACGTTGTTTTAATGCACACATCTTCTTCTTGTTATTCTTTCAGGTTGCTCATGCGCTTGAAGCTTCTACAAGTCTCAGTTCGACTAATTGGGCGCTAATGTAACATGTAATCTAAAAGGTGTTTAATAGGTACATAACAAAAAAACAAGAGAACAAGCTATTTAGGCAGTAGCAGAGACTATTAAGGGGGTGGCTACGACGTGGGATTGTACATCATTCTATCTAGTGTAAGCGAATAAAGAAATGAGTCTTTATTTCACACTCGACATTTTAAACTGGCGTGTTACCTGATATCACTAATGATACAAATAAATGATAGAAAAATTTGTCTAACACCAACATCTCTCATCTTCAAGTCTTTATTTTTTTCACCATAAATGTACTTGCATGTTTAAATGGCTTTATACATTTATAAATTATTTACAAATCGCGCCGTATACATGGTGACAAACACTTTTAAGGTACAACGCAATCACTATAGTATGCAGAAACTCAAGTGGACAAGTCAAGTACAGTGTGGACAACGTAAAAGGAAAGTAGCAATACTGTAAACATATATTGTTGATCTAGATGGACATATAATTAAGTTTATCTCCGCACACATAAGAGTTAAAACTGAGAAGATTAAAAATTACAATCGAACGTTCTCGCAAATTCTAAGACGAGTTCCGTATACAATGATGCTGTTGGCATACAGTTGGCTATTAGACAAAGAATGCAGCACATGACTTCGCATCTTCATTGCGCAACCGCTTCGTGCTATTCGCTTAGATGACCTGACGATCCGTTGGATTAAGTTGTGCGAACAAGGTACTCCATTCCACTACTTTCGTTCGGCTAACCCGTGCGAGTCTTTGCTGCCGTCTCTATGAACATAACTGACAAGCCATTCAAGCTTCGAAGACAGTTCGGCTTGCTGAACGACAAAATCCTCTTGCAGGGAATGGCTGACAAGGGCACGTTTTACGGAGGTAGGAAGATTACTACTATGTTCAAGTAATCTGTAACGAGATCGTGTCAATCAGACGATTGCCCATAAGTATCGCTCGCACGAACCTGTAACCTTGTATAGAGAAGTAAATATAAACCTTTTTTTTCTTTATATTGTAATCCATTACGTTAAGACCCACATATGCAAATTATTATGTGCGCAAGGTACGTTTTGTGTTTGTTGTTTACATGCCTATCGTATACAGTGTGAAAGGAATGGCTGTGCAACGAAACATCTGTCGATTTGGTTAGAATTTAGACTAACAATAAAAATTATATTCGGTACTTCGCTTGCCTTATTTCTAGTAGCGGTGACGGAGATATGAGGCAAAGTAATATATGCTCCATTAAGTGAAGCGTATACTCTTCGTTTTTTTTCCGTGAGCACCCTGCTATTTAGTAATCTAAATTCATCATGTAAAAGGAAGGTCGTGCGCAAATGTCTTATATTGTAATTGGACTTCATATCATTACCAGCAGATAAACTATTGAATTGATATGAAGGAATTTGTCAAAAAATAAGCTTTTCCGCAATCAGGTGATCTGTATGTTGACACTTAATACCTTTTGCAGAAAGAATTCCCGGTAGTATTTTGTTTTTAAAAAATAAGGCAGTATCTACAAAGGTAGTCTCAGTTAGAGCGAGCATTTGAAACTGTTATAGTTCACATAAAAACAAAATATGCACCTAAAAAAAATATGTACCTATGTAAATATTACGAGCTTTCCAGGTAAAGTTACTGCTTTACCTGTTGACCAGGTCAATATTGTGTTTGAGGTGAGTATGAACGGTTTTTCTGAAGGTGTCCGCATTTCCCTTGTCTCTAACTCGTTCATCGTTTACTCTTCTTAGTTCAGCCTTGGTACGATCTAGCTCACCACGAAGAGAAACCACTTCCCTGTGTAGTGACGTTAACGAAGTGTCCTTTTCACCAAGGAGGCCGACGAGTGTATTTATCGGACTCTTATCTGATGGGAGTAAAATAAGAAAACAACATAATAGACTTTTTCATCAACTCAACTTTATTGAGAAACTGGCTAGTTTTATATAGCATAGATATTTTAAACGTGAGTCGAGTCTTAATGTACGGTGTACACCGTACGTACGTCAATGACGTGCATGCACTCACCATTATAACAAGTATATGGATTGGCACAGCATCGGGAACCGCTAGTAACGCTATTATCGTGAACACGTCCAATTCGAGGAGTAGATTCCTTTTCAACATTTTGACGAGTACGACTTAATGATACTCCACTGTCCAAAACGTGGTCATTTCTCGTAATTGCGCTATTCACGCTTCGGCGAATTTCCTCTAGAGCAGTTTCATGCGACCTCTGGTACTCAATCAAGCGCTGATTCAGGACAGTGACATTACTGTTTGTGCCCTAAAGTACAGATATAACAACAGAACAACGCTTGCAATTGAAGGCGTGTAGCCGGTTCGTAGTTCAATACTACGGATAGAATGTGGTATATCTATATATATTTGCGTGCTAGTAAATCAACACATACGTGCAATGTACACGTGCAAACGTAATTATTAGAAAACAAATTTTTTTTTCTGAAATTTGCTAAAGGTATAAATTAAGTTTGCCACGCGTTATATTGATACGCCAATTGGTGTACCTCATTGCTGTAAAACGGTGAATAGATGTTTTTATTAAAAAAATATATCTTGTGCATATGAATGAAGTTTTTAAAAGGAAAGCTACAATGTCTCGTGTTAATTAGTGAATGTGTAAATATAAAAAAATACATTATTTTACACAAATTTTAGTACGGGTAGTTATCAAACAACTGTTAGAAGTTGTCTAATAAAACTATGATGTTGACATAACAATTACCCTTTTTTACTGCTTTTGGTCTAACAACTACGAGCGATCTACGAACAACTGGAGTATGCTAAAAAAATAAATTACAAGTACATATAATACACAGTTCGCACAAAACTACCACAACGTGTCGCCATTGTTATGATAGCGGATTCACGATCATAGGATCATGAGTTGACTATGGAAGGCCGTTCTAACTGCTAGAAGCCTGAAATTGGTAAAGACAAAATAAAGATAAGGAATGAATGACGGACTGGAGAAAATATTTTTTTGTCGACTTATGAAGTTGTTGTTTGGAACCACTCAGAAAAACTTTTAGATAGCGATTGAAACCGTCTCGTCACTGCATGTACACAAGAGAGCAACCTTCAACAACCAATGGTGATGGTTTTCAATAACAAACTGAGATTTAGTGCAAGACTTTGTGCTGTTCATTTGCATGAACGCATTGCAATACCTACGAACGTGTTTTTCACCTGTTCCTTTTTATATCTAACTATGTTACTACATAATTGGCTTCTATTACCTCTCTACTATATAGACCTTGGCTTCTACATAAACGGTCTTTTGTTTGATTCCACCTGGACGCGAACTTGAAAACTAATCAGGTTAGCTTCGACTCACTTGTTATAGTATAACAGTATAATGTCACATAAGTAAAACACCTAAAACAGGTAATCGAAAAAATCTCGTTCGGGCGGTTAAACACCCCTATAACTGTACTGTAACTTCCGATTCGCGCCGTTGCTATCTATCCGCAGTAAGTAAGCACACACACCGTCCGTCCTTACCAGCAGGACACTAGATAACTTGTTCACTTTCGCTACGAGGTCGCTTTCTGTAGCTGATGTCAGCGAATCTTCAGAGGCCTGCCGGTGTTCAGACTCCATCGTTTTGCTTTATCACAATACTTAATTGGCAAAGCATACAGTACATGGCTAAAAATAATAAATCTCAACTGCGGTTTAAAACTAACTCCATTTCAAATTGACAGTTATTCTGTGGGTCCAGTCCGGCATTCTGTCGATTTTTAACTAAGTGACGGAACGCCTGCTTATCTGTTATAGTCTGGAATCGTCGTGTTCCATTTCGTTCAGTTTATGTACTGTTGTGGTTGGCAAGTATTAAGCGGCACGTATTACATTCAGTTTATATTGTTTTCAGTATTTTCGTGCACTATGTCTAATCAGGAAGAAGGTTCCGAAGAGCAAACATGCGCGTTTTTCAAGCCAAAAGTCTGCAAACGAGCAGTAATGCGCCGAAGACAACAGACGTCAGATGGTAGGCGAAACCTAGTTTAGTTCAGGAACGATAGACATTATCTTCACTCAAAAAGACAACAGTGCATATTATAGAAGATTTATTGATAGTTCTGTAGTCAGATAGTTATGGCTGATTTAGCAGAGTCAAAAAACGAGACTGTTATTTCCTAGATGTTTCCCAAATCATTAAAGCTCATATCAGTCTTCTTCACTTTGGCACCAATACTAGTATATTAATATGATTATCAATGTACTACTTCAGATTCGGATGACGAATCATCAGTAAAGAAGGTTGATAGAAAACGTTTGAACGGGCTAGTACAAGGGACCGGTGGTTCAAAAAAATGGCGCTCCGAAGAAGAGACTGTTGGCGTGGCATTTAGCTCATCTAGAAAAACAAGCGGGCCAAATGATCAAGGGGCAACTGCTACATCTGAAATTAATACGGAGTTTGACAAGGATTCCAGGTATCTGTTGATTAGTCTTCTAGTACAAATGGTAATAAATACTTATCTTTACGATAATTATTATGAATGCTCTATCTTGTTTCCTTAGCAAACCTAATCAGTCCTGTTATTAAGAATAAACACGCTTATTGTTGTTATATTTTAGAAAATGTAATTAATTCGTAATTATTTATGATTTTCAGATCCATCTTCGAACGTGCTCAAAAGATTAACGAGGAAAGGAAGGGACAAGAGGACGACAAAGTGTACCGAGGCATAAATAATTACACCCAGTTCATCTCAAAGAAGGACACAGCTGCAGGTAGTGCCGCAAAAATGAAGGCTAAGGGACCACTTCGTGCTCCAACGAATATTCGAAGTACTGTTAGGTGAGTGGCTCCATGCTGCGCGATTCATTATAAGGCATTTATTCAAAGATGTAATTATCTGAAATCATAAAAGTACCGAAAGTGATTGATGTTCGGAGAATACAAAATATCAAATTTGTACTCACTTCAGTTCTAACCAAATATAACTTTTTTTACAGATGGGATTACCAACCTGATGTATGCAAAGACTTTAAAGAGACAGGCTTCTGTGGTTTTGGTGATTCATGCATATTTATGCATGATCGAAGTGACTATAAGCATGGCTGGCAGCTTGACAGAGAATGGGACGAAAAGCAGAAAGCTAAACAAAAAAAGCTTCAAGACGGGAAGTCAGATGAAGATAATGACGACGACGATCGGAAATACGAGATTCCTTCAGATGAGGATGATCTACCGTTTGCGTGTTTTATTTGCCGGTAGGCCTCCAGAACGTGTCATACTGGTTATTACCCCATTATAAGTTTTATTTACCTTCTATGATAATGCAAGCTTGCTTTAGCTTTAGAATTTATGAAAAAGTTCGAGAAAAAGTTATGAGGCACTTTGGGGCAAGGGTCGGCCGAGGACCAGAGAACATACAAACGTGAGCGAGAAAGGTAGTTTCAATAGGATTTCCTAAACTAAATTGCCTTTCTTACGTTTGTCGATGTATTTTTATTTTTTCATTGTTTTTCAGGGAAGCCTTTGTTAACCCTGTTGTGACAAAATGCGAACATTTCTTTTGCGAAAAGTGCGCGTTAGCACACTTTAAGAAATCTAGTCTTTGCTTTGTGTGCGGGAAACCCACTGGCGGCGTATTTAATCCAGCAAAGGAGTTAGCAGTAAAGATTGCTGAAAGAAAGCTAAATGGAAAAGATGACGAAGAAGACGACGAAGAGGCGAGTAAAAAAGGCGGACCAAGCGGAGACGTGGGAAACCTGTTCAATGCAAAGAAGAACTAACAGAACAAGTTGGCATTGACAAAATGGTATGACGATGATTAGGAAATGCTAGCGTACTTACTTCATATGCGATAAAACCTTGCCCATATATATACCCAACTCAGAGCATGCCCAATTAAAACAGCAGTATGGATTAAGGAATTTTTAAGGAATATCCTCCATAATCTGCTCTGTATTAACAAAGCCGCTCGGCGTTACTGTCATGTTTTTTGTAAATAAATTGTAAATACTCAAATTCAGACGATCGCGATACATATTTGTGATCGTACGCAACTATATTGAAATAAAGTAAAATTATTTTGAGGACCCAGCTACTACGTAATATGTCATTAATATTAACCAAAAAATAAGTAACGAGTTCAACAAATGCTATTCGTTGCTTTTTGATTTATACATGGTTAATTTTTTTAAAGCAAGGCTGTCAGAAGGCGTAGCACGCTTACATGAAACCACAGTCCAATATTTCACATTTCATTTAAGTTACAGTAAAACATAGCATATAGCAACATACAGTCATACCTCGGAAACCTAATTTACGAAAAGCGCAGCCAGTGCGATCATGCCGCTTTAGAAACTTCTAAATGTAGTTTAACACTCAAAAAAACATGTTTTTCTGATACAGTCGGTTGGAACAATGAAAGCTAACCTTTTATTGTTGTCGTGTATTATCCTTATTTATTGTGTGTATTCATTCAGCATAACGGCATTAAGTGGTGCAGCTTATAATAAAGATAGGTAGCTCTTTTGATTGTTCGAAGGTATACAATGCGTACCGTAGGTAATCGACAGGACTAGATATATTTTATTTATTCAGATTTTGAATAATAGCGAAATGATATCTGTTATAAACTGTGTAGCAATGTCTCTTTTAAAAAATTAGTAGAAATTAATTTACTTCATATATATAGAGCTTCAATATATATCGTATTTATCTATTATTAATCGTATTAATCGTATATATATAGAGCTTCAATAGCAAAACTCTTATAATAAGAGTTTTGCTATTGAAACTCACAAGCCGCAACGCCACGTGCTACCCACTTTCTTACACTTAGACCGGCAACAACAATCTGTCTCGTTTGTTTCAGCTGCTTCGGCTTATCTTGCTTCAGCTGTACAAAGTGTACATTTACCTCTTTTAAATTTTGCGGTAAACACACGTTCATAGAAGTTTACTATTTGAATTAGGACACGAAGCTTGTGCTCTGGAGCTTGCTCTGCTAAAGTGGGTTAGTTAAAGGTAGGTTTTTGAATTCGAATTTCTGAAAAACGTTCGGGCCCATTCGAATATAGTAGGTTTTGTTCAGGCAGAGTTGGGATACTCACCTCTCATCATCGCTATGTTTACATCATTTATAAGGTCGCATGTATTTATATGTCTTTACATACCCTTCTATGGCTTCTCTGCCGCAAACTAATGATCTAAGTGATAAAAGGTCGTCTGGTTTCAAATCCAAATAAATATACTATACCAGTAAAAAATATGTTTCATTTATTACTATTTTATATTACTCAACGTATCATCTTTAGATATTTGTCTAATAAAAGAACTGTTGTTAGAACAGTAACCGTTGGTAAGAAGCGGTAACGGCGGTTTCCTTTGGAGATTCATAGTATTTAAATCTCAACTAATTTACATCATAAACTGGACACACGATCAATAACGATTATATAGAAGTAATAGAGACTATTATTATCCATACTATATGATATGTATTCAATAATGTCTGTATATAGCTTTATTCAATGTTCGCTTGCGTCGTAATCCGAAGCCAACGCCATGGTATATCCGTAAAATCACGTGTATCACTCTCGTAATAGTACGGTAATAACGCATTCGCTTATTAAAATTAAAAACATGCGAGGTAATTTAGATTCTGAGGCGAGCGTAAACACGCTTATTATACTGAAAGCCAGCCGTTGGGCGCAATGCTAAATGACAGTAGATCAAATCAGAAATATTTTAAATTCAAAATCAAGCTTAGACATTCTGGTTTACAGCAAAGAACACCTATTTAAAGGAATTTCCGCAGTGGAACCAGACTCAAAATTCGCAACATTTACGAGATCCGCGTATAACCACTTTGCAGCTTTAATTTATTCATCTATCCATGTAAATAAAAGTATCAGCGAGCTCGGAAGAATTAGCGACGTAAATTTCAGCATAGTAGCCTTCTATAGTATTGTCAAATATTGTCCAAAGTGCATCAATAGAAAAAAAAATAGTGAAGAAAGAATGGTCTAAACAGCGCTACCTGAATATAAGGATCGCACAGCATGGCTCAAGCACTGTCCGAGAACACCAAGTTTTGGGGCACCCCAGGCCAGAAGTTGGCTAAAGACCAAAAGCAATGGTGCTCTTTTTGCAGAGATCGAACACGATCTCAAAGATGCAACGCTTGCTCAATCGGTGGTGTATTTCTTTCTGTCACCCAGTCAGAATCTTCGCCAAAAAGAAGCGAATTAATTCACAAGCACAGTGTAAGTCAGAATAATAAAATGGGATGACCCATATTATGTTTGGTCCCGTTATTTGAACTAAAGATAGCACGATACATGACAACCAATCGTTTATTTTGCCAGTACAGTTAACTGGCCTATGATAAGCGTTGTAGGTCTGACTTCTTGCGATATGGGTAGCGCCAACTCAAATGTTTTGTCAAATGAAAGCCTTGTCAAACCTTGTAGCAGAGCTTCAGCTGACCTGTCGGTTGTGTGTCTCTGGGTTGTGCCTTTTTGGTACGTATTTCACTCATTAGGTACAAAAGACTGGCAGTCGGCCCTTCGCTTCAGTTGGTGTGTTCTTAGACCGCACATATGAACAGCTGACTTCTTCTTTAATGAACTCAAGTTAGTATTCTGCAAAAAATGTTAAGAACGATACCAGTACCATGATTGAAATTATGTCATTTTAGAAGTGTGTACACAGATTTCCTGTTGGTATTGATGAATAATGTTCCTTTTGCAACTTTGTAAGAGATGTGTCGTACTTTGTCTTCTTTTTGTCATTTAGGCAACATCTAGTAATTAGTATTGGACATGATAATGCCAGAAGAGAACTCGACGGTTAGCTCCTGCCTCTCAACAGATAAATATGGACGATGCTGTTTTCCGAACACTTCGGTAGGTCAAGATAGTTTTCCATTCAATCTGTGTACAGTTAAGTTCTGCTCAGCTGTCTAAGCAATTTTTATTCAGACTATCGTGTCTGTGTGTATGGCTAGCTGCTGCAAAATGGAGAAAAGTACAATGCCATAGCTATAGTTTTGTTTTATGGTTCGTTACAGCAAGCATGTGTATACAGGATCCCGTGAGTTACATTCAAATGCACACTGACTATAAGGTTTATTCACATTAACCGTACGCGATTTGACTGTACTATTGAAATATTTATATTACATAAACCGGTTGTTTAAGACATGTTTCTATGCAAATGGATAGCAATTGTAGGTTTAGTTATATTGGCAGTTATATTTGTGGAAATTTCTTGTTATCAAATATTTGTGTTGTATTACCAGAAATTTGACCATCAGAGCGGTTGCGTCGACACACTGTGGATAGCTGAAGCAGTGTTCGTATCGGTCCAATAGGGTCTTCCGCTGCAATCAAGAAGTGGATCCATGATAATATCCTATCAATGGATTATTAGATTATTTCATTTTATTAAAATAGGTCTTAACAATTTAAAAGCACATACTTCATATTTCATATGAAAGGTTTTGTTGGGGGATTGGTGCTGCATGGTTTCAGTAATGTGTAGATATGAGCTATGTAACGCTTTTTTCGCAGTTTCTAATTACTCGGGTATAGAAAAACGATATTCCGGAAATAGTGGCTGTCGATTGGTCAATCGCAATAAAAGGTAACAACTAATTTGAGTGTTTTTCGGTTATGGATAGAGTGCTTGTGAAGTTTATAGCGTTTGTCACTTATTTAGGTACTAGTAAAACAAATCTTTTTGAATTACGCGCTATAATTATTTATTTAATGGAAAAAACACTGTATTGATTTTATGAATGACAAACTTGAGCTCAACACTATTTTATGGGATACGAGGCGTTCATTTCGGAAAACAAGTGCACACCTTAATAGCACAAATGTACAATATGCAACGGTAATTTGCAATCGACGTTCAATAAAGTCTAACATCTACCAAACCCAGCATTTAATCCACCTGAAACAGAACAAGTGTTATACTAGTCAGGGCCATAAGCAGTGATGTTTATCATTACTTAAACGTCCTTTTTTGTTGCTCGTCGGTATTTTTGTTAATTTATTTGAGCCTTTAATATTAGCTTATCGAACAATTGTGTTAAATTAGTACGAATATAATTACGCGTCTCACAGTATATTGCAGATTGCAAAAAACAATTTTTTTATTGCGGGCGTAGTGCTAACTGTTTTAGCTTTTTTTTTTTTTTGGATGCATTGTGCAGACCGGACATCATTGACTGTGCTTTGTCCGGTACTGTGGGACTCTCACCCACTAAACCCTGGACCCCTTTATCAGCTTGGGCCATGGTTAGGGATATGTTTTATATTACTTCGAAGCCATGACTTGCAGGAACGGTCATTTCATCATCCTTCCCTTTGAGCCGTTCCAGTCCATCCTCCATTCTGGTTTTCCTCTTGACCGTAAACTCTAGGTCTCGAGAGGGACCGTACTCCCTGTAAAACAAATCTTTTTGAATTACGCGCTATAATTATTTATTTAATGGAAAAAACACTGTATTGATTTTATGAATGACAAACTTGAGCTAATTCCAGTTGTTGTGCATCGGGCCCATGATTGTTTCGGGTATGCCCTTCATCTATTTTCTTACGTCTCATCCTTTCTAGTTGTTCTTTTCTTTTCATAATATCGTCAAAGAAAGCCGTAACTTTGGCCCAGTTCGTCCTGTCCTTTGTCATCATATCCACCATCTCCTTAGTACTGCCCTTTGTTATTACTTCTCTGTGTACCTGTTTGTCTCTGACCATTTTAAGTGCCTGGCAGTGAAGTAGAGTATGATCTACTCCGTCCTCCATGCCCGACTCGCAGAGCACACAGATGTCCACTTGCGTTTTGCCAATCTTTGTCATGTATGTCTGGAACTGTCCATGGCCCGACAAAACTTGGCAGGACTGTTTTAGCTCTTAGGGTGCAACGGTCCGCAACTAAAACGAATTGCTTCCATTTACCTACTTTTTAATTCATTGGATGATATTCAGCGTTGACTTTGTCAATATTTCCATTCACTGATGAGTGCTTTGTGCAACTGTTAAGAGACCCTCTATTTTTCAATTTACAAAGATATTAAGTTAAATTTTATTTTCTAGTTATTGTTGGAGCGTATAAGTTGGGTCCTTCTAATGACTTGGACCACTTTAGATCACGCCGCTCCTTTGTATCATACCAATCATGTAACGTCTGAATCTCCTGTTTTTGATATTTGCTTTGGTCTAACTCTGTCAGGGAAAGCTCAATAATCATAAACGGATTTCTTAGAATATTTTGGACATTGCATACAATGAGCGCTTTCCTTGCATTTATTTCTGTTAATTTTTATTGTTTGCAAAACCATGTACGTACCTTTTAGAATGAAAGCTTTTTGTTCCTAATTTCTCAACTAACTGCCATGTTCAGAAACCATTAATCAAATATCTATTGTTTTTTATTTCTCTAACAAATCTGGCCCTAACTTTTTCATATTTAAATATGCGCACAAGAATTAGTATACTTGGTAACTTGAGCCAATATTACGATATAGACCAAGTTACAAGACTATGTGAAAATTATTTATGACCATTCAGTCTGAAATTTTGTTTATACTTATTATGTTCAGAGGTGCATTTGTTCGTTTTGACACATAACTCGAAATGTTTCAATGCGTATATCAACAGACAAATATCTTCTAGACAGATCAACACATTGTAAACTAAATCTGCTCCGTTCATTTTTCGTATTCAGTTATCAATCTACTATCATGTAATTTCGTCTTTCGGGTTTTTGTTGAAATTTTTGTTTTCATATAATAGTGTTATTTTATGTTATATTTACTACATATTTCATGCATACATTATATCATATATTATTGTACGTACAACATGAATAAAAAATACCTTCTCAATTGTATATAATCAGGTACTTTCAGGCAATTCCCGCTGTTAGTTGGGTAAGTACGGATCCTTTCTATGGGACTTTACAGTTTTTTAAATTTTTGCGACACCTAAAAAGCTCTTCTGCTAGATGTACCCTATAGTGGCATTTGGTAACAATACAACAACGCCAACAGTATATTAGGGTGAAGTAAAATTTATTCTAGCAAAATTCCAAAGTCGTCACCTCTATCAACTAACCTTGCTCCAGTAATTTGACTAAGCAAAATTTTCGAGCATATCGTAAAACGTCACTAAACAATGCGTCGGTTAAAGAAATCAATTGACATCGTGATAAAGGTCCCCTTTCTTACTTTTCTGTATGTCGATATACTTCATGGAACTCAGCTTGTTAGGCTTTCCGTTTAGCTTTAGTATTATATATTTAGAAGATCGACTAAAACCCTATGCTTAAGCGTGGAAACGCCGTGACAGCTAACTTCAGGTTACACAACGCATACTATTATCGTACTTGGCTATAAATTGGGCTTACCTAAATGAAGACAACAGTTGCGTTGGTGTTATTCACTTGAAATCGGCTGTTTAATAAGTTTTCTCAATTGTTAGGTTTCCTTATATTCCGTTTTCTCCTTTTTCATGTTGTTTATTCAAGTTGCCTTCAGTTTTTTTTCAGATTTTCACATTTTACCATTGTATTCGCACTATGCCCCGTTCATATTAAGTTCTGTGTATGAGAAAAGACTTGTTGCCAGCGGAAGATGGCGTTCAGAAGTTGACAGAAATATGAAATATTCATTTATATTTCAACGGGGCTTATATAGGCCACTTCCATTGATCTGGAGGGGCAGGGGTTTCTAAAGGAAGCCAGGGTTTCCAGGTTTGAAATTGTCGGGCTAGGACCAGCTCGTTCTCTGCCTAAAAACAAACCAATAATAGATCAGCATCGTATGTAACGAGTATGAATTTTTGATAACTACTTGACCAGTAGGTTGTCTAGAAACCTCGCAGTAACAAATAACCGTTTGTAAAAAGAAATCACAAAACACGACCTTTTAGATAATCTAACCATCTAACTTGAGAATTTTAGTTAGAGAGACCATTCCTACGTTCCCTGCAACCTCCAATATCGTAGTCTACATAATTTAGATAACCTATAGGTTATCGAATGTTAACTTGAGCCACTGTTGATCATATTCCACATGCAAACATCGTCGCTATCTGTGCTTCTTCAAACAAAAGTAGTATTATTTTGTAAGATGCATAACACTGAATTTTCATACTTGTTGTATACACTCTTCAGCCTGGTAGCCCAGTTTGTCCTCCAGCTGGGCGATCTCGTTGATACTTTGAACCAAAGCGAGCTTTTCTTGGATAATGGGCTCGGTGGACCTCCGATACGTTGCATCCTGGGGTATTTGGTCAAGCGCCTGGAGAATCTTTTTATACAAAACGCCTAGTATCTAAAGCCATATAATAAAAATGGTATCAACAAATTAGAGCGGCTCTAGAGCTGTGAAAGCCCTTTCTGATTGATAGATAAGTAGAAATCCTTATTAAAAACGCAATGTGTTAATCAAAATATAGGGCTATAAGTTAAATATTGTCTCTAATGTGTATAATATTATACTTTTGGATGCTGCTAATTTTGCCTAACAGTTACCGTACATAAGAGTTTAAATCGCGCATGTGCACGATGTAGCAGGAAAGTTTATAGTCGTTGAAACTGCCAGGTACGCTGTACCAAATGACGTGTAATGCTCAACAAATCTGGCAGCTGATTGTCACAAATAAAGCACAATAAGATGAAGTATATAAAACAAGAAGAAAAAATGCGCAAAAGGTGAGAGAGAACTTACATGATGCGGATTCTTATGAACCGCTAGACCGGTCAAACCCGTTGTCTGAAATATGAAAATCCGTGGATTAAATCATGATTTCAGAGTATTCACTAAGAGTTTATTACCCAACACCGGTCATTTGATATCAATTCCTAACCATGCACCAATCCGTTCGCGAAATATTTACTTGTACCAAAACCATTCGAGTTAAGATTGTTATTACCAATCATTTCTTAGCTTCACTAAGGAAAAATCAGCTTACGCTCAACGGAATCAATCTACTGATTAATTCGATCGTGCATAATTGTACACTGCCACCTAGAAGGGAGTAAAAAACTTAAATATTAAAACTTCTCGGGAGAACTCACCTTCTTAAGGACACCCGCCATGTTTATTATTTTGTTTGATAAACCCAAGCATGTGCTTAGTTTATGAAGTGTCGATATTCGCATTTTCTACGAGAAATAAACTTCCCACGGACGTCGCTCTATTACCTATGTGAAGCAAATGATAATTTGAATCACTATTGTTACAAGTCGAACACTTGTACGTATGAATAGTTCTTAGAAGTCAGAACCTTTTAGACCGGTAGTTAAACTCTTAAGGTGTTCAGTCGCGCAAGATGATCGCTCCCACAAGCCCCAGCTGATTGCCTCTGTAGGAGTTTTAGCAGCTTTAGTCGTGGTGTGTTTCAGGAAACGGCGTTGTCAAACCATTCTTGGTAGAAGGCTGGAAACGTGTGGAGGATTTTAACCGCGAGGCGGCGTCAGGGGCCGGGATGTCGCATCGCAGCCATGTTGCATTACAGAATTTCTTTGTGTTTAATCCGACGTTTGGTCGATGTGAGGACGAAGAGTATAAGAAGTTATTGTTTTTCTATCCACCAGAAACGAACATGGATAATCAGCTGAGAGATATGGGCATTGCTCAGGGTCTCGTCAACTTTACAAAAATATTTAGCCCTGATCAACCGTGCGAAGTGTTGCATACCCAAAAGACGAGACAGGTAAGATAGAAGGTTCCACAGATATTCCTTGAATATATTGTTGCACATATCTAAGATAGATTAATTATTGGGGGTATGTGTATAAACGTATTTTATAAATATAGTCATTTATAGCATGATGTTATGTTAACTGTAACCAACAAACATTCTTTGAGAGGGATCATATATCTTATGTAGTAACCTCAGATGTCACTTATTTGTTGATTAAAGCGACCGACATGGAATGTGAAAGCTCTAGCTCATGATCGATTGTTGTTAGCGAAAAACATCAAGAGCCTCATTATGTCTGAACAAAGCGATTATTTTTTTAACTAAGACAGCTAATACCACCATTTTGAAATCATTCATAGTTAAATAGGGGGTTGTTCATCTTCGCACCGTCTAATCAGACCTTTGTTTATTTTATATTCTTAAACCATCGGAAGCTTTCAAACCAAAGATACCTATTTTATTAAAAAAAAAAAACGTAGCAAGAAAATTGAAAAAATACGTGCTAAATAATTAAATGCTGATTTTTATTTCCATTTAAGAAGAGCTGTTTCGAAATAGTTATACTTGAACCTCATCTTTATTAATTAAGTGCGTCAGATTATGATGGTTGAGTATAAATTTCTTGTTTCGAAATTTACGTGTAGTACTTAAACCGTTAAGCATGTTTCGGATGAATGGCGTAACAAAATGTGCTTACCCCGGATTCAAACCTAGGTCACCATGTGTCCATAAGTTAAGTAGGAAACATATTATGATTGTGCCAATACGGAAATGATTATAGGATTACTATATATAATATGTAGCAAAGTAATGTCGCGTTTATGAAGAAGGAACGCAAAAAGATATGAAACATTTTCATTTCAATTTGAGAGATTCGTCAGGGGAATATATAAGACTCGATTTACCCAATAATTTTACACAATAATTTTGAGAAATTGTATATAATTTCTCAAATTAAGAATATACCGCAATTTAACTTGCTTTACTCTTGCCGTGGTCTATACGTCTTTCAGATATTCCTCGAAGCGGAGCCCGATTATTGGTTGGTATTTACTTTGACACTGCCGTCTCAGCAGCGTACGCGTGACTCACAAACGGTCGTGGAGTATTTAACTGAAGATGTGCAGGATTCTGTTTATCAAGCTGTCCTTCGAAAACTGTACACATTGTTTCGTTGTTTCCAAGGTACTCTCACCGAGATCGTCACCGAGAAAGGAGTCAACGGATTGCGAGAGCTGTTAGATACCTATTTTAACGTAATGCTGCCCCGCCTCAAGTTCCAACACTGCGATATCTTGGATATATTTCAAGGAGTACATTTTCTGCCACTGGATAAAGCTGCCTTTCTTCAAGTCAACAGTTTTGTAGGCAGTCTAGAGAAAACATTTCCGGAGATAAAGTTCACCGCATTCCTTTGCAATGATCAACTCGTGTGGAGTGGACTAGCCCAAAAAGATATGCAGCAATTGTATCATTATCTGTTAGGCAATATTCTACAGGGGGCGTTTGAAGCTGAACTGCTAGCACCGACGCTTTCAATTTCCAAAGGATCTTCCGCAGTTCATTCCCAGGCACGCTACCTACATGGCAAAACGGAGGATCTTAAGTTTTTGGAGGAACTTCCCCGTATGCTCGTGGGAGACAAGCGTTATACCCTGTTAATCTATCGAGCCTTGAGCGCTACAGTCTGTCTACTGTTGGAACCAAATGATCTCACGATCGAACTCGCGCAACGCATGGAGAAGTACCTCGCTCCCGAGCTGACATTACTAGCAAACGACATATCGAAACAATATTTGAAATTAACGGCATCTGTGACTCGTAGTAATCAGGAGATTATTTGCAAATACATCTATTTCAATCGAATGAATATAGCTCAGAAATCGTCAGTGCATGCCGACCGTAAACTCGGTTTTAGTGTCCCTTTGTCTTTGATTCGACTTATCACTGATCTTCACGTCGATCTGTTGATGCTGGGAAGCGATGACGAGGGACCATTCGATGGGGAGATAATTGCAAAAACATCAGATGATTGGTGGCTTGTAGCGAAAACTTGGGATTATCGGGAGTTCTTTGTCGTCCTTAACCAGAAGAACGCCAGCCTGATCCAGATTAGCGACGAAGTCAGAAGATTGAGTAACTCGCAATTGCAAAATATATTTTTCATTGATTAAGATCCCTTATCCTACTGCCATGCAACCAGTTTGTATTGAATAATTCAGCTAGTCCTGGTGAAATCACGTCATCGTGAAATGACGACCGCGAGTCCGATGTATTCGCTGCAAAATAATAGCGCATGCACATAGAATGTCAAGCTTTAGAGGGAAACATGCATATATATATATATATATATGCATGACGTAAATTCTTGATCTTGAACGAACATGATTTCCAGTTGTTATAAGCCCATGCAACCAATTTTCAAAATATAAGCCTACAAAAAATTAAAAACTACAGTTTTTCATAAAAAAACCTTGACCACTGTAATAACAGCGTCGCTTACTTTATTTTTTTCATATTTTTCGCTCATTTAAAGTACACTTTAGCGTGTCTGTGGTGTGTTTTCTCCGTAATTATTGTGTTCCTAGGTATCTACGACATCTACCCGGTTCCTTGGTCTCATACAATGAAATAACTTATTTGTACATAACGTCTCGCACAAGACATCCATTCGAAAGAAATTCTCTCGATTGCGCATGTCACGCTCACACCACGTCTCTTCCTCGCGAATTCTCTTTGTTTAGAATTAAAAAAACCGTTGTCCCGTAGCTGACGAACCTAAAGCTTGCCCTACTAAACTAGATTTCTAGCGTTGCAAAAATCTATCTAGCTGAGAATACTGGGCAAATTCGTTGACTAAGCAAGTTCGTTATACTTAGTTAAGGTCTCGTCGTTGGTTATCAGCTGTTGATTACGCGTTTGTCATCATGGTCAGTTCCGATGTTAAGAACGCATTCGTCATAATGCTCAGTTTCCACTTACAACTCATCATGGGGCTCTTCACTCTCGATGTCCTCGTCCTTATCCGAGGGGTTCACTTCAGGCAGTTCGGCCTCTTCGAGTTCGGCATCGACTTGAGCGTCTTCGGAAACGCCCATCATTTTCCGAAGCATTCGTTCTACGTTGGAAGCAAACTGCGCGTTGTCATTAAGCTGAAAGCCTGATCGTAGCGTAGCAGTTTCGAACATCATTTCGGTTAGATACTTCGCCATCTCATCCGAAGGCGAGTCATCGACACGACGGAGGAGCTCCTTGATGAGTGGGTGACGTGGGTTAATCTCAAGTGTCTTCTTCTGTGTCATGTAGAAACTCTTCTGGGGGTCATTTTCCTTCATATGAGTTTGCGCAGCGACAATTCGTTCCATATTGCCGGTCCATCCGAACTGCGAGGCTACAAGAGCCATCGGAGTCTCCACGAGACGCTCCGAGATAACGGCCTTCGAGATTTTATCTTTAAGTGCAGTTTCTGAAAGCCATTTAGTAAGAGGTTCGAATTCTTTCTCCATCGCTTCACGGATATCTTTGTTGTCATCTAGAGATAGGCCTTCCTTGGCCACATTCTGGAACTTTTTGCCTTCAAACTCAGTAAGGGACGAAATAGCGTACTCATCAACTGGCTCCGTAAGATACAGAACCTCGTAGCCACGCTTCAGCAGACGCTCGACGAACGGCGACTTCTTAACCTCATCCATACCGTTGCCGGCAATATAGTATATAGCTGTTTGCTTTTCCTTCATGCGCTGAACGTAGTCGCCCAAGGATACGAGTTTATCTGTAGAGCTATCCAAAGACGATGGGAAGCGCAGCAATTTGGCGAGACGAGATCTGTTAGCCGAGTCTTCGATCACTCCGAGTTTGATGTTCGTTGAGTACTCCTTCCAGAATTTCACGTATTCCTCTTCCGAAATCTTACGGAACATCTCCAGTGCTTTACGAACGAGTTTCTTCTTGATAACCTTGAGCAATTTATGTTGCTGAAGATTTTCCCGAGAAACGTTTAGAGGCAAATCATCTGAGTCAACCACTCCACGCAGGAAAGACAGATAGTTCGGTAGCATATCCTGGAAGTCATCGGTGATAAACACGCGTCTCACGTATAGTTTAATGTGGTCGGTCTTCTGCCCATACCTGTTGAATGAGTCTTGTGGCTGTTTTGAAGGAACGAAAAGCAAACTTTTAAATGTAAGTTCGCCCTCAGCAGTGAAGTGAGTTTTAGCGAGAGGATTCTGGCTATCGCGGGTGACCGCCTTGTAGAACTCATTGTATTCTTCGTCACTGACCTCCTTTTCCTTACGGGTCCAGATCGGCTTTGCTGAGTTGATGAGCTCCCAGTCCCAGACAGTTTTATCAACCTTCTTAGTTTTCAAAGGCTCCTTCGCATCCTCCACCTTGGCCTCATCATCATCTGCCGGGGCCTCTTCGGCTGGTTTTTCATCTTCGGATTCGGTAACTTCCTCCGTGACGGTCTTCGATGACCAGAGGTAGATATTGAAGTTTATGAACTGCGAATACTTTTCAATCAGCTTCTTCAAAGTGTCATGTTCGAGGAAATCCTTAGCCTCGTCCTTCATGTACAAGGAGACAGTTGTACCCCGTTTGAGTGTGTCTCCACGAGGATCATCGGCTACCGAAAATTCTGCAGCGTTCGATTCCCATACGTGCTGGATAGGATCGTCATTGTGTTTGGAAGCGACAGCAACGCGATCTGCGACTAGAAAAGCAGAGTAGAAACCAACGCCGAACTGACCAATGAGATCGTTGAGGTCTTTTCCGGAGCTGCCACTGTTACCTTCAGAGACCTTCTGAAGGAATTCTGCCGTTCCTGATTTAGCGATGGTACCAAGATTCTTCATAAGATCTTCTTTCGTCATCCCGATACCCGTATCCGTTATGTGCAATACGTTATTCTCTTTGTCGGCCATAATTCTAATACTAAGATCCTGTAACTTCTTAAGTGCGTCGGGATCGGTCAGCGATAGAAGGCGGATCTTGTCTAACGCATCGGAGGCGTTCGAAATTAATTCTCTCAAGAAAACTTCCTTATTACGGTAGAGAGAGTTGATAATGAGTTTCATCATACGCGCCACTTCCGCCTGTAACGCCGAAAACAAACTTAAAATTACGCTTATAGGCAATAAGTGCAAATTTTCCATAGCCGTTGCACCTTGCTAGTACTTAAACCAGAAATTTTTACCTAGCGCTGGGCCGGATGGGTCAATACGACTAGCTGCATGTAACCATTTCTTGACTTATTTAACCACTGTGCAAAGCCGCAAAGCTAACCACTCACTACTGGCACTAACAGATCGCTTGTTTTCATCGCGATATGTCAATTATAAGATGCGGCATCTACGTTTCTCGTCGAAGGCTTACTGAAATCTAAGGTAATGCTGAACCAGGCCTCTTTGCGAAGCGCACCACGCTAAATAGAAAATAGCCAACATCTTATATATGCATGAAAAAGGGTACATTACCTGAATGTGAGAAAATCTTAAATATGCATGGAACATAGGTACATTATCTAAATATGAGAAAATCTTATATATGCATGAGACAAAGGTGCATTATCTAAATATGAGAAAATCCTAAATATGCATGAAACAAAGGTGCATTACCTAAATATGAAGAAATCGATACAAACCTGGAAAGCGTGCTTTTGTGCTTTTTCCCGGATCTCTTTTAGTTGCGCTACGGATAATGAATCAACTTTGATAGCTTCCTCTTCTCTAGCTATAACTTCTGCATCCGTTCGGGATCCCTCCTTAATTTTTCCAATATCCTCTTCCACTCTAGTCGGGTCATATTTGGTCTCATCCCCCTTGCTAAACCTTAGATCTAAACCATTGTTCATTACAAACAAAAATCACGGAACCATTACAGGTATTAGTGGATATCGTAATGGGTACATACAAAAGGTGGTAGTGGTGATCTATTTTACTTTTATAGTTCTTACGATGCAAAATATTACCGACATTATTTAACGGGAGTGAGTAACCATATCGTTGGTATCTATCAATAGCTTGAAGCGACCGAGACATCACTATCCTCTACTGTTGAGTGGAGCTGAATTGACACGTTAAATTACATAAAGGAGGCGTAGTCATGCACACGAAGCAAAATGACACGTAAGAGTAGAACAAAACGTCAGTGTTATCAGCAGTATTCGGGAAAAGACTATTTCGATGCACCGCTTTTCTTAAACATGATTTTTTACAGAAGCAAAATTGGTATCGCTCTCTACCAAGTGCCCTGGGAAGTCTACAACGCATAATCGGAAGCAAGGCAACTTACAAACATCGATTAAAAATAATTTCTTCAAAAAATACGGCGCCATCAATAAGGCAGCCATAAGCCATGCACGACTGAACAACTGCCAACGTAAAGCACCTTTAGCCTTTGTAGCCACTGTGCACAGCCTCCCAATAAAAAATTTCACATGTCCTCAAGCAAGGAAGTCGGAATATTCTCGAAGCCAGACTACGAAAAATACGATCAAACCGACTTTTTTCGAAGAGGTCTCGACTACACATCATTGCCTGCAAATCTTATTGCTAAAAAAGACGTTCACTCAACTAATGTCAATCCAGAATAATGCCAAATATGATATTGAGTGTGCGAACTTGTACCGTGCATCGAAGTGTTTGTTCGGTAAATAACTGATCATTTACTCGCCGAAGTGAATGATCCAGCCGAAACAAAGCTTTATTTCGGAGCACTAATTTCCCTCGGCCAAAAATAAACGCAGCACTTGAATCTAGAATGTTTCCGGTGGCCGTTTACTTCGTAACTCCAAGGCAGCTACCGGCAGCATTGCAGTGACGCCGATCGATCGAATGGTGTGGTGAAACGCTCCGAAATCTCTCGTACACTATGCCAAGTAAAAAATCTACATACATGCATTTCTTACCTGGTTTAAAGATCTGCCAAACAGCACAGACCCATTAATCAACTTACCCCAAACTAGGCAGAAAACCAAAAGGAACAGAAGAGCCGAACGCTTCATCGTGAACAACGTGTTTTGGGCTTGGTTGATGTTAACGGACTAGTTTCACTGCGACGAGAAGTTATCAAGCCGCCGTCAGTGCGACACGTACACAAACGACTCTACAAAGTAACCCACACCCATCAACGTACGGCCACGTCGAGCAGTTAACTACACACTGAGGTGAGACCGGTTTGCCGAGTCGAGAAGCCAACGGTTTGACACTGGTACATTGGCCCCCAGCTGAGACTTGGCCTGAGCTGATTGGCTGGCTGGTCCGTGACGTCACCGCAGAGGTGCGAGCGGGCTTTTCTGCATTTGAATTAAATGGCGCGTGGTATACTGACAGCTGGCGATAGTTCAACACGAGTAACGGCTATAGCATGAATAAATTCATTTTTCTTAGAATAATATTTTTATTTAACTATTTATAGAAGATATTGTAAGGTACCCAAATATACAAGAACTTGATTGATGTGGTCGATTTACTTCTTGTCGAATTTTTTGGCAAACTGAAGCCTACATAAAAGCAATTTTATGATTGTAAACTTAATTTTTGCTTGTGTGTAACCTGTTGCACAAAAATACTCGTAAAGACGAGAAACGGATAGTTATATATGAGTGCAATATAAACAGGCAATAATAAACGTTTGCTGTGTCTATGATTTGTTGGTTTTAGTCTTTGCTATAATTTCTATTTGTTATATTTTTTAAGAAATTCGATTCATTATGTTCACTTGATTAAAGTGTCAAAATGTATGTAGATTAATAGCACTTTCTGTTTGCATATAAGAGTTCATTCGTTATTAATTCTATGAAGAAACTGTTAGAAATAACATGTCACCAAGAAATTACATATCCGGAAATGTGGTATTACTTTTGTCATCAGCCATCCTTCTGTTTTTCGTGTCTGATAACAAAACATGGTTGAATGTGCGTGCTACTACAAAATAGGTTATTTATCGTCAATAGAATGAAAAGTGCGTTTACTAGAACAGTCAAAACGACCATATGATCGAACCAATCATCTCTAGATTCTCATTTACTTCATCGTCTCTGCTCGATGCCAACAAAAACATGTCGCAATAATAAACTTGACCCTCATCGTAACTAGAGATCCGTCGACTGCCAGTTTGGGCACGAATATTGTTAGAAATGGTACAGATAATGCATTAGATATGCTTAAATTATATCTGTTACATTTTTAAGCTTTATACACGATGAACAACAGGCACTGTCGCCTGTTGTTGAATTATATACACTAATTACCTCTTCGCAAGCTATAGTATCGATTTAAGCTAATCTGTTACGGTTTCAAGTGGCACGAACCTATTTCAGTAAACGGTTAGTTTGTTTGTAGGCTGTACCTCCGTTATGTTTATTTATTTTCGGTACACTTCCCGTTCCAGTTTGGACTGGGCATATGTTGAAAAATTGGACTGGATAATATCGGTCGATAGTTTCGTTGCTTTTGTGGTGCCTGAAGTACCCTAGCACAGCCAATAATCCATTGTAATCCGTGAGCTAGACTACGAATATATATATATATATATATATATAACTTCTTATGGAGTTTCTAATGGACAGACAACAAGCTACTAGGTGGGCCAAACATCACTATTAGGTGTGAACTCATGAGCTAGATGTGCATGTAATAAGTGTTGAGGAATCCACCTTGGCACTTTGGGCTTACGCATAAAAGTTCTTCTTCATGGGTAGGTCAGATAAGAGCGCGCAAGAACGTGACTATGCCAGTACAGTGAAATCACAGTGGGGTAACACGCACTGTACACCTGGTGACTTCATTGCATTATGGACTTCAAGATAGCACTATAGTAAACGCCCTTTGTAGGAGTCAAGCAGAGGATATTCTAAGGCCTCAGTCGCGCCTCACTCACGAGCTTCTATTAGACACTAGTAAAAGAAATTTAGAAAATCCTCGTTCTTCTGTGTTAAATAGTTGCTTCTTAAAAGTATCCTCAAGAACGTTCTATATGAAAAAAAGAAAAGTATCAGCCCTGGTGTTTGCTTGCGAATTCATAGATGCTAGGATTTCTGAGTTAGAAAGATTTCCCACGTGTTCTACCTTGACGTATTAGTAAATCTGGTTTCAGTTAAAAACAAGTAGGTTAATATTTAAAACAGATGCTGACTCAATTGATAAAGGGATATGAAGCGTACGGTGAGATACAAATGCTTGCGTTGTGAATGTGGTCAACTCTATATATATTAACCATTATCAAGTTTTAACAGTCATGGAAGTATATCAGTAGCCTTCGTAGCTTCGCAACGCACGAATTATGTCAATAAGCGCAATCTAGCATGTGAAAAGAGCACTAGGTGTCGCATTCCCATGTACGAGCTTTACAGATTATGTATAGAACACCGAAGATCAGACAAGCACGTGTACTGAGGTATTTCACGAAAGACTCTCTTAAACACACTATATAATGTCAAAGATATTCCTAACACTTTCATTAATTACATAATATCACTATATAACTATAGCACTAAGCTATATAACTATATAACAATAGTAACACTAATTATGCGTTTTAAGTAAGGCGTCTATAACTACTTTTAGCACTTTACGGTTTTAGCAATATAACATTTTCTATTTATAGGCGTTCATATTTTCTGTTAGACAAAATGAAGGCTAAAGTGCATCTATGAAGTTTGTCACAATCGAAAAACGGTTGTTTTTGTTTATGAATAAAACAAGCCTAGCCCCAACTACCGACAAAATCGAAAAATAGAACACCGGCTACCGAATGAAGTTAGAATAAATATTAAGATATATGCCATAGTTGTTAGAATAATCTATCCGTACGAAATGTAACCTTGCTGCTCCGAAAGGACCTTATGACGAGGTACGTGGGACCTATCACTGTGTCATAACGTATTCAGAATTTGATGTTGCTCAAAAAAAAGTAAAAATATTTAAAACTGGATCGCTCATGCTCGGCTTAGAATGACTTTATCAGTAGTTTGCCACGCGACATGTACCCCAACGGGCTCTAGGCTCATTAGTTTGCCTTATCAACAGGTAAGGTACAAAATAGACAGGTAATAAGGGAAGCACGACTTGGGTAGCGTGTGCATTGTAAGTAGCTAGAGTTGTCACCCCATTTAAGCTTTTTTCTATTCACTAGCAATTATGAATGCCACATGAATGGATTCTAAAAGAAGGACTTACAACTTTTCATTTGTAGGTAAACTGGGGAACTTTTATCCAATGCCAATTTAGTAAATTTACCACAATTAGAGAGCGCAGAACTTTCTGTTATTGAAGGTGTATTGTTGTGTACATAACCTTTGTTTTTGCCTATTCGGTAGAAAATAACATTAATGTTGCCTTTACTCTTTCCCACCTTCAGATCTCCTCCTCTTTAACTTAGGACCATTACAATTACAAGTAATGTGTTCACATAAGCTTCGTATTTGGCCTGTACTTCACTCGACTTTACTGGCATTTCTACGATTAAGACTCTTTCCACAGGTCCCCTTTCCCTCGTTCGTACGTCGCCCATTCGCTCCAGGCCGAGATAGGCCTTTCGAGAGCGAGTTTTTGACATCATACAGTAAGCTCTTTGACAGTTCTCTATATACTACCACGACCAATAATAGTAAGAGCGCCCACGATTCGACTACTACTGTTTTGCCCTTGTTGGATCTGAGACTGCTAAGGCCCTACTGCCATTGGATCAGTGTTGCTCCTATTCTTGCTCCGGACGCTAGTACCGCAGCCGTCGTACCACAGAATCAACACAGCTAATGATTAGCAGACCACCATATGGGTATACTGAGAGACAGTGAAAGCTGCACAGTATCAAAAACGATACCGTCATCTTTTTGGCTTGTCCCAAAACCAGTAATTGTGAGTCTGCATATGCTACAACACTATTGTCAGTGAAATCATTGAGGTTTTCAGTGTTGCTACTAGACTCAGACAGGCTCTCGTCATGGCCGTGGTCAAACCCGGCTACGAAAACAAAGCCAGCAGTAAGATGCTCTTCTGAACGTCGGTCAATCATTCTATGGCCCCTGTGTCCGTGGTGAGTGAGCGTTCCTTCTAACCACAAGCGGTGTGCCTCAGTTCGGATCTACGGCAATATTGCCCATTACATCGACTCCAGCCGCCGATCGCCATCAGTAGAGGACTATTCTGATAGGCTAAAATTTACGAATTTGTTTAGAGAAAGCCGGGTCACACAGTACAAAATTAATTACGGAATTAAAGCTATTGCAAGTAAAAAAAACAACTGCAGGAAAATTACAAAAAAAAAGTCAGGGACCATAGAAACGAAAAGTCGGTGACGTTAACCTTGACACAACTGCGGATAGCTTAAACCGAAGAAACGTCAGGTACGTGTTACGGGTTAATTCACTAACTGTATATTATCTTCTGCTTCTCATGCTCTGCTATAGCTTTATTACCTACTAAATAATAATATTATAAATAATAATAAATAATAATGATAATAATATTTTAAACATGTTTCTTTGTGTGAATCAATAAGAAAAACTACAAAAAATCGTTACGAGCCTAAATCGGGATCATTTGAATAATAAGTATGTAAAAAGTTGTCGTTGGAACGGATCGATATATCTACCTGTGGACGCTGTCACAGGAGCAACTGTTTTGCGAGAAATTAGATGTTGACGACTAGGTCATAGCAGAAAGTCCCTGTGATAGCTTAGTGGATAACGTATTGGCCTTCGTAATCGTAGAAACACATTATTGTCTAACTTCGGATCCGCGCATTAACACGCTTGTTTCGTGCTGGGAGCGAGCCGTCTGACGGAACGCCAAACGGCCGTGCCAAGACGTACAACTTGAAACATTTAGGTCATATCACGGAAGCGTCATGCAAGTCCATGACGTTTCAGGCAGCCATGATGTGGTAAACGATGACACAAGTATCGAATGGAGAAATAATGTTTAAGCTATGCCGACGTAAAACCAGTATCGCTTTCAAAGTATAACGCATTGTTTCCGACTGGGCGAAATATAGTGCAAGTATAAAGACGTGTATAAATAAGCGTTTGACTGCAAATGATTACAAATCAAACGGACAAAACCGTCGAAAGTGAAAAATCTCATGGATCCTGCCTGTGGTTCCAGCCCCAACTGTCCGTCCCTAAACGAATTGGTCGGGCAGGTCCCCGCTTACGAGTAGAACTAACCTGAGATGAATAGATCAGAACTTAAAGGCTACCGGACTGATTCCACAAAATTAATAAAGAATATTTATCATGAGATTTGGAGACTGTAACGGCCAAAGAAGACCACTTGCTAGTGGCGAAAGGCAACAGGCAGAGGTATAACGGCGCGGCTGCAGACAGGTCATTAGGTATTTGCTATATATCTGCTCTGTATGGGTACAAGCGTCGATACTACGATATTCATATATCTACGTATCTAGTCTAATATGAAAACGTAACAGATAGTCTGAATGTTCTTTGAGTACCTGGAAAACAGTGGCACCGCTTATTGAGTCTTGGGCGAAGGCAGGTGATTCGATCTGATCTGGATGGATGAAATGTAATTTCAGTTATCGTCGATTACAAAACAAAGGAATAAGAAATGATAGGTGCCCGTTTACTTGAAGCATCAGAACGACACGATTCGTCGGACCTAAGGCTCCTGCCTCACCTATTATTGAACAGTTATATATGGTGGAGCTTAACACGCGGGTGTTTGCAAGAGGCGATAACTGGTTCCGCCATTTGTCTCGTTCAATACTGTTTTGGCTATTTCAACTTTATCTTTACTGTCAATGGTGTTAAGCCCTTCGGATAGCCTAGGCAGGACTTATATGGTTAATAAAGTATGGTTTGTCTGGTCATTACTATGAACACCTGCATAATAGAGCCGCTCGATGTAGTGCTGCCGATGTGTGCTGCAAGGAGGTCTAGAAAAGCTTTAAAAATCCCTTGATTGTTTGCATGTAAAAAAGGAATAGCCTGCAGTTAGACCTGAGATGGTTAGTCCTAACAGGTCCCAACAGTGCATCGGCCTGGCGAACTTTTGACTGCAGTAGATACTGCGAACGTTGCGAGCTAATAGTTTATTCGCTCGCTCTGGGGTTTAGCGTCACCGCTTCGAACTTTATTCAGCGATATCGGCCCCATAAAGTTTTGCCATTCGTGAATTACAGCAACTTGTTGCTTGCTGTGAACCGGATGCGGGTGGCCATGAATAAGACAAGACTTGCTTAGATAGTATTAGTTCCTGTAAGCTTAAATAAAATGTTCCGTATCGCAATGTCAGGATTGCTAAATAAATCCAACAATTTCTTCTGGAAATCATTTGTGAGGTAAACAGTGCGATGATGAAACCGTTCCGGAGGAATTAATATAACTAGATATAATTGATGATTTACGTACACGATGCATATGGGAAAACAACTATGTTTGCAGCAGTTATCGCCTTATCCCTGTACAGGTATAAGTAGAGATTATAACAAGGCGATCATTACAAACTCAATACCGCTGTCTCAACTACCATATAAATGTATTTTTCCTCTAATTATCAAAAACCAGCCGTGATTTTAAGCTGAAGAAATCCATTTAGTTTGCACAAGCATTACAAACGTAGAGAGTGTATTTATACCTAATGATATATGTAATCATTCTAGCTTTTTTGTTCTTGAACAGCCATTGGACCTTTTGAAACAATAACTATTAAATCTAGTTTGATCATCTGCTTTGAAACTTTGACCTGTATTAGTCCTACACGCTAGTTGCTTTCCCAATCTAGGGTCGCGGCGTTTTTCGCCGCTTCGATTTGCCACATTATGATCGATCGTATTTGTCCAAATTTTTGTGCCACTTGAACCATGCTACTGTCTTGCGCATCGTAAATAGAGAATCTGATAGGAAGTGATCAATTTCTACAGTTGAATCTCCTTCGCTTCGAAACCTTTTATGGGTCGCACTTGGACGTTGAGGACCTGGCTGGCGCTATTCGCCTTTGTCCGTTTAACTGACGGACATCGTTAGTATAATGACACGACGTGTGGTAATCCAGAGTAAAGTATCGTCGAAATCGAATGCTCGCTTCTGTCGTTCCGCAAGACCCAGCTACGTCTAGTAAATATGGATGTGCCCGCGAGCGTGCAAGTTCCTCCCAGCGAAATTGGCTGTGCCCTATCCGCCTTATAAGAGATAACTTCCGCCGACTCACATCCGTTGTGGGCTGTCTATTCACAGATAGTCGACAATGGGAAGGTATGCGGACATTCGGGTCTGTCCATACTCTCATCGTCGGAATAATAGCAACATCGAAAAGCCCACGGTCATGATTGTTTTTCATTGAAGCTGACTTGGGCAGGCGCCCTTATACGATAAGTGAAGTACATATGTGTGATGCTAAGGTAACAAGATCCGGATGCCGTTGACAAGTCGGTCCGAATTATGTGCGGAAGGACTGTTACAGTTCATAGAAGCTGAGAACAGTTTTGTGAAAACTTGCCAAACTAGAGACCGAGCACCCCTGTGCGGAGCAGCTTTCGAGATAGTTCAAAGCGTTTTGAATGGTAGAGATAAATGCAATCGGACATTTAAGTCAGAACGACAGTTACACAGAATGACGATACTTTGCCCCGTACGTTACGCATAGGAAGGTATAAGCACTACAATAGGTTGTAGCCAGAAGCGGATATAACCACAATTAGTTGCATGGTACCTGTAGTATCATTAGCAAGCAAGCAAGTGCAGGGAAAATGAAAGGTTCTTGTCAAAGTTTTTAACGAAAGATGTAGAGGAAGATGGAGTTTTGCAGTACGGTGAATCGATTACACTGGTCATTTTCTTGTTGCTGCAGTTCCGATTTATAGGTGCCCGAGGAACAGCTGTTCGGCGGTGTTTGTATTACGTATCGTTGTCGTGGTCAGGGTTTTTGGGGGGTAAACAGTGTGTCTACCTATTTGTCAATTTGCGAATGTTACTATTGTACTACCGTTATCGCCTAATATTCATTCATAGATATTTTCAAAATGCGGCAAGCAAAACTTTTTCCTAATAATAAAATGTGACATTTGAATAAGTAGCTTAATTATAGGTTCGGTTTAATATAAACGGATAAGTATTTTTGAATGATTTCTAGATGGATGTCGCCGAAGAGGACAACTCCTTTTGTTCGACGACTTTATCAGACGTGGTCACATTTGCTCCAGGCAAAAGTCTTACAAAACATAAGCCACGGCGGCCTTCAGAAGATGACTATACAGATAACGAATCCTCGGAACTACCTGGCGACGTCCTGTCACTCGAGGAACGGCTGGCACCACTCGGACAGGCGTTCGAGGGCGAAGACGAAGTTTACTACGATGAAAAGTGGAACTCATGGTGCGAAGCAGAAGTCTGTTGTTGCAATGGTCCATTTCCTAAGACCTGATTTCTGGGTCCTTTTTAGATTACCAAACGTTTTTGTTTCCTAGTGTTGACTTTTTGTTTAGTTTTATCTTTATTTGTTCATGTACATGCAAATGGTGTTCATCCAAGTAATTGTTCTCTTCTGCCGATAAATAGCGACGTCCCATCAGGGTTAGTCGGGAACGACTCGATCGACAACGCTGGAATCGAGTACCTTCGGCAGCTTCAGGAGGAACAGGAACAGTTAAACAATTCGTTACATGCATTAACATCGCACTTCGCGCAGGTACAATTCAGACTTAAACAAATCATCGACGCACCAAACGATAACAAGCAGGTAAGCCGAAGGAATAGCCTGTCTATTGTTTCTTTCTTGATTAATGTTTATGATATGTGCATCGTGTCTTTCATGTGCCACACATCTCCCATAAATAAAAGCGTTCAGTTAAATTTTTGCTTCGCTGAAGGTCTGAAGCTTCTATCAGCAATGCTCTTCTACGCTTATGGCTTGGGCTACGGCGCGGTGGAGATCATTTTGCCTAGTAATCAAAGCCATATATGTCACAATGAAGTAAGGACAGTTTACTTAGGACGTAGTTTCAAGTACCGTCAAATAGACGACACTGAGGAGCCAGCGTTGTGGCTCTCAGGACTCAAACAGGATGCCTTTTACGCCTAAAGCAATACCCTTGCGGAACTCGAAAGAAGTAAATAATATTGTGGTTTTGAATTTGCAATTGTATTTTCAAGGCATTTAATTATCGTTATTGGAAATTGTAGACATAGTGAACGTTGATTGCTGCTCCGTACTATACGTAATTTTCTATTAAACCTAGCTAGGTTTCACTGTGATAATTGAATACGTACATAACTCGTGTGGATTTCCTGTTACAGGCGCTACTTAAAGAACTTGAGGAGTTTGCCTTCAGAGGTGTACCCGATCTCAGAGAACCAGCAGAAGATTCACGGGAAGTCATATCCCCGGTAAGTAAAGCAATGATTACAATGTTAAACAAACATGTTCGACTTGTCAACAGCTCGCAATGTTTGAGCGAACGATCAAAAACGTATCCTACGAAGCCATAATTTACAATCATTCCACTGTATTGCGTCAATCTAGTAAACGGTCTAGTTGAATTCGCCACAAAAAAAACTATATATATTGATGATATTATATTTTTCCTTTACTCCGGCTAGTTGGCGATGTCCAATGATGAGGTCGTCGAAAAGCAACGCCGTAAACAGCAGGAGCTGATGAGTCGACTGCGTAATCAGCTGCAGGAGTTGGAAACCTATGCTTACGAAACTGGCGATGGGGGCTTGCCTTCTAATGTGCTATTGGAGAGGCAGGGCTTTATTCTCGAACAGCTCAAAGCGTGTATGCCACTTAATCTTGAAGAGATTGAAGTGCTCACATCCGACAAACTAAAGGAGAAAGTCGATACTGCGATTAAAGAGGTTAGTAGCTCAAGTGTCTATACCTTACTTTTAAATAGAAAAATTAATTTTTTTAAGAGTAACATTTGCTGCTCCAAATTCAGCCAAAAAGACATGCACTTATCTAAAAGTGCATGTCTTTTTGGCTCAACTTCTCTACACAGGTCATGCATAATTGTGAACATACTTAGTCGGGTGTATTTTGATAGCTTTTCAGTTGTAGAAGCCCTAATCCGACTTTTCTTGTTAAAGGGAAACCCGTAAAACAAGTGCAAGGAGCCTCAAAAACTGTGGGGTACTTAGCGTCTCAAATGTGCAATGATAAATTGTTCAGGTATAACTCATCTGATTTTAATGACAGACGCTAAAAAAAAGATTACGCTTATCCATTCAGATTGTGAATCCAGTGAAAATAAAAGAGCAACTGGTGCAGCAACTGCGTACCCAGGTGACGGATCTGGAAAGGTACATTGATTTTCTCCACAATGATCATCCGGTGTCACCTACAGCTGTTAAGGCCAATTGTTCCTGTACCTGTGACTCACATACGCAGGTGCGAAGCCATACATTGAATCGATTTAAGTCAGGTTATTTTTATATCTCTGCAAATATATACGTGTCGCTTGACACCGTCTTGCCGACATCATGAAACTGTTTTTTGACGTAGCCATTAAAAATAGGAAGATATTTATTTTTCTAGACAAGAAGCAACAATGTCACTCGATTGATGAAATTGGTCACACCCCAACCAGTTAAATAGTTTTGCTCGACTATAATCTTCAGCGGAATAGTGTCGGCAGTAACGTAACAAGAAGCGTGTCAAGGTATCCAGCCCGAACTGTATCGATCAATTTATTTTAATTGTACGTTCTTTTTATTATTATTATTCTCATACAAGGGTCACGGTGCGTAGTGACCACGATAGACATCGCTCTATAAGGTCACAAAGGAAACACGAAGCCCCTAACGTAGCGACAACGGTACTATAACAGAGTTCAATTTGACGCTGACAGGGTCAGGACGCGGTCGGCACCGACACGGATACTACGGACGAAGAAGGATTGAACAGCATAGGCTGCAGAAAACATCCGCCTAGAATACGAAGGCCCATGCGTAAAACTGCTTCCGAAGAGGAGCGTCGCACACAGGCGCGGGTAATCGAACGAATGGCATCCATTATGCAACTATTCGCGGTGCTTCACTTCGGATCCTGTGGCTCGCGTAGCCAAGGCAGCGGTCAAGGCTTCCGGAGTAATACGATGAAGGCGACGCAGAAAGGAAACCATTGGGGGTAGGGACTTCACAAACTTAAAACTTTCGGTTTTTAGGTATTCTAGATTGCATGTAATTGCTAAACATTATGATTAGTAGGACTATATTTCCAGAAGGGTTTTGGTAGGTTTCGGTTGGCAAAAAGGCTATTTCATCTTTCCAAGCTAGGAAATTTGGAATAAATCAAAGGGCATATTATAAGCAGCAAAGAAAGCAAGATCCTTTTAGGATTAACCGTGCAAATGTGTCCTAGACTTTCGTGTGATTCCCCGGTGAAGCCTGTCAGTACGGGTAGTTTTAAGACATAACTTGGTATTTTTCGTTTGCTTAAAACGTTGGAGATGTGTAATTAGGAGTTGCTTTTCGTTTTCCTTTTACAGCGATATGCGAGCAAAACTCGAGTTAGCAATTGATAAAGTGCTTCGAGAAGTGGATGCCGCTGATACCCGGCAGAGCTCCAACAGTGACTACGCTAGCGAAAGTGATGAGGTAACATATTACAGTTATGATGTCTTCCTTTTCCATTAGACCTGCATATTTATTATATTAACGCCTACACTTGATTATACGGATCTCTAAAATATCGGTGGTCAAACGTTTAGAAACAGGGAGGGGAAGATTTTACGAGGACTGTATGGAAGGAGCCATTTTCTCTAACAGCCAATGGTAATTTTGTAAGTGGGCACTTTAAAAAATAATGGTCTTCGAGACGCTTATGTATCTGAAATTTCGCATTACTTAAATTGATGACAAACCGTTGTTACCGTGAAATTTCTATGTGTGGGATAGGCTAAAAGCTTATTTTTCTACACGAACGTCATTAGAGCCACGAAAACGATAAATACTTGCTCTTTTGTCTGTTATAGCTTCAACGGTTCGAATTTTAGTTTTTTTTAAAACAGTTTGAACACAGTGTATCCACCAAAGGCAGCACACTGAGGTATTTTGTTAGATCTCTCGAAGTATACAGAATTCAATGTGTTTTAATGCTTGCATTTATATTATTACTCGGGTCTTTCATTGTGTGAAAACATTACACATTCGGGATATGAGCCATTCAAAACTCAACTTCAGCAAAACCACGCGAAAATCTTTTGTAGACCACTTACGGTCTTTGACTTAGCTAGCTAGGTATCGTCTACTTTAGCCAAGATTGCAACTCCTTTTCGGAAGAGAGTCATTGTTTTTAGCTTTGTTGTCTGATTAGTTTCCTCGTACGGAATGGATCTCTTATCCTTCGCCTGTGTCATAAAACTCCTCCTCATCGAGGTAAATGAAACAGAGATAGCGTCGTCGTGATAAAATCTAAATCATTAAAAGCCACTGTGTGACTACGAGAAACAGGGACATAGTGATATGAATGATTTTCGCATGGAAATGACCAACGGTCAGTGTACCAAATGGTTTTACCTCCATGTAACCTCATCTTCTTCATGGTAGTCTTTGTATACATATATAAGACTTTTTTCTATTCATCGACCAATTTGCCATTCAACCACAGGGCTTATATTGAGATTACAGAGCATTACGAGGTTGCTAAACATAAGCTTGCCATGTCTGAGTAACTCGTTATACATCGGTTCTATTGCTTACGTGTTGTTCACACAGAGTCACGGCGAGTCTGGATATAATGAGCAGCTAGTTGTGGCTGTACGTAAGGGTCTTGCCAGTACCCTACGGGACCTGCTGCAGCATGGACTCGAGTTGAGTACATCTCGTAGCTTGCTACCTGCCGTGATGGGTTGCTTCGCCACGCGGCCTGGTCAGAATTCCTCTGCATTACATATCTGGGACCTCATTTTGAAGTACTACTTTTTTAAAAATGGCCCCCAATATAATGCCACTCCGGCCCGCAAGCTGTCTGAAAGTTTCAATCTCAATATTGTCAACGGGGCCAGCTCAAAGAAAACCCTCTTAGGTGCCATTCATAACATTGTCTGCTCGCATACGCCTTTACGACGTAGCGCGGACACACATTTCAAAGCGTTTGTGTGCGCGGCGCTCAAGTAAGTTACAGTTGCAAAGCATGATGAAATTTGTATATGTTTAATTTGGGCAAAATTTCTTGATATTGCAAGCCTTCTTTTCTATTATAGAATAGTAGTAGAAATTGCGTTACGACATTGTGTACATCGATTAAAAAAAAATTCTCATTTGTTGGCTTTTCTATCAAACATAAACACATATATATATATATATATATATATATATATATATATATATATATATTTTTTTCTATGTCGAGTCTTTGTTTTATATATATATATATATATATATATATATATATATATATATATATCGGAAAAGTTATTAACTTTTCCGTCAAATTTCTAATAATAATAATAATAATATTGTATAACATACATAGTTTCCGAATCCATATGTAGCTACGACTATATCGTGTCCAACAGGATAATTTAACAGCTACGCATAACAACATTATTGTTCAGCATTCCTGGATATAAAACCTAAGAACCTAAAAATCCAAGAAAAAAAGTACGCTTAACCAATCTGTCGCTTTAGCAGGGAGAGTGGAACTTATTATACTATATGTATATATATTGTAACGCTTAGTTGTCCTTGCTGTTATCGTTTCTTCCATTTGTATTGTTTATTTTTTAGTGAGAAACGATTGGTAGCGTGGCTGAAAATGATTTTACGCTGCAAGCCTATCGTGGAACGACACTTCGCGCCTTGGAGTTACGTGCGTAAAACCGGCTTTGAAGACGCGTTGCGATCGCTCGATCGCCTGTCTTCCATTCATTTTAATCTGCCCGTTGATTTAGCCGTGAAGCAGCTTCAAGAGATGCATGAGGCGTTCTGAACAACAAACTCACATGGTCATCACACGATGTGACACTATCCGTGATAATGGAACAGCAGTTCAGTAGTACCCCAAGAGCACCCTACATCATGCGATCTCTGAATATGAGAGCAATCTCGGTGCGACGACATGAAATTTCAAAATACAATATATTGCAAAAAAGAGCGCAATGTTCGTCAATCAATCGCAATCGTTGAGATAACATTTAATGGAATAAGGAGCTCCGGCGTGGTCAAATGATGATCAGGTAAAATTTCCAACGGGCGACAAATTAGAGGAGAGAAACCTACTCAGTAGTTTGTCACTAATCACAGAGCCCCTTCTCTTCGATGAGGTCGATCAATGGAGCTTTTCGAAATGAAACTGTTAAGTAATGAACGATGGCTCTGAAGGTCTTCTCTAAACAAAAATGGAGAAATGAAGAAAAAGGGGCTTGAAACGATGCTCAAGGCCCTTATACAGAATGTATGTAAATGGGTATGTAGGCCGAACTGAGTTGTTAAACGGCAGCCATTTAACTTCTTAAAGGGTTCAGGCACGTTTTGAAGTCCTAAGGAAAAAGACAAAATCTCTAAGATTTTTGCGGTCGGTTGAAACATCGAACTGTGATTTTGCGCAAAAGTATCATAAAATATAATTCTGATGCTCTTCTCTAATCCGATTTGAGAGATACAAAGAAATCGACATCTGCTTATAAGTTAATCTGTACGAAATCCAAAAGTAACCTAAATTAAACTAAAACGCAGCTTGATCCAACCGTCCTTATTGCTAGTGTGTATCTTTTTTTGGTGCCAGCATGAGCGAAATCGTCGAGCTTAAGGATTTTATCCATTAAGTGACATCAAAATGATGATAGGCATATAATTATTTTAGAAAAAAGGATCTATGAATGTCGATACAATATAACGCCATATATATATATATATATATAAACCTACCTTGCCTGTTGTCGCAAATGACGGTTGTGCGTGGTGATGAGCATATTCTCCTTCTATCTTTAAGATTCTTTCCCAGATGAAGCCTTTGCGTCTTAATTTAAATGCATATATGTGTAAAATACGTCCAAAATGGAAAAAAAAACAAGAGTAACACAAAAAAATCAAACTTACTGAATATTGAAACCAATAAATATTATTTTAATGTAAGTAATACTTGGGTTATTATTTTTAACACATATTTTATAAAGAAACTAGTATATAGTAGAGTAATTAGACCATACGGCCATATAAAAGGCGTATATTGTCTCTTTCTTAGTTGCACTCTTCGTGTCGTACCTATCCGTTTATTGACTTTTGGACAAGCCTTAAAATACCTGGTCAGCAAAGGTAAATTCAGCGTCACAAATTTTCTTCGACAGATCGTCTACGGCTTGGTTTCGCGCGTTTGTTTACCTGTATTTGATGTGAAAATAAAAATACTGAAAAAATATGGTTTGCGGCAAAAGTAAAGAATATGGTTCATTACAGTTTTACGATAGTTTAGCCGGTTCTTCGGATAGCCACAAGCAAGAACTGATAACCGAAACTCTGCTATTAGCGATAAAGAACGAATCGTTCCATCTAGAAGCAACTCGTGTCTTAAGTGTTCCCACCGATATAGTAATCACCGAAATCCGGAAGTCAAGATTTCGTCGAGCTGCCATGGTTCTATGCCGCCTATTTCCCCGTTTATGCTGTGCATGCAACCCTTTCACTAGTTGAACTTGCTGTGTCCTAAATACAAGGACCGACAAACCGCACAACACTTAATGAACGCGTAGAATACTGGATCTGTCTAGCTACTTCAGGTATAACTTACTGTCCAATAGCCATACGTTAACGTTTGAGTGTTACATAGGTGTCGGTAGTAAACATATTCACCTCTGATTTCACCGAAAAAGCTCGATATATTAGAAAGAAACGATCCGCTAAACGAAAGGATCGTTTTAAGACGGTATGTACGAGCTTGAGTCGAGCTGCTTTTCTAGCGAGGAACAACTCCGCTAGGGCTAGTTAGGATTGTCTGATCCGAAAAAACGGGGCCCTCCCGTCAAAAGCGAAATCCGGACATCGATTTTTACCGAAACCTTGATCGAAGTCACGCTGACAATGCCTGCGGTTCAGTACAATTTGCAAGCTTGTAAAATTTCAGTGTCGGTGAATACTTGAGGGTGCTCGTCAACAGAACTAATAGAGTGCTTCGTAAGTGGGTACGCGGCAGCGAATACCACCTATGAAATTTCCTATTTCAGTGAGTTCATGCAAGGCAATTGTATTTTCCCTCCTACATATGTTATAAACCCATCCCAAATAAACACAATGAAGGCAGGATTACTTGATTGAATTGTTTTTGCGAATGGCGCAGCTAAATCCAACTAGGAATGTACGAGCCTAACAGGCTCGTACCGATAAAAACATCGGTCAGTTGTGTTAATGTAAAAAACATCATTGAATTTATTGATTGTTCAGCTCCAGGCTATAATGCACGCTACGTTCAATAAAACTCGAATACAACACAAAGCGTGTTTGTGTGTATGCAGTGTCTACTGATTCGAAAAGCGTGTTCGGCCATATTACCGAGACCCGTACGCGATCTGTCACATGTATAAAAAAGCCAATTGCTGATATTGGTATTATACCGGCAACAGATATAATAGAAGCTTAATAGTTAATCATGAACTCAGTCATTAAATATAGTCCAACGAAAATATAAACGCTACGTCAGATGTATGCTGGTAATGACTGTACGCGTATAGCTTGACCACGTGTAGTAGTCAGTAGCCCTAATAGCTGGCGGGTTGTTCTCGTCCGCCCGAAAGCCTTATTCGTTGCAGCGTGATCCTAGCCTAACATTGCAGGTCTTCTTTATTTTTTTTAACTGAGCCGCAATTATTTCGACTGCTTCTAATACACAATATATAGTGTGAATATAATACGCCAGGATCTAGTACGATTATTAGAGAAAATTCTAGCTTCGTTGTAGCCGCCCCTTGTGTACGTATTATTTGTTGTCAGTTAAAACCTGAAATACTTCTCGAGTTCGACTCGTAGATAAGATCATTTCATATTAATCTCATCCGCGTGCCCCTTTTCGAGCCCCTTTTATACCGCGAATTGCTCGGTGTTTTTTAAAGCTGATATAATGATTAGAAGCACAATAGTAGCCATAGTTTTGAAGTACAAAGTTGAGTTTCAGTCTTACAACAATTAGCTACTCATATAATTGACCACTATTCGGATTGGTTTGTTACCACGCTATTACCAAATAGCTAGTTACAAATAAACTCTTGTTTCAACAAACGGCGACAATATTATTACGACTATGCGACAGGGTCAACCGATTCGTCTTAGACTAATTAATTTCACCGAAGTGTGACGGAACAGTTCTACTTAAAATAGCATTTCCCTTCATTAACTTATATATCTGTCGTGTTCAAAGCATGTTTTTATTGTTTGCCTTTGCTAGCAGCCACGACAACCCCTACCCAGGGTCTTCATTTAACAGCCAGCTTCACGTTTCCTGCGTTCCCTAATGGCTAAATCGCTCTTCGCATTCGATTTATTCACACATTATAGCTACCTGAATGTTAATGACTGCACGACCTACCGTACTCCTCAGAATTCGCCTGACAATATATAACCACTGTCCGTTCGTATCTTAAATGTACTAGTCTGTTCCTTCGTTACCTATATACGTCTCACTAAACGACTCCAGCAGCAACGTAGTCCTGACTTGTCGCTAGCTGTGTCGGTGACTTTGTTCTGAAGTTCATCAGACGATACGTTTTCCTTTATCGACTACAATGCTCTTGACGGAGCGCATTGCCGGAACAAAGCAAATCACGCATTTCCTACTCGTCGGCGTTCTCCTAACGAGAAACTTGTAGACAATGCCACCTCACAAAACAAACCTAGCCTCAAGCATAACACGGTGACAAGGCCGTTTCTTAATCCCAGATTGGCCTTGCGCCACCGATCTTAACTAGTTTTTGCAAGTACAAGTAGATTAGATACGATTAGAGTAGTTTCATGATCCGGTGATCACTGGGAGTTCTCCCCCAGCGATTCCACGGTTAAGAAAGCTTTTTCGTTCAACACAGAACGATCTCAAGACGACAAAAACGTGGTTATCCTTCAAAGTCGAAAGCGGTTTGTTGTAACCTTCACAGCAACACGCGAGCCATTCCACCTCGTCGTTCTGTTAGGTTAAACGCTTTTCATATGTGCGGTGTTTGTAGAACTATTACTCTTCAAGTCGTCAAGATACCCGGATTGAGACACCGGTAATTTCTTCTTGTCTGTGCAGACAGATCATCACCTGTGTATCCGGTATACATATAGAAGGTTTATGTTCGTGCGAAAAGGATACGTGTTTATACCGGTTCTTCTTCGAGGTCAGGTCGTCTGAAGCCTAACTGACAAAAGGGAATGGTAAGCAAGTAAAACAGAATAAAATGGCACCTTGTCACGTTCAGATACGTCAGAACATACATTATATAAAAGTTGTACCTCACTATTAACCGACACAATACGAGAGCTTACACGTGATGAAATGTATACAATCTTTGGCATTTTGTTCGGGACATCGTGTGTATAACATGTAGGAGTCTGCCCGATGTAAATATATCTTTATATAAATGTAACTATATGTATTTGTATATAAATTGCTCAAGCTGAAAGTGATTTTGATTGGATGATAGATAGTATTATTTAGAATCGAGTTTTTAGTGCCGTTGCACAGCATTCAATATGAACTTTTCATCGTAGCACCTTCAGATTAATCAGGCAGGTTTTTATATACTGCGCACCTGGAATCTCTCGCTGGTTATTGCCTGTTGGTCATGGATTTAGCGTTTGGTTTGAGCAAATCAGATGTTTGCTTGACTGTTTGGAAATGCGTGGTTTTCGCCTACTACTGACTGCCTTCATTGTGCTCTATTAAGGGTAGCTGGCGGACAAGATCCAGTGGTGCGGTCAAACGACTGTAACCAATGACCAGAAACGCCTGCATTTCTATTGGCCATCGGTCAGTCGATCGTCTCGTAACTGTGCTCGACAGCAATCGCACTGAAGTGTTCCGAAAAGATTTACGAAGCCCTCTCGGGAAACCGGCCTGACTAGCCAATATCCAGCGATCACCAGAATTACTATTCGGCGCGATCGCGCTCCATATCTATCTTGACATAGAGTCCAAGCACGCCAAATTTGATGGAACTTCTCCGCTTAAGAACGGTAAGCCGCGCCTGTTGCAGGTACAAAATCGACAAATACGAAGCATAGCCGGCGAAAAAATGCCACCAGGCATGAAGTTGCGTAATCGGCCCTAGAATAACAGGTAGTCGCTGACGGATGTGTCGAAGGTTTCGACAGAAGACGTTGTCAATGTTCCATACACAGAAACCGATAAGATAAAGGCCCAGCGACAGAACAAACCATCGCATCGGGAAGTACTTTTTCCTGCGAAAGTCAGAACACAGAAGACAGGACAAAAACATTTGATATAGGCATTAAGACAATATCAGATGAAACCAACGTAAAATGAAGTGCAAACAGCGTTCAATTTCAGCGAAAACAAAAAAGTCATCCCAGACTTCGTCGAAAATTTTAGAGTTTTTCCTCACATGTACGAACATTATTACTTGTAACATTTGCCTTGTGAATCATTATTAGGTTTTTATAGTGGTATCATCATTTAGGCTTAGGGCACCGCTACACATACCTTTTTCCAGCCTCGGCCACTCTCAGTATCTAACATTAGGTTTAAGCTAACACATTACATTTATGAGTAATAGGCCTGTTAAATAACTCACCTAGATAATATATAGCTATATAGGAAGCAAGCTGTCACCAGCAGCCCGTAAGCTACCTGATGGAAAATCGGCACGTTGATGGTTATATAAATCACGGTGATGACGCTACCGTAGGTTATAAGCAGCGAAGCTAGCCACCAATTTATTTGCGACCTACTCGAGTTGATGTCGAACCTGCATTGATCGGACAAAGAAGAAGAACATAGCGAAAACGTTACCCAGAAAAATTCGATAGGTCGATGTAGAACCATACCTTTGCGAAGAGCAAAGGAGGCGCTACGTGACTCAAGTTTTTCTACTGCAAAAACGAACCCTCGTAGGGTGAACGGAATAGGTGGCCGCAGGAAAATATTAAAAAAAAAAAGCCACATTTATTAATAGTTAGCCTTCGAATTGAAGGAGAAGCGCATGTTTCTCCAATCTTCAATTTGAAACTGATCGCATGAAAGGGTACTTACAGCGCATAGGCAGAAGCCAGGGTGCCCCATACCATGGGCAATTCATCCATCAACTGCATTCGATAAAGTAATGTCATGTGGAATAGCCACGATCCTATGCCCACAACTGCAATATAAAAAACAATTACAAATCGCCTGGCAGAAAACAGGTCCACAATAGCGATAGCGAAAATGATTTTAAGGTTCCTCTACCATCGCATGTAGCATCTGAAATATTTCAACGCATCACCTAGATACGTGCCATACGTACTTCTTCTATATTAGCATATCTTTCGCTGTACGATAGTGCTGGTGTAAAACTTCAAATATTTACAGCTTATTTTCACACCGATTACGATTTAAGGTTGGTGTTCATAAAATGTACCGCTCTTCATTTTTTTGACTATTTATGCTTTTAAGTGTTCCTTCATCGTTATGGCTAAATAAAAAAGGGGAAATTTATTTAAGCTACTCGGCGATATAGATGAATCACTGCGGTGATATTTGTATTGACAGATTGTTCAGTGCAATACAAATGGCCGGGGAGAAACTAAAAAATCTAATATGAAGTAAAATGTATTTGGAAAAAAAACTTCTATGATCCCAGTCATGCCGATCGAGACAAACCGCATGGTCGTAGGATAATCTACTTTCAGCCCACACCGAGGAAGTAAACCCGAAATAGCAGACCCAAGGGGCGCAGCCTATAACATCGTAACGTCATTTTGCACCTCCTTAACTTACATGTGGTATATTTAGTTTAGACAAAGTAGAAGAAGACGGCTACTCCGTTCCAGAAGTATGAAGGTAAAGCAGTCTCTCTTGAGGGTGAAAAGGCGTCCTGATAGCAACGAGCTCATGCAGTGATTAAATTATTTGAAATAAGCATGCTAAAGGAACTTCTTTTATGTGGTCAAACGGTGTTGAGGGTATAGTTGATTTTCGACGACAGCTGTTCTCGGTGTAATAGCACTGATTTATGTCGGCACTTAAAGGTTTACATTTTCGTTAAATCATCCACAGATAACGCTTTAACTGAATAAACCGAAAGAGGAATTGTTGGTGATGTTGTAATTTCACACAGTTCTATTGAAAAAAAAAACTTGTTACTTGGTTCATCGACTCAAGATAGAGTTCTATCTATAATTAACAGGCTATGAGGGGCAGCAAATTTATTTCGATGCGATCACGGGGTAAAAGAAGCCTTCTGCCGCCTTTGCCATGGGCTGTAGTTATTACTATATACGGCAAGTTGTAACGGGACGTTGCTTTGGAAGCGCTCAACGTACGAATACCGAAACCTTTCCTCCTTGATCGATTTATCCTCATCATGAGACAGTTAGCGCGTACAACGCTAAATGATGAAGTAGATAAATAGGCAATAAGAATATACCCAATATGAAGTTAACCGCATGCGATGTGTTCAAAGGTCTGTAACTACGACTTGCCTGAAGTATTATATAAATCTAATTTCGGCTTGTAAGTGGTCGTAAGGTATTGCAGAATTTTCTTCCAAGCAGAAACTTCTACGTAGATTTTCTGACAGCGGAAGCTATAGCTGCTATAAATGCCGAATATATACTGGCTACATGAAAATGTATATTGTCGTATTGAGATTAAGTGGCGTTTTTATATCGGTTCACCTTTAGCGGACCTTAGATATAGCCTGCAAACATAAGAAACTTTCAAGCGGTTATATTTCATTTAACTTAACGGGGTTATCGGCGTAGTTAGGATGGCTGTTACGCGATGTATAGCTGGTTTTTTAGTAGGCCGATACAGGTACTGGCTTTGTAAAATCGAATAACCCAATTGCTACGATCCAGCTCTCAGAATATTCACATAGCCAAATAACGCACGGCAGACGCCCAGACCTAAGCGTAGAACTGCACAAGTGTGTTTTTAGCGCACCATTTGTTTCCTCTGAAGCTTCCGGTTCGAGCTCAGTGTTGGCTATCATTCTCGTATACAGAGATCCGATATCATCCGATTTTTGACAACAAAAGAGTCTGCCATTCCTGTTGCGGACTGCATTATAAATAATTCACTATAATTATACACGAGGCCCTGACTGGTACTCCATCTAAGCTGTACGTATGCCTTTCAGTCCGCCGAATTATCCCGACGCTGGAGGACGAAGTGAGAATTTACATTTTCAAGGACAACTCTATTTTGCAGAAAGCGGACAGTTTGCGGTCGGTAATAGGCATTGTCGATCAACTAAGGACGATTTTCCAATTTAAATCTATCAACAATTACATTGGACTCCATAATAAAATGTCTAAATGTGTATAAGGTAGTGATAATTACAAAGTAGCTTCAACTGAACACAGCGGAAAGCATAGGCTTTTAGTAGACGCTGTGAAAATTCTAAACTACAGAGAACAGGAGACAATCTAATTTTTTTCATTTGGCTAGTCATTTTTTTCATCTGAGACGAGTGGCCGTTGCGGTTCAGTCCTCGGATATTTCTTTAATATCGTATGGTATACAAGAAGTAATATTCAGCTAACCTTTTATGCAGTATGAATGATGGGTGTCGTTGTTTAGTTTACTTCGATTTATGTTAACCGCCCTGCCCTAAGAACATTTTCAGTGCAATATTTTTTACGACTAGGTGTTACTAGTCGTACTAGGTGTTACTAGACTAGGTGACTAGGATATACTTAGTCGAAACCTCCAGTTTCTCTAGACTTGGACGAAATCTAGGCTAAAATTTATAAATGCGCCGTGAAATTAGCAAAAACGTAGGTAACAATAAAGTAATACGATTTTTGTAAGGTGGCATCGCAACGGTTCAATTCCAAATTCATTCTTAACCATTGGCAAATAGAATCTCGTATGGATAATATCGTTTCCTTCTTATTTGAAAGGATCTGTCGAACATTTCGCGTATGCGGCGCAACTGGGAGGTCCTTGTTAGAGAATGTTGCGTGTCTGTGTTTAACCAGTTGACACAAATTATATATCTGAAGTAATTTAAAGTTGACAAGTGCCGTTGTCGATCAAAACGAATCGACGGTTATAGAAACAGTGGCATGGGCCTACAATTATTAGGGTTTTTCGTTGTTCTTTAAAACTAATTATGACAGCATTGATTTTTTGTACAATAGATTCCTTACATGAATCATTTTCTAAACTGTAATAAAATTCAATGAAATATATAATCCTATTTCTCTAATGTTTTAATTCAGAAAGCCATTTTGAATACCTTTACAAATACTATAGTTAAATGAATACCTATATTGTATAGTATATGACCGCATGTGCGGATTACTTCTGATCACGCGTGGCCTTCTAAGCAAAAGAAAACCTCGAAACCGTCCACATCGTATACGTGAAGTGTTTTCGTTCGATAGATATTTTCTGCGTTTACTGTTCTTTGACAAAGGAGAAACAAATATGCCAGCGGCACGAGCTTCTAGCTACGGGTTCTGATTGATCACAATTAGTAAGCCTTGAGCAATGCTAAAGTTGAACTCAAAGGCTGTTTCGTGACCGATTAGTTAGCAGTAGACGGTTGTTATACTCGTTCACAATACACCGTCCGTATTTTCTATTTACGGCAAATCTCAAAATACGTTACGCGTACAGATTATCATAGGCGCAGGGCTGACAAACATATTTTGTGATTAGTGCTAATTTCTAGTAATTATTACGCTTCAAACTAGACTATTAATACATTAGCTTCAAAGTAAACGCAATAGTAATATGAATAGTAAAAACCAACTTCTGTTTATAGGTTACCTAGATTACCGTACCTCAGAAAAACGACACAGACCTCAGAGTCATGTTTTGCTCCACCAGACCAATATTACAGAGTTGTCTAAACGAATACAAACGTTGTATGCGCAGTAAATTAGCTTTGGGAATTGCATAAATATAAGGCCATAGGCTGTAGAGCTTTACTTTTTCGAACGTATGGTTCATTCTACGGGGCAGCTTTCCATTACATCTAAAAAAGGGCGGTCATTTTTGAAATATCGCGCCATAAGCAGTTTGATACCATTTTATAGGCTCGGTATTTTATTATTATATAATATATTAGATATATTATACTTAAAGTATGTGCCGGCGCATCTGTACTCCTGCCGAAATGAAACCTACAGCTCTTAATTATGTGTCATTCCGTCGGCATTGGCAAAAGGATAAGATAGCAGTTAGCCGTGTCAATCGTTACCCCAAATATTAGACAGTGAAAGAAGCATTAAAACAAACACTAGTTCAGGACGAAGAACACAAAGAAGTGTGAATACTACCAATGTCGTTGCAAAAACGCTGACACCACGGTAAAAGTAGCCATAAGTGAGTGGTTCAGTGGCCATAAATAGAATAAAATACACGGTTGAAGACAGAAAGGGACCTATTTGCGAATATCATAAGCGGCTCACCAGTCATACTATCATACATTACGCAGGATGTACTATGATAATTAGTCTGTGGAAAATATTATCCTAAATGAGCTGGTGACACCGTCATGCACAAGTACAGCGCTTTTCCATATTTTTTTTTTAATTGCTCTTTGCATAAACAATTGCCCGTGTAGGTGCTCTTCTAGTCAAGACCTACCGCTGCCCGAATTATAAACATGTTTATTAAATCACTAGTAAAAGCGACGAAAGTGGAGTATTACACTCGTTGATCAAAAGGCCAAAGCCCATGCTCTCCCATTATCGGAAAGAAGCTCTGCTTTTTGAATGTACTATTTGCTCCGTTTCAACCAGTGTCATACACAGTTACTTCTAAGCAAAATAATTCAAATAGACATTTTCCATGAAACACACGGTGATTCTTTCGTCGCCAAACGTTTCTCTAAAACAGTTTGACGCTATGATAGTCTTCACTTTGATCACAAGCACTTTTTTATCACGCAGGCTAACTGGTCTTCTAGCCAAGCCTTTCAACGTTTGCAAAGATCCCATGTCGGTCTCATGCCGACGAAGCGTTACCCTTAGCCGCATGGTATTCTCCCTATTCAAGTCTACCCCTCTTTGAAGACAGCATTTAAACATACTGTCTTATGAATAAACAGAGGATATGAACTAGAAGTCCAACTGTACATCTGACTCAAACCGAGTAACGCTTGGCTCCAACGAATCAGAACTGTTAAACAACTGTGCTAGCTAG